CTCAGCCGCATGCCTACTGGCCTCCATCTCCCTTCTTCTCCTCCTCTCATCAACAACCCGAACAACCTTCTCAACATACTTTTTATTTATTTCTTTTCCTTTCTTCCCCATCAACAGCTGCTTGACTAGCTCTTCCATAACTTCACATCCATACCTATCATACGTATCTAGAAATAATTCAGTATCAATAATATTATATTCTGCGTATCCTCTTTTCCTGAGTTCTTCTTCACTAAGTCCTTTTTCCCTGAGAGATTTTCTAGTGCACCCCTCAGCCAGCAGCCCCAAAAGCTCCTCTTCAGGAAGCTTACTATACAGACTCGAGGATGCATTACACACTATACTTTCTGTACAAACTACTTTTTTCCATTTTTCTATATCACAGCATTTTTTTGCACAGTCAATGATATGATCACAAAAATATTCTACCTTATCTCTTGTTTTTCTATCCATACTATCAGATACCTCATTCATCATTTTACTAGCTTCCTCAATGAGACTTCTTCCAAGTATTGTCATTCTTCTATTTCTCTCTGTCTTTTCATAGCATTGGAATACTTTATTATATGCCATTTCTAAAAGCTCACTAAACGTGCTTTTCCCTCTTATGTATATATTCCACATATCCTGAGACACTTTTCTCAAATGATCCCCCATCTCTCTTCTAAACACCGCCTCAAGCCTCCTGTTTCCTTCAAAATATATATCATAAAACGTAAATGATAATACCATGTCTGCAATATGATCGATGAATTCTTTAGCGTATACTTCCTCACGCGTGCCTTTTCTCAGATCTCCGAACTTTGTATTCGGTAATACGACGGCATTAGTACCAGAGAAGATCAAAGGAAACAATATGGTTCTTTCTATTTCTTCCAACTCAAGAATTTCGACTTTTTCCACTACGAATGTAGAGCCTGATATCTTGCCGAATAGAATAAGTATTTTTAAGATATTGAATTTCATGGGATTCACTCTTTGTTCATCCTATTTCTGACTTATTTTATTGTGTTGGCTAGCATATAATCTCATTGGTTGCACATATTCTCCTTTGCTTTCAATATTTTCTGCTTATATTTTTTAACTATTGATTTTTCCTGTTGTTGTTCATGCAAGGATGATCTTCCATATATGTCAAAGTATATCTCTTGTGTCTACATAGTATTTTTATGGCTGACAGTGCCCAATATCTACTAACTGCCTCTCTAAGCTCTAAGGATTACAAATGTTACATTTTAGTGACATATTATATGATTAATGCATAAACGCTTATATAACCATTTCACAATTCTGAAAAATAATTTATTCAAAGTCAAGAGATTTTTGGCTGGTGATTGCCTTTCTTACAAGAAGGATTGCCTCATTCCTGCTAGCCTGGCACCTGATGTCTTCTATCCTATTTGTAATGGAGCAAAGAAAAGTCTTGAAATTCGGATGGGAAATGCATATATCTTTGTGAAGTCTGAGTAAAGAGATGAATACCCTTGCTGCTAATACAGAATTCCAATGTGCACACTCATGAAGTGCATTTATAGTGAGGATGACATCTGATGAACTCATTAAACAAAAGAATCTGTCAAGTTCACAAAAGTCTATATCCATCAAGGTATTGAAAAATGTCTTAATGTTATCATTAGAAAAGTCTTTAGACAGTTCCTCAAGATCTGTTAGGAATCTATCGTATACCTTACAGTTCATTATCTTAGCTACCTTCATAACTTCTTCATCATCGCTCTCTTCTTGATCTTCCTTTTGGAATTCATACTTGTTCATGCTATAAAGATCTATGTTAAATTTTCCACAGGAAATCATTAAATCTTTTTTTATCTTTACCAGACTAGATTCATGGTACTTGAATTCCTTAAGCTTTTCATATCTTTTAAAGTATTGAATTCCACCAGAGGAAAACATGAATAAGTCTTTGCTCAAGTACTCTACACTTCTTGAATCACCTATAAAGCTTTTCCTGCATTCTCCAAACTGTGTTCCCCACATTTTGACTGTTTTGTCTGCACCACAAGTGAGAATTTCTGAATTATCTGGTGACAACTTCATTGACCTGACTGGCAAAGCATGGCCGTACAGCGTGACTTTTAGATCTAGTCCATTCATATTATATATATGTACCTTATTATTTAGGAGGCCCACACATAACAAGGAGCCATCTTTCGACACTTCTATAGATGATATGGGACTTTCTACTTCTAATGTCCTAAGAACTGTGAATGAGCTATCGTAGAACAAAATATCATTATCCTTCCCTATGATCAGCTCCGTTGTGTTAGAGAAAACTGACGAAACAGGCCCTATGTTTTCCTCTCTAACCAAGTCATAGTTTGAGATTGAGTAGCAAGAAAACCCTTCGTTTCCTCCAACTACGATGCAATTGTTCCACACACATATGCATTTTCCGTTCTTTATCTGTATATTGCCGATCCTTTTTATTGCTTGCTCGTCTAACATCCAAAAAATTATGCATTCTTTTGAGAGTGTGATTATCTTTTCTTCATGGACTTCAAGACATAGAATTTCGTTCTTATGGAATCCGAATGAATACACCTTTCCATCCTCAATATACTCCCAGCAGTTATCGATAGTAGCAAATACCAACCTGCCATTTGATGTTGTATCGAAGTCTGCATATCTATCGCTGACCTTTATTGTCTCCTGGTGCTTCATGGCTATTTTATCTTTCTTGCTCATATCATAAATGTGCAGCTTATTTTTGCTTTGGAGAAACACCCTGTTTTCCTTCACCTTTATATTTCTTAACTTCTTAAACTTATTGAAGGGGCGCGTTGTTTTATCTTCTAAACTATAAAAAATGCATTCACCATCCTTAAAGAATATTATTGCTTCTTCTTCCACAACAAAAGTGTCTTTTATGGCTTTTTCAAACATGTGTACGCTTTTTATATGCTTGTCCTCAAAATCCCAAACTCTTAGCGCGTTATCCGCACAAACACCAATAACTACTTTGGAGTTGGAGAAGAACTTTTCCACACACATATCATTTCCCTCATAAGATACTCTAATTTCACCACCAATTATGTCGTATAAAACAATACTTCCATCTGCAGATGAAGACAAAATATAATCGCCGATCTTTGTAACTTTTGTAACTCTTCTGGAGTGAGGCCGGAATGATATTATTTCATCGGAATGTATTTGGACAGCTCCGTTTTCGTAACCTATTACCAGCAGATCATCAAAAAAGTCAAAGCAAGTTATTTTCTTGTTGAGAGTGGGTACACTTCTTTCTAGCTCAGAAAATCTCACATTCCATGCGTTGAGCTTCTTGCCAATAGAAATATACACAAATTCACCTACATGCCTAATCTGGCTGTTTCTGTCAGACACTTCTCCCAAAGTTGCCAAGTGTGTGAAGTCTGGTACAAAACTATCATCTAGCTCCTCCATTTTAAGGACTTGAAGAATTAATTTTTAAGTTATTGCTATCGAAAACTTTATTTAGAATAAATATACATGTGTTATGCCAAACAGAGGCTGAGTCTTTCATTTTCCAAGTCTTCATCAAGATGTTTATTTACTACCCAAGTTCTTCTGCAACTTCTTCGAGCGCCCTGATTGTAAATTTCTTTGATGCAAATTTTAGTTCTTTTTGGAATTTCAGATATGCTTCTAGCTCTTCATCTCGGACAAAATCCACCACAAACCCCGTTCTTCCAAATCTTCCAGACCTCCCTATCCTATGGATGTAGGTTTGTGTTGACGCAACCCCTTTGTATATTGGAAGATCATAATTAACAATCAGATTGACCTGTGGAATATCCATTCCTCTTGAAAAAACATCTGTTGTAAGAAGTATCTTGGATTTTGAGGATCTAAATTCTTCAACAGCTTTTTCCCTTTCTTCGATCTCCAAGTCTCCATGCAAACAAGACACAGAATGCAAGTCATCTTCTAATTTTTTCTTCAAGTAATTAACTGTTGCCTTTGTACTTACAAATATGATCATCTGGCTAATTGAAAGGTATTCGTAAAGCGACTTCAATGCCTTTCTTTTGCTGTCTCCCTCCGATTCTATGTAGAATAACTTAATTTCGTCGGGTTTTCCATTGCGCTCTTCATACATTTTGATTGCATCGGGTGCGTAGAACTCAATTGTCTGCTTAACTTGTTCAGAGTATGTTGCAGAAAAGAAAACGATCTGTGCCCCAGAAACAAGCTTGAGTATTCTGAATGTCTGTGTTCCCATCATATCCTTATCAAGAAGAATATCTGCCTCGTCGAGAACTATGGTTCTAATCTCCTTGTGGTTTAGCTTTCCAAGGTCGATAAGCTTCAGAATAGTTCCGGGACTTCCAACAACAACTTCTTCTTTGACAGACTCCGTGGCCTTGTTTTTCAACGCCGAAAAGACCTTCATTCCAAGAGGCTGTGCCAATCCAGAAATAACCTCAGTAACCTGAGTATTTAATTCCCTTGTAGGTGTAACCACCAACGCTTGGGTTCCCTCCCCAACTCTTGTATTTCCAAGGACTCCACAGGTGTAGGCTATTGTTTTTCCGGTGCCACTCTTGCTCTGAACAACAATATTGTGCCTCCTAAGAATATGGGGAATTGCTGATTTTTGGATTAAGCTAGGCTTTTCAAACCCCTTGTTGTATATGGCTTTTAAGAGTTCCTCTGATAGTCCCATATCGGAAAAATGCTCTGCAACCAATAACTTTCCTCTGTCCGTTCCTACCCCGCTGACATTCTCATCTAGGCCTGTTTCTATGGCAGCAGTATCTCTCTTAATCATTGTAAATAGTTCCCTTGCGACTTCCCTATCATCTTGGATTAGAGATTTCTCTTCCATACCTGGGGTTTAAAATACAACAAAATAAATTGTATAGGCGCTTTGAAACAAGAAGTAAGTAAATGCATATGAGCGAAAGGCTCATGGTTCTTGCGACGCAATTAACTTGATATTTCTACCAGCCTATCAAGAACCTCCTTGCATAGGTATCTGCTGGGATCGAAGGCCAGGCATCTTACATTTTCTTTAAGGTCTTCTGCATATGCACTTTGAATAGCATCTTTTTCAGAGCCTTGGATGGAAATAAGGAGGAGTAAAGCTACGTAACACCTCGTTACCTTGTCAACAGTGTGGTAGACCCTTGCAATTATACCTAAAGGAATGCCAAGATGGAAGTTCTTGGAAACTAAATTGACGAGTATTATCATCAGATACTTTCTTCTATTCAAAACTCTTGGACTTTCTTCCCTACGCTTTAGAACAGATGGTATAGTGTCTGAAAAATTTCCTTTCGGTACATCCTCAAGACTTCTGCAGTTTTTGCTTTTTATGAACTCTTTCAGAACAGCTTTCCTAAGATATATCTTAAAGTTCGGGCTTAAAGACAGCCTTCCAACATTTTCTTCGAGCTTTGTATAATTTGCTATTACCTCGTAGTTTTTTCCCTTCTTTAGTAAAATTTCGATAAAACCTTCGCTTAGATCAAACTCGGGACATTCTGCCAAGAGAGAAAGAAGGAACTTGTTCCACTTAATTATTCCTTCACTCATGAACACTTGTAAACCCAACACTATTTTTCTAAGTTCAACACACTTGGAAAGTCTAGAGTACCACTTGATTGGGATCTTTCTGAGTATTTCTACAATAGCCTTTGTTTTTGACTCAATACAAGAAAAAGAATCAAGAGACGTCCTGTCCGGCAGAAGATCGTCAAATATCATTAGCAAAGTTTTAAACAGCCCTCCAAGATCAGTAAACGAATATGGGTTGAACACTTGGGACAGTGCTTCTATTAACATGCTTGATGCAGACTTCGACATTTTCTTCTTAGACACTACCTGAATCATTTCTTCCAGATGCCTTGACTCTTTCATGTAAGTCTTGAATCTTTCATCATCCATCAAACCAACCATCATCCTTAAAGATTCATCTATTTCATCATTGTCCAGGCCCTCGACGATATAATCCATCTCGTCTGTATATTTTATTTCCCATATTCTATTCATTATCTCTATTACTCGAGAATAAAGGGGAAATAGCTCTGATATGTTTTGCATCCCCAAAATGAACATTGACCACCACTTTCTCTGTCCAAAAAAGCTCCTGAGACTATGTAACAAAAAGATTGACAAGGAGGTGATGAGGAACCTCCAACTCTTAACAGAGAAGTTTTTGTCGGACATAATACATAGATCTGCATTATTGTGCAAGCACAAGGGGAAGAATATCGTTGATAACAGTGATATACGGTTTGTTATTGAAAAGGACTTCGACTATAGCTTTGGAGGAAGAGAAATTCAAGGCTCTACAATCCTACCAACCAGTGAACATCTAGAAAGAATGGCGGAAATTAGCAGGCAAAATAAATAAACTTTTACCTACCAGAAGGACATTGCCAACAAAAGTTTTGTTTAGAGCCCTAATATTGTTTCCAGAGAGAATGGAAGATGGATACAAAGACATATTGGAATTTGCCAATGAGCTGAAGCTGCACTTCAATGAGGATATAATCGACTATATGTATAAGCTTCTAGATTCTGGAATGAGCCCTCAAAGCCTCATGTTGCTTCTAAAGGAAATAAGAAACGAGTTGTCTGGAAGAGTTAGATAGTGAGTCAAAAGAATTTACGTCTTACTTAGGGTGGAAAAGCCTTATATTAGAAAGAAAATAAATATCTATTCATTGAAAAGTTTTGAGCCCTAATGTTGTGGACAACGGAAAAGCTGCGCCGATCCTTTTTAGACTACTTTGCCTCGAAGTCTCATAGGGTTGTGAACTCGAGCTCAGTGGTTCCCTATGAGGATGACACCTTACTTTTTACAAACAGCGGGATGGTCCAGTTTAAGAAAAACTTGCTTGGAGAAAGAAGCGAACTGCGCCGAGCCTGCAGTGTACAAAGATGTATTAGGGCAGGGGGAAAGCATAACGACCTAGACGATGTGGGGAAAGATACATATCATCACACGTATTTTGAAATGCTGGGAAACTGGTCATTTGGAGACTATTTTAAAGAAGAAGCAATAGGATTTGCTTGGGAGTTTCTGGTTGAGGTACTTAAGTTGAGCAAGGACAAACTATATGTCACGTATTATGATGAGTTAGACAAGGAGAGCAGAAGGATATGGCTCAAGTATCTTCCTTCAAATAGAATTATTCCGGCGTCGTACAAAGACAACTTTTGGGAAATGGGTGATACGGGACCATGCGGGCCTTGCACCGAGATACATTACGATAGGATTGGGAATAGAAATGCCTCGGAATTAGTCAACAAAGATGACCCTAATGTCATTGAAATCTGGAATATTGTATTTATAGAATACAATAGGACTGCTTCCGGGCTTACACCTCTTGAGAGGAAGTGTATAGACACTGGAATAGGGTTAGAAAGGCTACTAAGCATACTCATTGATGTCAAGTCCAACTATCTGATCGACAGCTTCTCCACAATAATCAAAGCCATAGAAGAGCACTGCGATTTCAAATACGAGGATTCTGAAAAAAGCACTGATGTTGCTTTTAGGGTTATATCTGATCACTGTAGGACAATAGCTGTTTGCATTTATGACAAGGTTGATTTCAGTAACGATGGGGTGGGATATGTGCTGAGGAGAATTCTGCGTAGAGCTGTTAGATATGCACACGAGGTCTTAGGGCTGAAGGAAGGAGTGCTTGAGGAGTTGGTGAAAATTGCAGCAGGTACAATAGGAATAGATCTAGAGTCGACTGAGTGTGTGAGCAGAGAAGAGGCTCTATTCATGAAAACCTTAAAGAAAGGGATTGAGAGATTCAATAAGATTGCAGAGAACAATGGTAAAATAAGCGGAGAGGACTTGTTTTTGCTGTATGACACATATGGATTCCCTGTGGACTTAACAGAGCTGATGGCTAGGGAACAAAATATCGAGATTGACTATACGAACTTCGAAAGCTTTAGGCAAAGAGCAATTGAAGTTAGTAAGAAATCCAAAGGAACAAAAATCAATATTGATGGGGACATCCTTTCCAAGTTCCCACCCACAAACGACTCCTTCAAGTATGAAAGAAATAATATGAATAGTACAGTCCTATTCGCCGTTGTAGGGAATGATATTATAACTGATCCCGGTGAAATACCCGAAGGAGTGGAGCTTGGGCTCGTATTTGACAAAACCTGTTTTTATGCAGAGTGTGGAGGTCAAGTTGGGGATACAGGAAAAATAACCTTCTACTGTGGAGAAAAAAGTATTGGTACTTTCAATGTTACGGATACTCAGGCAGTCAAGAAATTTGTTGTTCACAAAGGAATCTTAGAGGGGAATGCATCCTATCAAGCCCTTCAAGCATACAACAGTGAGCTTAGAAGGAGAACAATGAGAAACCACACCGGAACACATCTCCTGAATTTCTTTCTTCGTACTATAATCAAGACTGAGCAGCGTGGAAGCCTTGTTGATCCTGAAAAGCTTCGGTTTGACTTTGAAGGAAGAAAATTAACAAATGAGGAACTAGAGGAGGTAGAGAAAAAGATCAATGAATTTATCAAGAGCAATGCTAAAGTTGAGTCTGTTATCTTGGATAGGTGTCAAGCCCTCGAGAATTCCAATATTGTTAGAATGAGAAATGAAGAGTATCCTGAAAAGGTGAGAGTTATAACCATGAAGAGTGATGGGCTGGTTATTGAAGAGATGTGCGGGGGGACGCATGTGACTAATGTTTCGGATGTAGGGAGATTCAGGATTGTCAATGAAACAGGGGTATCTGCCAACACACGAAGAATAGTTGGGGTTACAGGAAAGAAAGCCCAGGAGCTCGATGAGGAAGCAGAGCTCTACCTGAGTAAGCTGAACATAGGAGAGGTTGTTAATGTTGATAAAGCAATCCCACTACTCTACAAGCAGAAGATTGATGCATTAAACCAAAAGAATAGAAAGAGGGGGGAGGAGCTCAGCAAGGCTCAATACTCTAAGAACAAGAAAGAATTTGTTGAACTGATAGCTGAAAGGAAAAGCGCACCAGATACCGATGCTAGGAGCATAGTCTATTACTATCAGTCATCAGAGTCATGCACCAGAAAAGATCTCGCTAAATTTATTAGTCTTCTTTGTAGTGAAGCAGTGAAGCATGAAATTGAATGCATTGTTTATACGTTTATCAATGAAGAATGTTTGATAGCCGCAAATACATCTGATAATGGAGACTTGATAAACAGGATCAACTCAAAATACCCGAATTCTCATGTAAGGACTAGCAAGGGCATGGTTCAAGGAAGCATCCATTCGAAAATAACCCGCGAAGATGCCAAAGATTTGATCTCTTGAAATAATAAATTAGTACCCTAGCTTTGAGCATTTTACTTTTATGCCATGTAGAAATTACATTGTGTTCAGAAAAATCGTATAAGAGCAAAATGGCTGGAGTGGGGTTCGAACCCACGCCTCCTGAGAGACTGGCACCTTAAGCCAGCGCCTTGGACCACTCGGCCATCCAACCTGCATGCCCACTTCCGCTCCCCCTTACAGATTTGGAGGCAACCTAGGTACCTGAGGAGAAAAAAAATATACCCAAATGGAGGAAGCAAAGACATTACTGCAAGACCTGTGTGAGAAGTTCAAGAATCCGGTGGAAAAGAACATACTTGTGGCTTTAGACAGCCAAAGAAAGGAGGAAAGGATGAAGATGGAAGCGGTGACGAAAGCTCTCCAGGAAAACGTCCAGCTTTTCAAAAAAAAGAACATCCAGCTTGAGGGAGAGGTGAGGAAATACTCTTACACGCACAGCAAGAAAAATGATGCGTTCATGGAGATAAACAATGAAAAGCTAAAGCTTGCCAAAAAGATAGTCGAGCTTGAGGACGAAAACGAAAAAATAAAAGTGGGCATCATTGCAACAGACAAAGGTATCCAAGAAAAAGAGGAGAGGCTACGTACTCTGTCGAGGCCCTCCTTCAACGAGATATATCTCGAAATTGTCAAAGGATTCGGAATTGAATTCCTCGAGGGGGATGGAAGGAAGTTCTGCCGGATAAAAAATAGAAAAATAAGCGATGTTTTCACAATTGATATCGGGTCTGACATCTCCATGTTTGAGATCACTAATGCCATCTGGGAGAAGATCTGATTGGATGATTTATAACAAATGCTTCTCGGAGCGAAATCCTATTGGTAATAAGCTGTGTTTCTTTTGGACCAATCGTTTTTGAAACACTGTGGAGATGAATACCTTTAGTAGTTAAACAAAGAGCCCTTGGAAAACATGCAAGGAGGAATGCAGCAAGAGAAAACTTTTCAAAAAAATATCAAGGAAGCTCTTGGAGACAAGCATGTAGCAAAAGACTTCTTTAGTATACGCAATGCCTCGGTCCCGCATGACTTGAACGATGCAAAAAGGAGGGTTCTTGCCAATCTCGATAGATTTAAATTCCATTATTTAGCAATGGCAGCGATATTTGCGCTAATATATGTTTTGTACCGTCTAGAACTGATTATACTCATCGGAATTGTTTCCGTTACGGCATATGCCTATAAGACAAAGCCGACGTTGTTTAATATTGAGATGGAGCCAAAATCCGTATGTATAGCTGGTGTTGTTGGGATACTTATCTTCTTTATATTTTTCAAAGAAGCGATAGTGGGACTTCTTGCGATATCTGCGATCTGTGGTATAGTGACCTTGGTACATGCTGCAGCACTTGAGGAAAACTCGGAAAAAGGCGATGAAGTGTAAAGATGACCTAATTAAAAGTATTTCACGATTTTACTCAAATGCCTTCTTCTTTCGAAGAGATCAATCTCAGGCGTTCTTAACTTTGAAATGAAGTTCACATATGTAATCTGGATAAGAAGGTATATTGTTGAGCCTGTCTTCGACTAGGTATCCAACAAACTCAATTTCAAGCCCTCCTTTTCCTTCTTCTACAAACACAACCGGCAGTTCACTGTCGTAGTAAGAGTAGAACTCTTCGATCATCTTACGCAGAACTTCGTTTTCTTCTGTCTTGTCTGTAAATATAGCCTCCTTTAAAGATGCATCTACGCTTTCCCCAATGTAAATATATATTTTTTGGGAGTTATCCAGGACATAGATTTCCTCAGAGTTGAGGGACTCTGCACTAAGCTTAAGAGCCTTGACCTTCTCCAAAGATTTGTCTATGTAAAAGTCGGTAAATGCAAACAGCCGTGGATAGAAAAACCTGAGATTTTGTTCGACAGTAAAGTTTGTTATCTGAGATATATTATCTTCGCTTATGCTATTAGAAAAAAAGCTATTCTTCATCATAGATTGGTATATGAGAGGAATTAGCTTAATGGATTCCGGAAGAACAAATTGGGAGCTGGATGCTTCTTTGCAGCAGCTACTTCTGTAATACTTGAGAGACCGGCTAATCGAATTTTCAACCTTCTTGCTATGCTCTTTGACGGTGCCTTTGTCCATTGCAATATACTTTGCATATATGCATGCCAAAGTGTCAAAGCTGAGGCTTGCATAAACCTCCGAAATCCTTGATGATGTCTCAAAGCCTGTATTCATCACGAGAACCCGGCTTGAGCCATCGAAACAGTAGAAGCTTAGTATCATCTGGACGTATACTTTAGACTTGTTTTGTAATGACTCCTCAAGAGAAAATGTCATTCCAAATGTGGTCTTGTCATCCATTTGTGCAAAGTCCTGGAACCCAAGATGCTCAAAGGCAGTATTTCCGTAGAAGCTTAGCTTTCTTATGGCGTCAGAAGTCTTTGCTTCAACCCTTACTTTGTAGGAACTTTTTGTGGTCCCCAGATTTGTCAGGTCTGCTGTTAGCCTTGCAATAGTTTCGGATGTGTATACAAAACTTCTACCAGTAGTCAAGGAGCATAGCCTGGGTGCAGATATCTTTTGCATAGAAAAGGTATTCAGAGTACACCCCACTTCAATAAGCTGTTTTGCCATCTCCTCGTAATCTAGTTTGCCCTGGGCATTGGTAAACACGGCCATCTTTGAACCTCTGCAGTATCCCGTTATCGAGATCCCAACCTTCAGGCAATCAGCAAATCCGTTGCCAGCCCCTCCTTTGCTTAAAGGTATTCTTGAGGCATATTCCACTAATAGCTCCATCCCCTTGCTATCTTCAACGTCCATTAAGAACTCTGGAGAAATAAATGGAAGCTGGAGCTTATCGGATAGCAGGACTTCTGTTATTACCCCACCTGATGACCTAACTAATGAGACGGTATCTGAAAACAAAGCAACCACTATCTTCTTGAATAGAAACTGGAAGTTTTCATCCCTTATGAGATGCCCCATAGCCTTCACTGCATTCTCCATTAATATAGGAGTAGTTGTATCAATTGCAAAAATAAACACCGGACCATAAACCATAGTAGTCCTGAACAAGTTTTCAGAAACCATGTTTCCCGATTCTGTTTTTACGACCCTTTCTTCGTTCTTTTTCCTGGTAACATATTCTATTGTGGAGTATCTTGTGATCTCATTGCTTATTCCTTCCTTTACCTGATTTTTTGAATTACAGATATTACAATAGAAAACATTTCCCTCAATCTTGGTGAATATATTGACATAGCTTTGACACTGCCAGCATCTTGCCGAAATATCCTTATCTAGCTCAGTAGCCATGGCCTTCTGGTTGAAGGGATTGAGAACAAGCCCAAAAGGAATCTCCATCGACTCAAACGTGTCCGTATCTGTTGGAAGAGTGTACATGGTAGACCTCAGTAGATTGGGATCTGTATTTGTTGTCTCAGTAATAAAGCAGTTTGTTGTGCTAAGCGGAGGCGGCTGAATCGATGTGTCAAAGGAAAAAAAGGACGCCTGGTCCTTCTCAATCTCAGAAGGAAAGTCGGGAATCTTCATCTTTGGCCTTCTTTGCCCCTCAAATGCCTTTGGAAACTGCTTGCTTGCCTGATGCATAGCCTGGGATGCAAAATCTCTTGAGTGCATATTATTCAAGGGTTTTTTGTTTTTGGACAAATGCGATTAAATAGTTACATTTCGCAGCCTCTCCAGCCCATCTCCTTCATACAGGCAATTTGCCTATAGGCGTAGGTAGAGGCAGCGATTTAAAATAGGGATGCTTTATGGCATCGTCACAATTGATTCTATTGCATGGATTTAGGATAAGGAGCTTTTCTAGCAGGTCTAGCGCATCAGATGACACCGCCGAAAACAGAGAACCCAAGGATGTCTTGGCATATTGCTGAAATTCAAGAAACCTGGGCAGGGTAGACACCCCTGGCCACTCTTTTTCCGTAGGAGTCCCAAGAGCTCTAAAAATCATGTCCAACTGATGAATGTCGGTGTCCCCTGCAAATAAAGGAACCCTTAAAAGCAACTCTGCAAATACACACCCTACAGACCACATATCGGCAGGGCTCCCATAGTCTCTCGACCCCATGAGAACCTCTGGTGCTCTGTACCATCTAGTTATCGCCTGAGGTGTCATTTTGTTTCCTATCCCCCTGGTAAGTCCAAAATCAGCTAGCTTTACTACTCCCTCAGCTGTAATAAGTATATTGTTCGGCTTAATATCCCTATGGATTATAAACAGCCTATGGCATTCATAAACTCCCTTCAATATCATCAACATCCATGCTTTTGTATCTCCAGGCATGATAATTTTATCGGCATTCCTTATCACATTCTCAAGATTGGTCTCAACATACTCTAGAACTATGTGAACGCATTTGTCATATATAAAGGTATCCAACAGCTTAACAACATATTTACTACTTATTCTTTTCAAAGCCTTGATCTCTCTTATTGCACTTATCTCGTGCCCCTGTGCATACTTTGTCAGCTTTATTCTCTTTATGGCCACCGGGGTATCTTCTATCCTGGTTCCTGAGCTCACAAAAGGCTTATCTTGAGGCAGTGCCCTATATCCAAGGTATATTACTGCATACGTCCCCTCTCCCAGCCTCTTTTCCTTAATATACGTTTTCATTTAGGGAAGTGAAAATCAAGCTTTAAAATGGCGTTAGAATTGTGGTATTTATTGATCTTCCAGGAAAACCCTCTTGTATAAAGACATCATAACCTTATCTCCAGACTTTATAGGCTGGGTAAAATATCCTTTGAACGTTCCCTTCGTACCTATAGGCTTCTTAATAAACCCGGTGATCTTTTTATTCCGCATGTACAACTGGATATTTCGGAAGTACATAACCTCTTCTTTGCTGTTGAACATGCGTTTGACAAGGCTATATCTCTTCTTGTTTCTGAACGGTATCCCTTGGAACACCGCTTCCTCAAAGATAATCCTGTCCCCCATAAATCCGTTCATCCCGACCGAAACAAGTGTCGATGCACATAGCTCTCCTAGTATAGATTTTCTATATATAAGAACTCTAGATAGCCCAAAAGTAACCGGCCCGATAAAGCTTATAACCCCAGATTCAAGCTCCTCTTGCCTCTTAAAAACCTTGTGGTTTAGGTTACGAGTGATCATTGGCCTTATATTAACAATCTTGTGCCCCAGATCAACCACCATGCTCTCTTCCTTTAATGGCTCTTGTCCCTCAAAGTGGAAATTGTGTATTGTCTTCTGGTCTTCATATTCATAACATCCAAACAGCACACATATTCGTTCTTCAAGAAGCCCTTCATATCTGAGCTTTATCTTCACCATCTGATTACTAGGAATTATACTGTCCTGCCCAGCAATGAGCTTCTCGGCTCTTTTGAAATCATCAAAAAATACAAGTCCTTTGTAGTGCTCTGGAAAACTGCATGATCTGAAGCTGCACGTAGATAAGTTCCTTATTCCTCTATATTCAGAATACTTGTCTATAAGCGATGGGCGATCTTCGGCAGAAGATTCATCTTCGATAGAATACTCATCGTCGGAATCATTTTCTTTCATATCATGATCACTGCAAGCAGACATTAAGGATTCCGAGTCACATTCCTCTTCTGGCTTCTCTATATCTGTGTTGAGAGTTCCCCCAATGTCGATGCTTACACGTAAATCACACCCTTTATATATCTTATCCCCAACTACCTCCTCAATAGACATCTCATATCTCCCATTGACAATCACCTTGTCACTAAGAAATCCACGCTTTAGAAATCCCTCAACATAAAAATATTCTCCATCACAATAAACGTTGCTTGGTACAATGTACGGCCTTCTACAAACAGATGTGTTTTTAACTCTCACATTGCTCAAAGCCCCAATCAGCCCTTCTATCTCAACTATCCTTTCTTTTGGAAAATGCTTCTTTGTAAGCCTCTTAGCCACGTCTTTGAGACCTTGATTAGCTATGCAAAATATGCAACTCGGAACAAATTTCTTGATTATCTTGAGCTTATCATCATCCACTTCATCAGAATCAATAAAAAACACCACCACATCACTTGCCCTGCATACATATCCTAGCTGAAGCCCGTTAAGTTCGTCCGTCTGCTTGAATAGGAAGTTCATTTTATGCTCCTCTGAGAAAAACAGTCCTCCTTCTCCATGCAAGTATTTGTCAAAATAATTCCCACAGTCTCTTCCTAGTGAGACAATGGACACCACCATATATGGCCCATGGCGCAGTGAGTATATGGCCTTGGACTCCTTGATCTTTGTAATACTGTCTACGCTCTTCATCTTCGTTCGGTTTCTTCTGTCTTTGGCCTTCATAAGCTTCTGGGGATTTGAAACAATAAAAATTTGGCTTCTTCCGGCTCGGCCTTTGAAAATATTGTATTGCTGTTAGGTTTATTTCTTAAGTACTCTTTTCATCCAGCAGTCGATTAACAGCATCAAAAAAATCAGACTTTCCGCTTCCTGTGTGCGAAGAGACAGACACAGACGTCATCGAATTGTAAAACTCCTCAAAATAAAGGGCCATCGACCCCAAAACAGGAGAAAACATGTTTTCCTCATTCAATGAGTCTCGGAAACTTTCGTAGTCAGAAATCCATTCCTCGAGAACCTTGCTCTCAGTTAGATCCTTCTTGTTGAAAAGACACAAAGTCTCAACCTCGTATCTACACATCAAGGAGGCCGCATACATCATGTTCGACATAAACACAGCATGCTTGTGAGAAGATACAGAATCAACTGTGTATATGAGAATAACGCTCCCAATGGTCTTAAGCGTCTCAATGAGCACATATCCCGGTGATGACCACGTAAACGCCTCAATCTGCCCAGGAGTGTCTATAATAACATATTCTTCCTTTATCTTGTCAATGTGTTCTCCAATATTTAAGAGGAATAGATTTAAGCACGTAGTAATCCCTCCGTTCGGCCCTAGCTGATATTTTTCCATCGTCTCATGATAGTCCACGGAGTCCCTTATATCAAGATTCAAAGGCATCTTTGCATTCACTACTGCAGGATCCAGGTTGATCGAGTATATAGACGAGTTCAACCCCGTTTCCGGATCTATTTTGCAATTGTCCTGGGAAATCCACGAGTAAAGTCTTTGGCAAAAGGTTGTCTTTCCACTTCCTGCCATTCCAACCACCACAAAAATTTTTCTTTTTGTTCCGGCTTCTTTCTCCTTCTCAGATTCCTTTGGATTCATGTTGGGGATCTTTAAACCCTTTCATTTCATCATGATAGAATCCAAAGACCTCATCCATTCACGATATCGTTCACAACATCCTCCACCTTAGACTTCATCAACACACTTTGCTCGATGCATCTATGAACGAGCTTCTCAGTGGCATCAGCAAGAAGAGTGGAATCCAAAATCCCGTCAAAATGGACTTGCATAATTCTTTTCCTGTGAATTACATACACCATATGCAGTGGAAGTAGATCAGGCCCCCCTGCAAGCGAAATCCCATCCTTCCCTGCATAAACAGTACCAGAGCAGATTGTGTCTACGACTCTGATCCCGGATAATATGACACACATAGAAAAAGAATTCACAAGGCAGGAAAACAAGTCCTCGCCATACTTCACTGCGTGAAACGATACTTTGATTTTCGTGGACCGGGACTTTGACGATAACAACGAATCGGCAATAGAAACAATAGGGGAACAGACTTTCAGGGGGAGCACATCTGAAAAATTCACCTCGACCCACGAGTCTGTCTCGCCCTTCTGCTCAAAATGTATGCTGCATATAACTGACGTTTTATTAGTTTTTAGGTAGCAAGATGAAAGAGCCTTCTCTACCATCCCTGTCTTTATTTCCATAAGGGCTTTCTAAATCTAATAGTTGTATAAGCTCCTTCTAAAGACAGAGGCACAGATGTCCCTGTAATAAAAGAGCCTGGCCATAGCAATTAGTCATGAATGCTTAGCTTTTTGCAAATTCTTTCTATCTCTTCGTAGACATTCTCAAAGTGGGGAGACTCATCCACTCCTTTTGTAAAAATTATATTCTCTGTATCCTCTGCTCGGTATACAGGCTTTACATCAACAAAGTACCTGACAATATCACCTAGCTTCTCAAGAACAACCCTTATCTCTCCCTCAGGATCGTTGGTCTCCTTCACAGTGCTTATAATCGCCACCTTGTACCCCTCGGGCGTAGACTTCTCCTCAGACCCCAGTATGACAACAAAAATATCGTTCTTCCTTTTCAACTCACCTTTCAGGAAAATTATCTGCGCTGAAGACGCTCCTTTTGTTACACAGGTAGCGTCTCCCCGTATCACACATATTCCCCTTATAATCTCATACAAAACCACACTCTTCTGGAAATAAGACTGGTCAGAAATTATCTTCCCAGCTTTTATTTTCAAAACCTCTTTGTTAACAGGCTCTTGGACAAGGATCTCCATGGCCCCCTCATCAACTTCGAGTACCTCTGCATTTATCATTATCTCTCCTCCCTTAGTGCAGCAACTTCGAGCAAATCCCTGTGCAATCTCAGAAAGCCCATACCTTGGATATAAATAGGGAGACTCCATCGAATTTTCATAGCATATGATAGACCTTACATACGTTACAATCTTATCAAACGTTTCCTGTGGGTGTTTGTCCAAGTACGAGTCGTCGAGGTTTAGAGCTATTCCATGGCCTATAAGCTCCATGGACTCCTCAGTAATCCCATACTCCCTGAACTCTTCTCTCATAGTACCCTTGAACTTGTACGGCTTTCCTTTCATCGCTGCTCTTGCATAGTCTCGGACATTCCAGAAGAATCTCATGACCTTGGGCTTCTGCCATATCCCTATTAGCCCAGTTGTCATGGATTGAGCTTCATTTGTTGGAACAGAATATAGCTTCTTCTTCCAAAGAAAAGATCCAGGAATTCTACAGAACTCTAGGTACTCGTCGATTCCATATCTAACTAGCATCTTTAACATTTTGCTGTCAGCAAGAAATAGCTTTGGTGTCAAATCTATTGAGAACTCAGAATCATATGCCTTCAGCTCGGGAATGGGATTCGAGTTTCCAAAATATGCCTCCAACTCCGTATATCTTAATGTTGCAAAGTCCGATCCGTACATCGGATTTCTGTCTATCAGAATAACCTTTTTGTTTCTTCCAGCTAAAATGCATCCAACCGCACACTCTACCAATCCTGTTCCAAGGATAACAAAATCGTACTCATGGTCGGCAATCATTTAGGATTTGTTTTTGTTTTTCTCAATTGTATTATCCGAGTTTCGCCAATAAATAGAAAAAAAAGCAAATGTATTTAATAACAGATGACACGTAAAATCTTACTGAAATCTCACGGGAGGCACCACTGCTATAGCCCTGGTATTGCACCGCCATCAGAGTTGTTGTCTTCGTCTTCAAACCCTCCAACGGGAATCTCAGTATTCTCGTCTGGTCTTGGCCTAACCCAGAATCTCACACTTTGGTCTACAGACCCAGATGCTAGAATGTGCCCTACAGGATGATAATCTAACGACCATACAGTGCCTTCATGTCCTTCATCAACAACCTCTAAGGGCACCTGAGTATATGCTTGCCAGAAGTAAAGCCCCCCCTCTGTACCTCCACTCACAAACATATCTGGAATACAAGGATGCGTTCCTATTGACGTAACTTCCTTCTTGTGGTTCTTGTAGGTGAATACGTCAGACATTGTTCTGATATCCACCATTTTTATTACTTGATCTTTTCCTCCCGTCAGAAGATAGTTTTCATCTCCCATCCATTTCAAGGCTAGTATCGTATTCTTGTGGTGATGCAAGGTGCACAATTCTTCTGCTGTTCGCGGGTCCCACATCTTAACAAGATTGTCTTTTCCTGCACTGGCTATCAGCGATTTATATTTATGCCACTGCGCAGCTCTTACGTCCCAGTTGTGTCCTCGGAGGACAGACTCTTCCTTCGCTTCAATTGAGTCCCAAACCTTTATTGTAGAGTCATCAGAAGCAGAACAAAATTTACTATCGTTGTGAGAAAACGAAAGATCCCTCACTGCCTCTGTATGCCCCTGTATTATCTGTATGTTGTTCATAGACGGATGCCAGTACTTGATTATTCCAAAATTGTCTGAGGAAATCAGGAACGATCCAGAAGGTGACCAAGCCATTCCTCTGACAGGCGACTCATGAGCCTGTAGAATGGTCTCGAAATTACATCCATATCCGTTCCACAAAGTAAACTCTCCTGTGGCCGTCCCACTCATCAACCTCCTGCCATCAGGAGTCCATCTAACAATATTCACCGGGCACTTAACTTTATTGACACTAACATGCTCAATCTTTGTTGTGAACAAGCTCGAGATGTCGTTGTAGCAGAGCTCAGGTGATTTCAGGTTAAGAATCTGGGGGGACAATTCAAAGCTCGCGTTAACCTGTAGAGGATCAAGCCTCCTCCTCACCCTTTGAATGCAAATGCTAGAGGTGTAATCAACCACCTTTCTTTCTTGTAAAACCCTCATTCTTTTACCATCGTAGACAAATTTTGGATTCTGAAATCTAGCACTTATCAGCTCCTTTATGTTCACACCATCGTCATTCATCCAAAGCTAAAAGGGCTCTGCAAAAATTGGCATATCCATACACATTTTTAATAAACCCACAAGATGGACCATTTTAGTTCTTGGCTTTTTTCTGGGTCTCCGGGTCGTAGATCTTTTGCTTGTTATTATAGTTAAAGACACTTCTTTTGCAAAAGTATGTTGAAAATGATACTTCTCTATCGTCATTATTTTTCCTTTCTGCCCTTTGCATAAACTTTAGTCCCTTCAGCTTTTCGCTGATCCCACTCATCCTGGGAACAAAATATTTTTGATTATCAGTGTATGGGTCACTTCAGGAAAAACTCTATTATATCGTCGGCATTCTTTCTAGGAATCCTCTTTCCATCTATTTTAAACCCATAAAGCTCCTTTAGACCGCCATTTTGAATTCTGCAGACCAATTCTCCAATTGTCTTGTAAGACTCAGCTAATGCCCAGGCCTTTTTATGGCCTATTCCTTTAATCGAAAGTAGGGATATGTAAAGCAGGTACGTCAGGGTTTTTCCTTTCCCCTTGGTGCTTTTATCAATAAAACTCCCATAGCTCATTTCCATCTCCTCTTCAAAGTCCTCACAAGTTCTTGGGTATCCTTCATGTTCCCTATCTTCATCCAATCCATCTGGGATCTTAGGCCGAGATTCATATCCTTTTCTTATCTCACAATCTATCATATGAATGACAGAACCTGTCTGATTTATATCCTTTGTCTCTATAACAGTAAACCCTTCAAGCTTGGTTGCAGTTAGGCACGACATGACAAGTCCCTTTCCCACACTCTGCATGTGGCTGCTCTTCAACCCCTCCACAACATAAAAAATCCTCTTGATCCCTGTGCCCTTTAGCCTATTCTTCTGCTCCTTGAATCTTCCATCTACTATGCTACTTACAAAGTCGCTTCCTTTCTTTCTCTCTATTATAAACCCACACACCTTCTCCCCTCTAATCCAGAGAAAATCTCCAACTTCAAGAACTCGGGTATCGTGCCTAATCCTCTTGGATTCAAAATACCCTTGAAAAAACAATCTAGATTTTCTGCTTTTTATTTCTCTAGAATCTATTATAAGTGTCACATCCTCCGATTCCTCCTCAATAGCAGATGTATTTGCAAACATGGTTGATGCCAATTCTCTTCCTTCATCTGTAAGATAGAACCTAGACCTTCCCTCCTTATACACAATTCCTTTTTTCACCAATGTTTTCATAGAAGACCAAGCAGAATGCATAGAACCAAAGTCAAACTCAGAGTCACAGTAGTTTTTTCCTATATGTGCTATCTCGTGTTTAGTAATCCCCTCTTTTATCCACAGTGCCTTCATTATTCCATAACTCCCTGTTCTATATCCGGGAACATACCTTCTCTTCCTATCCACATCCTTCTTGGGGCTACAGCTGTCGATGCTTCCAGAACCTAGCTTTTTTTTAGCCTCCTCATGTGCATCTGCCGAAAGGATACTCGAATATTTCTCAAGGTCATCTTCTGTCTTTATGCTCTTCACAATCTTTTTGCTTATAAATTCTTGTATTTCCCTAATTGTCTTGCACCCCGCCCCCTTTATGTTCTCTAGTGCGTCCAGCGAGTACAGAGGCTCCCCAATCTTATCTAATTCTTGAGCTATTTTTTTGTAAGAATACTTTGATTTCATATTCCTGGACGATGATACACGAGACAAGAAATTTACAGCTGACTTCACCAGCTGTGTCAGGTCCACCTGGGCCTTAGACATCGAGGGTTTTGTATATTAGATAATATTTAAGAATTACTTGGTTTTATTCATTTCTCTTTCAATCAAGTTCATCCTTTCAATCAGAGTGGGATGAGTGTGCACAACTGCAGAATAAAGCGGGTCCGGCTCCATGTTTCCACTATTCTTTTCGAAGAGCTTGACGAGCCCAGAGGAGAGCTCCTTTCCATATCCAAGTGACACTGCAAACCTGTCTGCCTGCCTCTCAAAGTACCTCGATATGAAGTTCCTTATCGTGTCAATAGGGACACTTAAAGCCCCAATTATCATAAGAAAGTAGACACATCTTATTAGTAATGGTAGTTCTTCTCCAAGGACGAGACTTCCAAGGGATTTAGAGTTCAGCGAAATGTTCAATATATACAGATATAACAGCTGTATAAGAAGAACTACAGACACCATTTTTGCCACATGGTTGTACTTCCAATGGCCAAACTCATGGCACAAAATGGCAAGCACCTCTTCCTCATTAACCTGCTTCAATAAGGTGTCGTATATCACAATTCTCTTCTCTTTGGTAATTCCTATAAAGTAGGCATTGGAGTGCCCTGACCTCTTTGATGCATCCATCACAAGTATTTTCTTGGCACAAAACCCAACCTTGTTTGCCAGCTCCTCAATCCTCGTCCTGAGATCAGATTCCTTCATCTCCTCAAACTTGTTGAACAGAGGTTGGATAAAAATAGGATACACAACAACAAGAACTATCTGGAAGATGGCCATGAAAGCCCACAGGTAGAGGTAGAAGGAGGTTTTGTGGTATCTCTTAATTATACCTGTGGTAATATGCAGGAATGGGAACAATATAACTGTAATTACAATTGACATCTTCAGAAAATCCATCATAAATGTTGAAAGTGTTGTTTTGTTGAATCCGTGCTTGGCCTCGACGTAGAATGTCGAAATAATATCAAGTGGGAGATCAAAGAGCCTTTGAAGGTGAGCATATCCCATTAAAAACAATGCATCTCCATACCAGCTATTCGCAAAGCATTTGGCGCTGTACACTCTCTCAAGTACCTTCTGCTTGATCAAATAGAGGTCTCTGGCAAGAAAAATGGTAAGCTCACAAATGGACATTATCAGCTTATCTCTGTTGTACTCCTTTGTTTTCTTTATCTGATCAGGGGTTGCAAGTCCAAGATATGTCTTGGAAGGTGTCTTGGCCAGTTGCCTTAGCTCTCGCATCTTTAGGTAAACTACAAAAATGTAGTTCATTATGGAAATTCCTGACAAAAAGTTTCCTGCCATTGAGGGTTGAGATAATGCACAATAAAGATCCTGATGATATCTTAATGAATATTAAGACATGCTTCTCTAGGCACAAGTATAGTATAAGAGGTTTTCTTTATAGGGATAGTAATAATGCCATATAAAGATGACTTTGTCATAAAATAGAAATAGAAGAATTGTAGGCTTTTAATTTGTATTTAGAATTATTTGACTTAAACAGATAATTCATAATTATAAAAACAACATACAGCTTGCAGGTATGAGGTCTGTTTATTCGATAAAGTGGGCTCTCATGATTCTTACGGTGTGTGCTGCGCCACCAAAAAAAATCCCTAGAACTTCAGATGAAGAACCCCATACAAGTTCCAAAATTACAGGCGAGATTCTCCATACTAGCCCAGAGCTTCTTGAAGCTTCATTTAGGTGTAAAATTGCAAGAGATAGCAAGTCTCTGGTTGACAGAGTCTTTACTAAGTCTCCAGAGGAGATTAATGATCTAATAATTCAAATGCTGAAAGAGGGAAGAGACTTTTCTGGAGAACAGGATTTTTGGAGCTTTGTGGACAAGCATAGCTTTGTACCTGGAGCAGAGCTTGCCCTCGCCAGAGATGATGAAAGTCTTCGAAAAGAAATTCCATCTGAGGATCCGGAGTATGTAGTAAAGCTTTATGAAGGCCTAGATCCCAGTGGTCCTTTATACCAAAATAATACATACATTCAAGGCGTGGAAAACTTGGTCAGAATTGGAAAAATACTCAATAGCGAGTGGGAGAATATTTACGTGAGGCAACTTGATGATGAGGAAGGCTATCATACAACTATGATAAAAATCAAAAATCCATTTGTGATTCCCGGAGATAGATTTAAGGAGGCCTATTATTGGGACAGCTATTGGGTTATAGAGGGCCTGGTTAGAAACGGAATGGGAAAAGTTGCCAAGGATATGGTTGAGAACTTTATACTCCTAATAGAGAAGTACGGATTTATTCCAAATGGGCTTAGGAAGTACTATCTGAACAGAAGCCAGCCTCCATATTTTCCCCAGATGCTTCTTACAATTTATAGACATCTTCCATGGAAAGACGTGGAAGAAATAATAAGAAGAGGACTAAATGCAGCAGTTACCGAATATGAGTTTTTCATGAGAGAAAAGTCAGAAAGTATCGTAAAGGATGGGAAAACATACGTCCTCAATGTCTACAAGGTCGGTGATTGCACACCAAGGGCAGAATCCTACAGTGAAGATAGAATAACGGCTGAGGAAAACAAGGCTAGGGCAGAAAAATATAGAAGAAGAAGTGGAGACATTTATTCAGAACTCAAGGCTGGTGCAGAATCTGGGTGGGACTTCTCATCCAGGTGGCTGGGCATCCATGGCCATCTTGATTCTATAAGAACCTCCAAAAGGGTTCCTGCAGATCTAAATGCGATGATGTACGCTAACGAATGTATAATTTCAAAGCTGTATGAAATAATTGAGGGTAAAGAGTCAAAAAATTCACAAGATTTTAAAAGGAAAAGCGAAGAGAGAGTTGATGCAATTAATAGTGTTTTATGGTGCGATCGAGAGGGGGTATGGAACGATTATGATCTAGAAACAGGGGAGCACACATCATCCGGATTCTACGCTTCAAATTTAATGCCGATGTGCTATGGAATTAGTCCTCCAAAAGATAAAGGTGTAACTGTCTATAGTATTCTGAATATGTTTGTAGAGGATATGTTTGGGCATTCCGGAGGAATGCCGGTGAGTGGGGCTAAAAATAAGAACAGTACCTTACAATGGGACTATCCAAATGTATGGCCTCCACTTGTGCATGTGGTAACACTATTTTTAGAGAGGATAGGTGAGCGTGAAATGGCATTGCACATGGCTAGGTCTCTTGTTCAAAACATATCCATTTCTACTTCCGTTACTGATGAAGAAAAGAGGGGTATTTTCGAGAAATACAGTTGTGAAAATCCTGGGAGTCCCGGATACAAGGGAGAGTATACAGCGCAAAGGGGATTCGGGTGGACTAATGGCGCTGTTATTCATTTCATAGACACTTTTGGCTTAGAGTTAGTTGCCAACAAAACCCATGAAGAGTCATACAAATCTATCAGAGCCTTTCTAGCAACGAAAGCTGCTAGTGAAGAGGTTCCTGAAAAGCACACACCGGAAAGCTGCCTTCTTTTGGATTTCTAGCCTTTTCATATGTGGAGTAATAAACGATTTGAAAGGTTACTACTATTCCAAACAAGCATTCCCTTTATTTTTTACACACAATAACTAATAAAGATTTCCTGCTTTAATTACGTCATTCGTTTTCATTATTCGCCTATCCTTCTGGAAATTAGATAGTCAAAACCTAGCATCAATAACATCTTCCAAACAAAGTGTAATGTATAGCTTGTCTGCCACAATTTATACATTCCAGGTCATTGCAAGGCTTCGAATTGTAAGGGATACACAAAGTCTTTGCTCCTGTTGAAACAACCTCACCGTTTGGTCCAAACTTTGTACTTCTAGACTTGATTGCAGCCTCACACTCATCAACTCCACACCACGGTGCCATTATTATATTTTTGTTATCAAGAGCAGAGATAAACTCCTCAAAGTCCTTAACATAGGAAATCCTGCTGTCTCTTTCCACAGTAGCCTTGGAAAGCATGTCAGCATGCATTGTGTTAATCTCTTCCTCAATAGTTTGGCCTATGCCCTCCACAGATATCTGTCTCTTGGCTCGAGTATCCCTTCTTACTAAGCAAGCCTCAGAATTTGCCATGTCCTTGAATCCCACCTCTAGTCTCAGTGGAACACCCCTTATTTCCCAGTGATTGAACTTGAACCCCGCAGTCACATTGCTTCTATCATCAACGTGTACACGAATTCCAGAACTTCTGAGCTGCTCCTGTATTTTGTCGATATACACTTTTAGTCTTTCTGTATCGTCTTTTGAAGAAGAGGATGTTATTCCACACGGGACAATAACAACTTGAGTCATAGCCACTCTTGGTGGAAGTACCAAGCCCAGATTGTCAGAATGTATCATGACTGCAATCCCAATGGATCTTGTTGTTATTCCCCAGGAATTTTGGTAGACGAAGCTACTGTTTTCGCTTCCTTCCTCTGTGTCGACCTTTACGTCAAACATTCGAGAGAAATTCTGCCCAAGGGAATGGGATGTTGCGGCCTGAACCCCTCTACCGGTACCCGGAATAAAGGCTTCGATTGATGTGGTGTAATCTGCACCGCCAAACTTCTCACTTTCCGTTTTTCTTCCTTTTATTACGGGCACAGCAAGAAGCTCTGAATATATTCTAGAGTAAAGATCTAGAATTGCAAAAACCTCCTTGTCCGACTCCTCCTTTGTCAAAAAAGCAGTATGTCCCTCTTGCCATAGAAATTCTTTTCCTCTTATGAATGGAAGCGTTCCGTGCAGCTCCCACCTCAAAACACTGCACCATTGGTTTATCTTCAGAGGGAGGTCTCTGTGGCTTCTTATCCACTTTGAAAAAGATGGATATATTATTGTTTCTGAGGTAGGCCTGATGGCAACAGGGTCTTCCAACACTTCGCTTCCACACTTTGTGATCCATGCAACCTCGGGAGAGAAGTTCTCTATGTGACTCTTTTCTTTTTCAAGCATCGATTTTGGAATCAGCATAGGAAAGTAGCATTCTTGGACACCCATCTCCTCTATCTTTTCAGTAAACCACTTCTGGATGCATTTCCAGACAAACTGCCCCTGGGGCCGCATTACATAGCATCCCTTTATCTCATAGTAGTCCAGCAGCTCTCCCTTTGTTATAACCTGCACGTACCATTCGGAAAAATCCTCTTCCCTTTTGGTTGTTATTCCAAACTTTTGCTTGGTCATAATAGGGCGAGAAAAATTAATAATATTCATGAAACCTTAATTCCTTCCAGGATGCATACATTTACCTCTTGTGAGCGCATCTAATCCGTTTCACACTCCACATCTTTTATTTTTGGCAATGGCCAAATTGTTTCTGATTGGGAAACCTTGCCTTATTTCGACAAAAACCATTTCCATCGAAAACGTCCCTCATGGCGAAAAAATCGGTTTCGGACAGATTGTCGTCCACTAGATCGGAAAACTCGCTTTACAATCTTACTCGAAGGTTTTTAAAGCTCATAAGAATGTCTCCAGACCGCAACATAAGCATCCACCAAGCATCAATAGAGCTGAATGTGGGAAAGAGGAGAATATACGACATAACAAACGTATTGGAAGGATTGGGACTTTTGAGCAAATGGTCTGTAAGCAATGCAAAATGGATTGGAGGAAGTATTGATCGATACATACTCGACGATGAGGAGAAGGAGAATCAGAAGAACGCCTACTTCGATCCGGAAAACCTCCTAAAGGGGGATGACCTGGATGAGACTCTCAGTAGACTTAATGAAGAGATCTCTATGCTTTCTCAATCTGAGAAGAATCTTGCAAATGCATATGTTACATATTCTGATCTCCAAAGCCTTCCTTCCTTGGATGGAAACCTCATCTTTGCAGTCAAAGCACCTTCTGAGACAACCATGGAGTACCCAAGGTATGAAAAGGGCTTCTACAAGCTCAAGTTGAGCTCCGAGCAAGGAGCCATAAGCATTTTCTACGTTTCTGATGAGAAAAGAGATTAAAGCTGTCTTATATTCAATGTTTAGAACATATTCGCATCCTGTATATTATAATTTTCATCAGCAGACGCCTTGAATATGGCCGGTGGAAGAATATTGGTAGTGGGGTGTGGAGGAATAGGATGCGAGCTGTTAAAGTTACTGGCAACGGAGGATTTTGAAAGCATAACACTGATAGACTGTGACACCATTGATCTTTCCAACCTAAACAGACAGTTTTTCTTCAATAAGGATGACATTGGAAAAAATAAGGCGGCTGTGGCTGCAAGAATCTTCAAGAAGCTGAATAAGACATCCAATGTGCTTTCAATGTGTGCAGATATCACTAAGTTCGACGTGCTGTTTTTTGCAGGCTTCCAAATGGTGTATAGCTGCCTAGACAATGCTGAGGCAAGAAGTTATGTGAACCAGCGATGTTTTATGTCAAAGACTCCTCTAGTGGACGGAGGATGCGGAGGATTCAAGGGGCAGGCATATTACTTTGATTATAGTTCTGAATGCTTTGACTGCATTCCAAAGAAAGTTTCGAAGGAATACCTAGTGTGCACAATCCGGTCAAGACCGACCAAGTTTGAGCATTGCATTATATGGGCAAAGCACGTGCTTCTTGAAATGAAGTTTGAGACAGATAAAAGCAGCCACGGCTTTTACCAGAGATCACTAAAAGGCATTATAGAAAACTGTGAGGATATGTCGACTGCAGATGAAATAGAAAGGTTTAGAAACAGTGAGGACTACAGGAAAAGGACCAAGAGGATTACAGAAATCCTTTACAAGCTGGATTCTGTCGCATTCAACAAAGACAGTCGAGACATCATGGAGTACATATACAATGCAGCATATATAAGAGGAAAATGTGCAGGAATTGAACCAATCCCATTTGATGAGGCAGTTACAATAGCAGGGAATATAATCCCATCTCTGAGCACAATAAATTCAATAGTTGCATCCCTGATGATATTATCTGCTAGAAACAAATGCAATTATTATTCTGTCGACAACGGAAATGTTATAAGAAGACTGGAAACATGTGAAAGGAGACCGGACTGTCCCACGTGTTCCCATCGCTGGTACAGAATTTTTTATGACGGGCCTTTGACTTTTAGAAGGTTAATTCGATGTTTCGAAAAGCGTGGCCTAGAGATGGCAGCATACTCGGATAGAAGGCTGTTTCTTACGCGTAGCATGACGGAGTATTTAGACAAGGATCTTGAATTCGAAAGCAACAGTATTGGGGAAGCTATATGCATGAAAAACAATAGAAGAATAAAGGCCTACTTGTATTTCCTGCGAAGAGGAAAAACTTTGTCTCTTAGGAGAATACACAATGCAAGGGAAAAGAGATAGAAAGGACTCTCGAATAAATGTTAGATGAAAATGTTTGTCTATTTGGTACAAATAAACATATTTGCTTTGTGTTGAGTTTGAACACTCGAGCTTATAAAAGGCCAGCAACGCGCCCAACACAGGGGTATGTCTGTTGAAAGTATTAAAAGGCTTGTACAATGTGAAAATGAAGCCAAGGAAAGGCTGGAGGTAGCTCGCAGAGAGCTGGAGGAGATGCGGAATCAGGCAAGAAGCGATGCAAGGCTGATGGTAGAGGGCCTTAAGAAAGAGAATGAGAGCAAGCTTCTTCTTCTAGAAAAGGAGGTCGAGGAGTACATAAAGATTGTTGACAAAAAGCTGAAGTCTGAGCTTGAGATGAAAATCAAGGAACTCAGGAACATTAGAAACAGAGAGGATATTGTCTCTGCTTTGGTGAAGCATGTTTCTGGAGCAGATCTGAAATAAATCTTTTTCTGTTGTTTTGTAGTGGCAAAAGAACTTCCTTTGAGGTATATATTGTCGGAGAGACCTCGGGCCAAAGAATGGATTTTGAAATTCAAAGCACATTCAAGCCAAGTGTGTTTGTGTGTACGACAGGGATTTCAAAAGAGGAGCAAGAGTTGATAAAAACCCAGCTTCCAAAGCATGTAGTTCTTGAAGACACTCTGTCGATCACCACAAACTATCTGATTTCTTACAAGGCAATGATGACAGAAAAATACATTCAGGCATTGAAGTGGAACATAAAGATTCTTCATATCAAGTGGCTGTACGACACAGATGAGAGCACAAAAAAATATGAAATGATGCCACTTGAGGGATGTAGTTTTACGGTTTCTGAGGTTTCTAATGATTCTCTTGTCAACTACCACTGCTTGCTTGGTGCATCCTTCACCCAGAATCTCACTGTGTGGACGGACTTCCTTATAACCGATTCTAAGTCGAATGATAAGACGATGTTCTGCAAGAAATACGGAATCCCAATAGTCACCTCAAAGTGTATCTTTGGAAATGACTACAGCATGTACAGAAAGGATCCTTGCTTCAAGGCTATAGAGAAGGCCAGCGGATCTGTGTTTAATGAGAAGGTGTTTTTTCTTGATCCCAAGCTTCCAAAGGTTCTTTTTAATCGTCTCCGAAGGCTGATTATATCGAACGGCGGAACCAGAGTGTCTTCTATTGATCGAGACGTTGATTTTGTGATGACGCAGTCTTATGGCAACTTTGAGAGGCATGATGGCAAGGTTTTCCATTACCAATATGTGTTTGATTGTATTGAGGCCGGGGCTGTTCTACTTCCTGGATCATACAAGGTTCATTTTGGCCGAAGAAGGCCTGTTCTGAACGAAGCCATATGTTGTATTGATGCAAGCCTTAAAGAATGCAGGACAGAGATGTTTAATAAGCTGAGAGCTTTGGGTGCAATTGTCAAGGAGGATGTTGATGCGAGTTGTACTCACTTGATAATAAAAGACAGGAAAGGATACAGAGAGGATAGACGCATGCCTTGCAAGGTTGTACTTTCTTCATGGGTTGACCAATGCTTGCATCTTCTGAGGCGTGTGAGCGAAGACAAGTACAGCGTTGGAATAGATGCATCAAACTTCTTCATAGAAAGTAGAAGAAACGAGATTTCCAAAAAGTTGAAGGTGTCTAAGCCTATCCTGTTTCAGTTTACCGGATTATCCCCACTTCTAAAAAAGAAGGCGATTGAAAAACTCGAAAGCCTAAATATAAAATACAGTGACACCGACAGATATGAGAAATGCACCCACCTCATTATGGAGACCATATGCACTTCTGAGAAGTTTTTGTCGTGCTTGTGTAATGGCGGATGGATTCTTAGGCCGGACTTTATAGACAAGTTTGATAATTCTTTAGATTTCGACTTCAGTAAATACGAATGGACTGCAGATGAAAATGTTCCTGAGAAGGAAAGAAGGGTTGCAGCTTCTATCCGAAAGTGGAGGGAAAGAGTAACATCCAGTGGGAAGCCGGCATTCCATAGATGGGTGGTCAAACTATACTGTGAGGACCAGAAGAAGGAGAGTTATGCGAGAGTTATTGAAAATGGAGGAGGATGTGTTACTGAAGGAAGTGAGTACACACATTGTTTTGTATCCAAAACTTATAAAGAAGAGGTGCCAGTAGAAAAGAAATACAGCACCGATTATATATTTTCACATTTGTTCAGGTAATCTTTGACACAGGGTTTTTGATTTTCCAACTAACCCTAGTAAATGATTTTTGACTACGGGATTTTCTTTTCAAGAAAGGTTTCTGTTTGCCTGTATGAGGGACATATGCTAGTGGGAAACAAAGCTACCTTTTCAGCTATCAAAATAGAATTCACAGATAAAGACCATGTATTTCTTCACCCAAATGCCATGAGAAAAAGAACTTATGTGGAAAGGGTTGCTTCAAATCCCAGATTGGTTTTGAGAAGCAAAGGAAATCCAAAAGAGAATCTGAAGCTGTATGTGTCTCTTGTAACTAAGGGAAAGTACAGGCCCATTATTCGCGGAAGCAAAGAAAAACAAATAATCGAGAATGCCATTAGAGGGAAGAAAGCAGCATGGAGATACATAGCCGCAAGGGATATTTATGGATATGACAAATTGGCGAGCATCCTCAATTCCGACGTATATCACGATTCAGAGACGACTCTTAAAAGAAAAATAATGAATACGCTTAAAGCCTGTACTGGCGAAAAGAATGGGGCAGACGAACGAAAAATTGTATGTGATATCCTTAAGAATGAGAAGGGAATTCCCAAGGAGGTAGACTTTGCCCTTAAGGTCCATCATGATTTTTGCATTAGAAGTAAAGGGATCTTCCCACTGGGTGAAATGGATAGAGAGTATGGCAAAATGCTTGACCCGATTCTCTGGAATAGGCTAAATAACGAAGTAAAAGCATGTGGGATAGATCATCCGTTCTACAACGAAGTGGTTCTATTCAACTTGTTTGTAAAGTACAAAGACAATATCCTTGAATTTGACAGGAAAGCCTTAGAGAGGGACGTGTTTCATACAATTAACGAAAGAGGCATCAGAGACTTTATTGCAGAAAGGGTGGAGAGATTTTATGCCTCCAGGGGAGATCCTTCTAATGATAATTAAAGTAATGTGATCGATAGTTGAAACGTGTTTCAGGTGTGACTTAAAAGCGAATCAGGATGCAAATACGATGCCAAAAGTGAAGTATCTCGATGTGTCCACAACCCTCCTGATATTTGCACTGAGTGTAATCATAAAAACCTACAAGATAGAAAACGGGAACTTTGTTATTTGGGATGAGGCACACTTCGGCAAATTTTCGGAAAAATACTTGTCTAGGAAGTTCTACTTCGACGTTCATCCTCCTCTAGGGAAGATATTGACCTCGCTTGGAGGATATCTCTTCAACCAGCCATTGGACTTTGAGTTCAAATCTGGAGAGAAATTTCCCCAAGGGTTTGATTATTCAGGAATGCGAAGGTTCCACTCAGTCATAGCATCTTTTACGCCTGTTTTTGGATATCTCATGCTCAGGGAGATGGGATATTCATATAGGCGTAGGGCCGTTCTGTCTCTAATGTTCATATTTGAGAATGGATTCACATCCATCGGAAGGCTCATACTTTTGGATTCCCATCTCTTGACATTTACAGCAGCCGTTGCATACTTTATGACAAGAATGTATTTTAGATCGAAGAAAAGAGTAGACCTCCCCTCCATTTTTTTTCTGGGCATAACTCTAGGCTGTGTTATGAGCATCAAATGGATAGGTTTTTTGACAATGAGCCTGGTTGGAACATTTACCATATATCGTCTATGGTGCAACGTAACTTCTAAGGAAAGCATTCTTGCCTTTGCGAAGCTGTTCCTTGTAAAAGCATTCTTCCTAATTGGCATTCCCTCATTTTTGTATGTTTTTCTGTTCTACATTCATTTTGCGATAGTTAATAGAAGTAGCAGTGATGATGGGCATATGAGCTCACTTTTCCAGGCCACACTCAAGGGAAGCGACATCAGCAATAATAGAAAGTACCCGCTATTTGGAACAAAGATAACCATCAAAGCATCCAAAGTAGGTGGAGGATATCTTCATTCCCACGACCATAAATATCCAGATGGAGAAAACAACCAGGTAACCATCTATCACCACAAAGACGAGAATAACGGATGGGTATTCCAGAAGGTGACGGACGACCTTGAAGATGCAGACTTTATAGAGTCTGGTGATACCGTGGTCCTATTGCATATGGAAACAAGAAAGTACTTGGATGTCCCTGGCAATCACTCTCTTATCTCAAGCGGATTGAGAGCAGAGTCTTCTGGGAGCCATCTCTCCGATACAAACTTGTTTAAGGTCGAAATAGTGAACGACTCTCTAAAGAAAGAAGACCGAATGAAGACCCTTACAACCAAGTTTAGGTTGTTAAACATCAAACACAATTGCTACCTTAGGCCTTCATCGAAGAAGTATCCCTCTTGGGGGTTTGAGCAGGGAGAGGTTGTCTGTACTACGAAAAAAGACAAGGCCTCCCTTTGGAATGTCGAAGAAAACGTTACTAACAAGCTTGATGAGGAAAGAAACCCTATATACAAAGAGATTGCAGAATACCCGTTTATCAAAAAGTTCATAGAACACAACAAGACCATGTTTATCACAAATGCCTCCTTCGTCCAGGATGAGGACCTTGAGCCAGAAAGAATAGTTTCAAGGCCACATGAGTGGTTTACCCTCAGACGAGGGCTGAGAATGACTGCATGGGACGGGCAGAATGAGAAGTTCTATATGTTTGGAAACCCGCTTATATGGTACTCTTCAGGTATCTGCATAATCCTTTCTCCCCTTATTCTTCTTTCTAGGGTCATCAGCCGCAAGAGAAGGGGAAAGCCACTGACCTTCCTAAAGAGTGAGGGTTATATGGTCTTTTTGTCGTGCTGTGGATGGTTTCTGCACTATATTCCATTCTTCTTTGTCAAAAGAGTACTGTATTTCCACCACTACTACCCCGCTTTGTTTTTCGCATTATTTTCATTGTGCTATATTATGAAGTTCGTTAAGTTCAGGTTTGTTGTCGTGTTCATGTCTGCGGTGATTATATCCTTTTTCCTATATTCAAGTCTGACATACGGGTTTAAGGAAGAAACATCATTTCTTAGGAGAATCAGCATGGTTCCTACCTGGGATTTCATAGAGAAGGGGTGATAAGATGGGCTTATCCCGGGGCTTTCACACCTGGTTGGATGCACACTTCCACATCGTTTCCTAGGTCTTTAAGATGAATGTTCTTCTCATTAGCAAGATGAAGAAGGGAAATAAAGCAAAGATGCATAGAAATGTCTTTAGATTCTTCATCCCCATATATTTTAGGCACACTTTCAAATATAGAAAGCAGGGTAGTGTTTCCCTTCATAACAGAGTCAAATACATTATCCTTCAGTTTCTTGATGTTGACTTTTTTGGGTGCCTTTCTGAATGGAATAAGGTTCCTTTGGCTTCCCTGTGAAGGAATGTCAGCTACAAACTCATCCTCAGGCTCCTCAATAACACAGGACGGGGGAGAGTAGTCTACTGGTTCCTCATCCACACAACTCTGACCTCTACGGAATGTCCCGTCTCTTATCAAGTACTTATATAAATCTTCTACTTCCAATCTAAAGTCTTGAGGCAATATATGATGGTTTTCTCTGCGCTCCACTATAAAGGATGGCTCAAAAAGAGTATTCCCAGGTTCTGCTATGCCTTCATGGTCAATAATCTCGGTAAAGTCCAAAAAAGAGGCCTCCTTTGGCTTTTGGACGCCAGTTCTTCCCTTTCTGGCCTGTACCTTCCAGTGGCTTGGCCCGGCCCATCCTTTAAGATGAGAGAACGGAACTTCCTCCCTGTAGCCAAAATTCTGAGTATCGTTTAATGGAGGGATCTCTGAAAAGTCGAGGTTTTGATCAACCTCAAGCCCAGCAGATCCCTTGACGCTTTCTTCTTCATTATATGCTACAGGTTCTATGATTATTTTCTCTATTTCCTTATCTTCACTTATGCTAGGAGAAACAAGAAGTCCTTTTGGAAAGCTTATCGCAAGTTTGAGATCATCTATAATCATGGCTTTCCTATCTTTGGAAGAAGACATTCTAAGCACTCCGTCAGAGGAAATTTCAGCCGCTTCAACCATCAAGATACTTTCCGTCAATGATGTCAAGTATAGAAACTTCGAATCAACGGATTTCCTCAAAGTACCCACCTTGATATTGAGATTCAGAATGTTTTTTTCGATCGTCGTCTTATTCTGCCTTCTGTTTTGCTTCTTCTTAATTTCCTCCCTTCCAAATCCTTCTAAAAGCCTCATGGCATTTTCAGAAACGTCATCCACACGCGTTGAATAAACCTTAGCACATCCATCCAGGGTACAGCTGGCTTTCTGGAAGTTGATTCCTTGCTTTTCCCGAAACTCGTCTATGTTTGTAAAATGGTCAATTAGGGTAGATCTCCATGTGTTTTTCGTAGTAATTTTATTTTCAGCAGCAACCTTGAGCCAGGCTCCCAGATCGTCAGACATAGGGGCATGGATATGATACGTTTTCACCCCAGATTATGCCGCTTGAGTGAAAGAATATTGCCAATCATAGCCTTTATCCCATGGATGAGAAGTTCAAGGAAGTCTCGAAGCTGATGAAAGAGATCAAAAGAAAGATCGAAGCAGTAGCCCAAAGCAGCGCACACATCAAAGAGTTTAATTACAAGGTAGAGGCATTATTGGCAGCTTTCGATGCATATACATCTCACATTCCGGAAAGTAGCCTAGAAACAGATAGAGCCTCTTCAAATGCAATTCCATCTAGGAAAATCATACAGAAGGAAAGCACAAGAGAAGATGTAGTGGCTCCTCCGCCAAAAGTGAGGAAAGAGGAAAGCTTTGAAGAGTTTATGAGAAGAATGGAGTCCAGCACGGCATCCAATAAGGTGTTTAGAACTAACGCTACAAAAATAGCAAAATTTCTTTATGGGAACAAAGATGGGGCTGCACTGGAAGAAATCATTAAGCATACAGGTATCTCAAGGTATAGATGCGTCGATATCCTCAACTCGATGCTTAGAACAGATCCTCCGCTAGCGTCAAAAAGGTTTGACAAGGGATTTATTTATTCCATAGCGCTCCTCTGAAACTTTTCCAATAAACATGCAGTATACTACGGCTCTCCTTGCAGCTCCCTGATGTTGAACGGGGACCTTATAATCCCCTTTCCCCTCACACCTGCCTTATAGGCTAGAGTGAACAATTCCACAAGCATCTCGGAATCGTCCACGAGGAAATTTATCTTATCATTATCGCCGCTCGAGCAGTCTATCTTTATGTGTCTTCTATTGAAGAAGCACATGATATTCAAGGGTGAGTCTAGCCTCATCACATCCACGAGCTCCTCAACAGAACTTCTTTCACAAGTGTATATGTCAACATAGTTAGAGAGAGAATGCGCTGCCCTTTCAAGAACAGCGTCCGCGTGAATGCATATCGGATCATCGCTATCCCCAAATCTTATAACCACGAGTCTGCAAAGCGTGTCTCCAACCGCCCTATTTACATCATCTAATGAATATAATGCACCCACCATGGGTCAAGGTATAAACTTGCTATGTTTGCAATTTCAGAGGTCTTTGAAATATCTCAGCAATGATCCAATGGGATTTCTGTCAATGTAAAGCTCTTCTCTGCATTTGAGATATTGGCCTCTTTTTCTTTTGAATCCCTTTGCATTGTAGATATAAAACTTCTCAATCCTCTCAGTGATCTTGTCCCGGGCATCAAAGAACACAGGAGCACTAGACACTATTTTATATATACATCTTATGTGAGGCTTTGTGAGATTGTTTTGGAATTCCGAAAAGCAGTTACTCAGTTCTTTGTTGATCGCAGGCGAGGAGGGCTGCTGATATGCTCTTATGAAGGTTTCTACAAACTTGAATGGGAAGCCTTTCAGGAGCTTGAGAAACAACCCCATGCTTTCCCTGGACTGCATTCCACGGATCATAGGGATTATGTCAGCTGTGTCCGGCATCATAAACATAGATCCATTGTAGAGTGTCAATAAAACCCTTGTGCTTTCTGATGAGAATCTCAGGGACACAGAGGCCAACAACGACTTGATAATCGGGCTTGTGGATGCAAATGGAATCATCATCCCTTCATCCATCTCCGGTGGGTCTGTATAACCGCCCTTCAAATACTCCAACTTCTCTGGAATCCGAACTCCAAGAGTTGTTCTAAAGAATATTGGGATGGCTGGCTTCATTTTCTTTCCACTGGAATCCTTTACTGTAAATCCATGAAGGGTGGTCGATTCGTATCCAAGGAGAGACCCAATAACCTTTACAAGAGCATATTCAAGCTTGTCCAGAGCCACTTGGTGTGCTATATTAAGCTTGTCCACATAAATACAAGTAAAGCCTCCTTCAGCATCTTCCTTTATTTCTATTCTATATTCGACCAGTTTACTACTTTCTTTACTATCTTCTTCCAGAATATCTTCATCAGACTTTAGGCAATCAAACCACTCTTGCACAGCGCTGCTTACATATTTTTCTTCTATTCTTATTATCATGGGGCCATCTTTGCCCAGGAATTAACCCTTATAATGAGCGAAAGTAATGATGAAGTAGAGAAGGAACAGAATACCAAGGATCTTCAGTCAGATACAGAATCAGATGATCTCAATCTCATGACGGATGACTCTACATACAAAAAAGAGGATCCAGGGCGTCTGCACTCCATCACAGGTGCCATGTCTGAAGAGGAGCTACATAGATATGAAAAGTTTCGGGGAAGTGGATTTCCAAAAGCTGCAATTAAGAAGTATATAAGCAGTGTAATAGGACAGGCAGTTAATCCTAACTTTGTAATTGCAGTCTGCGGACTTGCAAAGGTCTTTGTGGGAGAGATGATAGAAATAGCAAAGAAGGTTCAGGAAGAGCGTCATGAGGAAGGCCCTCTGCTTCCTTCACATATACATGAGGCATACAGGAGATTGTATAAAAAAATCCCCAACACTAAAGTCTTCAAGAGAGCACCCTGGAATACGTAGTCCAGATCTCTTAAATAGACACCAAGCTTAGACTTTGATTGTTTTATTTAGATTCCCCCGGTAGCATTCCACCCCCTATAGCCTTTGCATCCAGACTAAAAGCATTGTGGAGAGTCTTTAAGGTTTCCCCATCAACTTTTGATTTCAGAGCCTTTAAGAATAAACTTTCTTTCAGCTTTTCACTCACCAAATCTGCAAGAAAATCTATTACCAGAGGCAGCTGACCTCCTCCCTCGATTATTGTCTCATAGAGAAGAATGGCCATCATGTTCTCCTTCTTTGACATTTGTATCAGAAGGTTCTCTGCCATTTCTTTGATCTCTCTATTTTCATCTGCTAAAAGCAGTGTAAGCTTAACACCATATCCCTTAATCTTGAGAATGTTCTTCATAAGTAGGTTGTGGACCACAAGGAGGGCATTTTTCCTGACATCAGAGTTCGCATCGCTGAGTAATTCAAGGAGAAGATAGGTGTGCTTCTCGGCAGTGGTGTTGTAGTTCAACAGAAAATCCCCCATGGCAACAACGGCATTTGCTCTGATCCTGGGAACGGAATGATTCATCGAACGAATGAAGAAATCGTAATGCTCATTAAAGAATTCAAAGCTGACACACATAAGCCTGCAAAGAGAAACATGTGCTGCAACTTGAATTTCCTCATCGCTGGAGTGGCATCCTTCCTCAACAATTTGCTTAAAGATCGAAAGAATGCTTCTTCCATAAAGCATTTCCTTCTCTTTGATATAGAAGAAGAAGTCAACAATCTCCTCCTCACTCCTGTCTCCAATTTTAGAAGAGATGTCTTTGTCAAGACCCGGGTCGCTCACAGCCGTGTTGTTTCCATCTTTATCTTCCTCAAGAATAGTACTGATACTCTGCCTCGATGCATTAATACTTCTTCTTCTCTCCACTATTTCCGGAGTAATTACAGCTTTGTCAACTTTGACCTTTATTCTATTAGACTTTACCAACCTTTCCAGCATATCTAGATATTGCATATGCTTTATTCCAATACATCCCACCACAGAAATGGCCTTAAGAATGCTCTTTTCCATCATGCAAAGCTTCTCAAGTAACATTATGCCACTCTTTTCTGGAAACCTGCTAATCGAATATATCACAGAAACAGTTATCTCGGTTACTTGGTGCTCAAAGAACGTCATCTTCGATAGGTTCTTGATGAGTGTCTCAACTATATCTCCATCAAATTCAACTCTTTCCCGAATCTTTATCTGGATTATGTTCTTGTATACAGAAAGCATCTCGAGCAAGTCTTTTTCTCCCTGTACGGAAAATAATAGTCTTGTGCAGAACAGGAGTAAGGTGCGGTATGCATCCACTGTAAGAGGCCTGCCAATATGTCTCAATAGATAGGATGCTTCAAACAAATGGGCCTCCTTTAGAAACATACTGCAGAGCTCAGATGTAAGCAATTTGTCTATATACCCACGAGAATTGATCTCGCCAAGCATCTTTTCAAACGAATAGTTTCCTTCTCTTCTTACAAATTCCTTGAAAAACCAGAACAAGCCAACACCACTCATCTTCATTTGCATGATAAGATCTCGGAACGACAGAACTAAAAGCTCCAAATCGTGTGTCCACACAAGGTCGAACAGTGACTCAAATGCCTCCTTGGATCCATCTATTCTGTAGTAGAAAGAGAGCTTTATAAATTCGATACATTCACTGATCTCTGATTTTGTCCCAGAATTCAAAAGGACAAGGACGTTGTCTTGTATCTCCCTCATTACATCATAAAACCCATTTAGGCCTTCGCAGTGCTCCTCCCTTCCTTTTTTTTCCTTATCCTCCGTGTTGCTGACGCTGTTCTCATGACCTCCATTCTCCGAGTTCTTTTTTTCAGGACTCTTCTCAGGTGCAAGGGGATATTTCATCAGTATCCCAGAGCAGATACTGATGGCTTTCTTTCTGACCACAACAGCTTTATCCACCACTCTCCCTCCAATCTCTCGGATAACCTCATGCCTTCTTTCAGCAGGTATTGAGTTTTTTTGGAAGAGACTCCCAAGAACCTGAAGAGCCTTGTATCTTGTCAAAAAATATGTATCCAGCAGCCTTTCTACAACCCTGTTTATAACCCCATTTATCTTCTCAGCCATTCTTCCCTTCTCAAAGTATTCCACAAGGTTCACACATATCTCTAGAAAGCAGTTCCTCATGAAAAAGTGTTCAGAGTCAAGAAGCTCGTCAAAAAACTCATAGTTTACAAAAAGGCCTATATCCCTTTCTGAAAGGAGAGGAAGGACAATAGACAGATTCTTCAGCAGCACTGGATTGTCTTGCTTCATAGAGCACTCAATGAACTCCTTTGATATAGAGGGAATAGATTCAAGTATCGACCCGACGATGTCTCCGCTGTTCTTTGTGCACATGAGATCGATTATGTGATTAACTAAGTTTATGTCTTCTCCATAAATCCTGATGCATTCAAGGAGTCTCAGCCTCATTCCAGAATCCTTCCTCTTTTCCTTGATCTTCTCCAGAATTAAAAATAGAATCTTTACCATCCATTCAGAAGTATCTCGTGAGGCCCCCTTACATCCTCTGATAAAATCTGTTATCTTAGAGAGCAACTCCTCATCGGATTCCGGCTCCAGCTTAGATGTAAATGTAAACAACAAAGGTGCCACCTCTACAGGGGAATTATTCTTACTTCTTAGAAGCTCGAATATCCTTGACTTGTTGTTGCATTTGTCTGCGCATGACACTAGGTAGTTATAATCCTCGTGGCTATCGGCTATGGCCATGGTTTTGAGCCTGGTTATAAGAATCTCCAACTCCCTTTGCATTGGGGGGAGACCTAGCAAGGCTTTTGAACATCCCTCAGAATATGTATTAAAAAGCTTTCCAGAACAATCTTTATTGGGCTCTCAGCAACTCAAGGTATCTAGAATAGGATGGAAGACCATGGGATTCGTCCTCCACAAAGTAGGTGAAGAAGATATCCCTGTATATGCTGCTTATACCATCATCTCTCACTAGAACATAGTTTGGAGTTAAATACCTGTTGCTCCTCAACTCCTTGATTATCTTGCAAACAGAGTCACTGTACTCATTTTTCTCAGGGTCAAAGATGAATCTCTCAGACCCTATGGAGGGATCAAATAATAGATTCGGGAGAGACGGGTCGCAATCTCTAGCTACAAAGAAAAATATAGTCACGCCGGTGTCCAGAAGATACAGCCCATTTGTTTCAAGGCAGTTCAAGGTAAGATTGAGTGGCTGTACAGAATCTAGCCTGTGCAGAGGAAGAAGCGTTGGATAAATCATAGTATCAACAAGTTTTGGGTATGAGTTGGATAACAGATATATATAATACGACTTGTAGTCCATAGGTGTGTAAGATGCAGGCCTGAGGGGAATTGATTTGCAGAGCGACAGGACGAGCATGGGAAGAACTTCAAGAGATGCTGGAAGAAGGGTTGTTGTGTTGGAGAGTTGCTTGTATGACTTTACAATATCCTTCATCGACTTGCTGAGGTACTCATTTCCTCCGCCTTTAGATCTTGATTCGAAGAAGAAAGCCTTTAGTGCAAGTGCATGTGCTATTGCATATGGATCTACAATGCTGTATAGTGACCTGGCCACCCTATCTATACAAAAATTCACGACCCGGATTCTCCTCTCACCAGTCCTGAGTGTCCTAAGAATGGCTACTTGGAAACAAACACCCCTAGTCCCTTCTTCTCTGGATACATCTATTTCGAAGCTAAATGAGTGGGGAGGAAAGAATGTAGAAAACGATATCAGGTCTTCCGATCTATGATGCAGAGAGCCGAAGTACTCTTTTATAAAGACACACTTGCTAGTTCTGACTCTGCACATTCCATACAGCCCTAAGTTCAAGTCAAGGTGCGAGGCCAGGTCATTCGCCAGTTTTGTAGCAAATGCAGGATCACTTCCGTCGAAATTTGGATAGTAATAAAGCATCCCTCCGGTGTATTTGCTCAGCACGCTAAGAGTAGGAAGTTCTATTCCAAGTCGGGGAAATAAAAACTGTGTAACAGATATTCCCTGCTTGGACAAATGCACCGATATCTCCTTATAGAACACAGACTTACACCTTAGCTCGTACTGATTAGTATCTACAGATCCAGGCCCAACATTTGGATGTGTTGCCAAAAAGGAAATTATACATCCTCCAGTAGCCCCAAGTATGTTCTGAACGATCCTTAATGCATCTCCATAGTTGTTTCTCGTGGGTTTATTTTCTATGAAGAACTTCTCTACCCCATCGATATCAAGGTGATGATCAAGAGGTAGCAGAAAGTCTTCTTCTAGAAAGAAGGGGATATATGTTGCATCTGAGATTACAGAGAAGTCCCCGTTTCTTTTCAAAAGATATACAGACGAGTCGAAGAACGCAAACATCATCCTTGACCTTGGATCAAAGGATTTTGAGTTCAGCCCCCCAGCAATGCTTCTCATGACGGCATCGACAGACCTATACTTCATACTCTCAAATGTCACCTCTATGAGGAAACATATCAGCGGAGGAGATGGGGTTTTGAGTGAATAGTTTGGCGGCGCCTCCAGTTCATACACAGTGCTTCTTAATTCTGTTCTATTGTAATAGCTGTAGTTATGGATTGAGTTTGCTCTTGGATCAAACAAATCGCCATCTCTGGTTATGCCTCTGCTAGTAACCTGGAATGCAGTAACCAAATCATTGATTGATAGGCAAACATTGCACTTCCACTTCAAGCCTGGAGGAATGATCTCAACAAAAGGATTCAAGTAGGATTTGCAGTATTCACACCGGATTATATCATCTGAGCACAGTGGAATATCCTCCTCCTCGTAGTTTTCTGGTATTACATTAATAACAAAGGGAATCCCCGAGGTTCTTATTATATCCTGCTTTTCAGGAATGGCGAATAAAGTGGATCTATAGTAGTTATTCTCATCGATGATAGACCTCGGAGGAAGGTCTTCCCTATCCTGATGGCTGCTTTCAAACCCACCTTCCATACGTTCCATTGGGGTCAAAACTAAAACATAAACTTAAAATTTTTTGAAAACACATTGCTCTATTAATCAATAGAATTCCTCAGAATTCTCAACCTTAGAGTCCAGGTACATCTGATAAACCTGGGAGGAAGTAGTTGCCTCCTTTACGCCCTTATCATCTCTTTCCCTTATAAACCTGGGAAACCTTAGTGATATTCCCTTTCCATTTCTGCTCCCTCCAGCATTATATATTGGAGACAGAGACATCCCTGCAGCCCTGACCTCCCATACATACTTGGCTTCAACCCAAACATCTGGCTTGACAGACTCCTTATACGAATAGTTCTTGGGTGCGCTACAAAGATTGCTACTTAGCTGCTCATAAAGCTTCGATAGGATGCTATCATCAAATCCAGTTCCAATCTTACATAGAGCTTCAAACTTCTCCTCTTCGTCATTGTACACCCCAAGCAGAAACCCCCCGTAAAACCCAGTTCGCTTTCCCTTTCCGTAATATGCTCCCATTACAACTAAATCCAAAGAGTCCGACATGCTTTCCAAGTAGTCCTTCTTAATCTTTATCCATTTGTTGCTTCTCTGCGATGGCAGATAGGTTGTATCAGGCCCCAGTGTCTTCACCATTATTCCCTCAAATCCTTTTTCGACAGATGTACTGAAGAATGTCTCAGCATCCTCCGGCGTCTCGCAATCCCTGAACTCAGCAAACTGAAACCTCCCCTCCACTTCTCGGAATGAGCTGTGTAGCACTCTTCGCCTTTCCTCTAGCACCTCGTCAATATATGCCTTTCCATCAAAATATATTAGATCAAATGCAAACACGCACACATGCACATCTATTTTGCTGCTTTCCACTCTCTTCCTCTTCCTTGTCGTCAGTACTTGGAATGGAAGAATCTTGCCCTCTCTTCTGTCATATGCGACAATCTCTCCATCAATAATAAAGTCCTTGTCAGATATATTATACAGATCCATCAGGTCAGGATACTTCTCTGTTGTTTTCTCAGAGTTTCTACTGAATGTCTCTATGCTGCTGCCAAACTTATGAATCTGGACCCTCTCCCCATCATACTTATATTCACAAGCAAAGCTTTTATTTTCGACCCTTTTGAATGCAGATGTCAGATCTTTCGAAGGATTTGCTAGCATGGGCTTTAAGGGAATTCCGGGGGTAACTTGGAACCTTACGGCGAGATTCTCCATTCCATGATCAAGTATGCACTCTGCCAGCCTTCCTATGTCTGGCTGGCGATTGAATGCCGCCTTGATCTCATCGGCTTTGTCACTAGAAAATACATTTCCAAGGCTTATTAGCACAGTCTTGAGGGCTAATCCTATTTTGAGTCTTCCTTCAATTAATCTTACGAGATATTTAGATTCCAATGGTGAGCATTTGACCATCATTCCAAGAATGATTCTTTTCTTCGAAGAAGAAGACTTCGGGCCCTCCTCGCCCACTATTCTCCTCATTCCAAGAAACACATCCATTACCTCTAGTTGTGTCTTTGGTATGAACAGCTGTGACACCCTGCACTTCATTGCTATTGTCCCCAAGTCCCCTACTTTCGAATACTCGCTCCTAATGTTTTTTATGGACTTTCCTGTGAACTCTGCAACAACGCTTACAAGCATGTTCTCTCCAACGCCAAGCTCCTTATTGAAATATTCTGGATACACCATTCCGGTAGATAAATATAGGGCAGGAGCCAGCGATTGTGGATGGGTCTTGCATACCTCCTTCAGATAGTCCGTCAGAATAGACTGAATTTCAAGGCGCTTAGTTGTCAGGTTTATTTTTTCTAATGTGGCACAGAAGTCGGAAAACAAAATTTTGCTCATCCTAAGGGTTCGTGGCCTGCCCAATATCATCCGTAGAATTTGTTTCTTCAAGCCTTACGAATAGATTCCAATATTTTGGCCCATTAAACAAAATGGATGGAAAACCGGAACTCAAAGAGGAGCTTGTCAACTACATTTTGATGAAGAAGTACGGGAGAGAGCCTGCAGACCCCCCGGTGTATTATAATGCATTGGAAAAGGTTCCCAAGGAGGCTTTTCCTCCAGGTGTAGCAGGTGCTCTCGAATCCTATTCCATAGGATTTGGCCGTGAAGAGGGAATAGACTTTTTGGTATCACTAAACTCTCTTGTAGACAAGATCGATTCTGACGAGCTGAAAGACATTATATTTGGAATGATTAACATAAACCAAGTTCTCACCAAGCTCATGAAGGACAAGAAGGAGATGGAAAAGTTTCCTGACGTTTGCAAGATGTATTTTGAGCAATTCAAAGCAAACAAGTGCTTGCTTAAGGACTTTAACGCTGGCCGCAATAAAGAGCAGGGGAATCTTGATATAGACGGGCCCTCCGGAGATGTTGTGACAAGGTTCCCCCCTGAGCCCAACGGGCGTCTTCATATTGGACACGCAAGGGCGGCGCTGCTGAACTGGTATTTTGCAAGCAAAGGAAAAGGCAAGCTCCTAGTTAGGTTTGACGATACAAACCCCGAGAAGGAAGAAGAGAAGTTTGAGAGAGGGATATTGGAGGATCTTAACCTTTTGGGAATCAGGGAATACACACTTTCGCACACCAGTGATTACTTTGAGAAAATAATAGACTTGGCCTTTTTCTTGATTGATGAGGGAAAGGCTTATACAGATAACACTCCGCAAGAGGTAATGAGGGACGAGAGAGGAAAAGGCATCGAGTCGAAGTGTAGGAGCACAAGCGCAGAAGAAAGTAGGAGGATATTCAAGGAGATGATTGCGGGAAAGGCTTCTGGATACTGCTTAAGGGCAAAAATCGACATGTCTAACTGCAATAAGGCCATGAGGGATCCTGTTATTTTTAGAATGAACGTATCTCCCCATCACAGAACGGGAGACAAGTACAAAGTCTATCCTACATATGACTTTGCATGCCCTATAGTTGACAGTCTCGAGGGGGTTACATTATCTCTCAGAACAAATGAATACAGAGACAGAAATCAGCAGTATTACTGGTTTATTGATAATCTCCATCTTAGTAATAGACCCAAGATCCACGACTTCTCGAGACTCAACTTTGAGAACACTGTCCTCAGCAAAAGAAAGCTTAAGTACTATGTCGACAATGGGTTTGTGTCTGGATGGAGCGACCCAAGGCTTGCGACGGTTGCAGGAATAAAAAGGCTTGGAATGAGCATGGAGGTTCTTAGAGAGTACATACTGATGCAGGGGGTCTCCCAAAAGACCTGCACCATATCCTGGGACAAGGTCTGGGCAATGAATAAGAAGAAGATGGATCCAGTTGCACCAAGATATTTCTGTGTCCAGCAGAGAGATGTTGTGGAAGTGTACATTCAAGGCGTGTCTGAGTATGTGATGGAAGTTCCCAAGCACAGGAAGAATGGGAATCTTGGGGTGAAGGAGGTTTTCTATTCGAACCTGATATTGCTTTCTCAGGAGGATGGCAAAATACTTGAGGAGTCTGAGGAGTTTACGCTGATGAACTGGGGAAACGCGATTGTAAAGAAAAAAACTGTTGTGAATGGGATGGTTACAAGGATGGAGGTTGTTCTGAATCCCGAGGGAGACTTCAAGCAGACAAAAAATAAGATATCTTGGGTTTCTAAGAGAGGGTCGGTAATTGTCGAGCTTGCCGAGTACGGCAACCTTATGAATGACGAGGATACCGAGGACCTGTCTATGAAGTTCAACAAGGATTCCGTTAGAAGGGAATATTGGTATGCAGAGTCAGCAGTAGCAAATATCAAGGAAGGCGAAGTGATACAATTTGAACGAAATGGCTTTTATTATTGTGACGGGTTTTTAGTATTTAATCTACTACCCTTTACTAAGCAAAAAAGAACATCCAATTAAATTTGTTCTATACTTTTTAGGATATTCAGAACTGTGGTAGGCCTGTTGGACAGGGCAGAAATCCGATAAACGGTATGTGCGTTCCAAGCCAAAGAGTCCATCCGTAGAAGGTTGTCTAAGAGTCCATCCTGGAATGTGGATGAGGACAGAGTAATGGCTATGAATTTCAAAATAGTGAACAGGTATTCGTAGTTCCCAAATTAAGAGTAAATGATGTTAATTAGAAGTCAATTTTGTAGGAACTAACAATTTAAGAAGGATTGCAACACATGACATGTGAAGTAATTAATATATCAATGAGTAGAAAGACGTCAAGTTATTTTTAAAGGCAGAGCCTTGGTTCCTGGAAATGGTTAGTGAAAAAACTAGAAATATGAGGGAATTAGAAGCAGCACTTGGACTTCTAAAACTAAGTGGATTTCAAATGAATAGATACTGTGCAGGAAAGCAGATGAGAAAGACAAGGTTGCAGACATGTGTTCTGAACAAAATATTCGAGATATCTAAATTTCCTTCCTCGAAAACAATAATTGATCTTGCACTGCTTATTAATGTCCATCCAAAGTCTATCCAGAAATGGTTTCAGAATACAAGACAGGCTATAAGGAAGAAAGGATGTGTAAAGGGGGTTCTTTCTTTGTCTGATCCTGAGGAGCACAGTGCCATGGACATTCCCCTTGGCGTTCTGGCAGATATAGTCGAGATGGAGAAGCGGGCTGTTTTAAGATTTGGACTAGAGTGACAGATTGTTCTGTCCGAAGTTCATCCCAGTCCTATACTTGTCATATTTGTAACAAAGATCATTAATCTCGTCTATAGATGATACAGGATAAACAAGCTCTCGCAATGGATGGTGCTACCTTCTCCAAAAGAATAAGTGTACTGGATAGATCTATAAGGGAGCTTGAGGTGGATGCCTCTGAAGAAAAGGAATCGAAGATAGAGGACATGTTTCGGATCTGTGACCGCCTTGTTGAGTGTGGGCAGCAATCCCCTAGACTTGTAAGGCAGTACAACGAGCTAAAGAATAGGTACAAATACATGCCAAGACCCTATAAAGAGCTAGATGACGAAATATCTGCATGCAAGATACACATTGAAGCGATGGGCAGGAAGGGTACGATTGATGAGGTAGCCAAGAGTGTACAGGAAGTTATTGCAGTTTCAGATTACATAAACTATGCAGTTAATGATGCTATACTTCCCATTGACAATGTCATGGAACGCCTTGAAGAAGGAGAGCAGTATGGAATGCTTATAAATGAACAGCTAGGGATCACTAGACAAAGAAAGCTTTGGAGAGCTGGGATCATTAGATCCATACTGCTCATTCTCTTCATCTTAGTTGCAGTACTCATGGTTGTTAGGCTTTCCTTTTGAAAATAAAAGACATCTTAGAAGCCTTATAAATGCCAGTCATAGATGTGGTACACTTGGAAAGCCTTTATTTCTAGAGTCTTTTATTCAATGGAATGTATCTTTTGAAGGGAGATAAGTCTCCAAGAGACTCAATTTTCTTGACCAGTGCAGAATTTCCAAACCCAAAAAACTCCTCAACGCTCTTGTACTCAATGGTTCCATCAATGCTATCTACAAAATCCCTCCACATAGTTGGCCCGTACCACTTCCTCCCATCATCAGCAGAAATAATAGGGCCCTTGTGAGGATCCACGCTGCAAATATATAAAATTCTATCCTTTGCTTTCTTCTTGTAGGCGTTGTGCTTTTTGTACTTCTTCCTACACATGTATCCTACAGGATATATTGCTGTCTCTGTATGAAACATATCTACATTATCTGTAGGAAGCCTACCTATATCAATGAGAGATAGCCTATGTATCCCTGTTCCAAACATTGTTCCTTGGTCTGGCGGCCTTGACTGCTCCCGGCTCCCTAGATCCTTATTCATCTCTATTGCCTCCTTAAGTGTGCGCTGGTCAATAAGCCCTTTGTTTATGGCGTCTTCCAGTGCCTGCCTTTGCATATATAGCTCCACACGTCTGTTATATGCATCCACAAACCTCTTTGCTAGATTCTCCTCTCCTTCCATTATACTTTGAAGGGCTCTTCTCACACACGAACATCGTTCCAAGGAAGAAAGGAACATAAAACAAGTTGCCCATAAGAATTTATTCCAAAGTCCTTCGATCCTTTCATATCTTTAGACCATCAAGTTCAAGCTTGTATCCCTGTGAAACAATCTTTGCAGCATTTCTTTTGATATTCTCCACATCCTCTGCACTATTTAGCGTCATAACAACCCTGTCGTCGTTTTCGAGCTTTATGGATATAATCTTTCCAAACTCGGAAATCACACCGGCCGCTTGAAGCATGCTATTCTTACCACAAAGCACAGCGACAACCCTCTTTGCATCGCTCTCTGTTTCATAAACGACTTCTTCATCAAGGAACGTCAAGATTTCGTTCTTTATATATAAGGTGGAGTCAATCTTCGACACAATAAACTGATGAGCTATCCTTACCTGCGTCAAATCGCTGTAAACAAACTGCCCAATGACATTTATGATTGATTTCAAATCATCTGTTTTTTGACAAGATAGATGGGATATAAACACCTTTGAAATCGGGCTAGATATCTTGGATTTGATGTACTTCCCGAAATCCTCTGTACATATCTCAGGCTTGCCCGTTTCTTTATTTATTGTGATCTGGGAATCTTTCATGTAATACTGGTGGATAAGTGATGGTCTATTGCAGAGCATGTTGTAGTAGTTCTTTACAAAGACTATTTCGTTCGATTTAGGAATACTTGTCATCAGGGAGCAAAAATTTACATCTTTTTCATAGACCTCCCATGGAGTCATTTCGATATCCAGAGAAGGTGGCACTACCGAAAGGTGTAAAAGACAAATCTGAGTTCAAAGATTTGGTCAACGCCATCCGCGTAGAGGAGATAGACCGGCGTATTCAAGCTGCAGCAGCATCCAACGACCAAAGTCTGATTCGGTGGCTCAAGGCCAGAAAGCAACACGTTTTGGGTCAGCAGGTCCAAGGAAATGTCACTGTGTCTGGAGGAATTTATACAAATAAGATCTACATTCCTATCCAGGAATTTCCTGAAAGCAACTTTGTAGGCTTAATTATAGGCCCTAAAGGTTCCACCCAGAAACAACTTGAAAGAATCACAAGAACTAGAATATACATAAGAGGGTCTTACAAGGATAAGTATGCAGAGCCTTTGCATTGCTACGTAACCGCAGAGACACAGGAAAACCTGGTGAATGCAACTGCAGTAATAGAAAACCTGATAGAGGATTCCATACTTTTCAGAGACTCTAGACTGAAGACATCCCAGCTTCAAGCAATGAGGGAACACAAGACAGAACCTGATGAAGGGATTAGCGACTGGAAAAAATATTACTATTGGTGGTATTTCCATAACAAAATACAGAAAAAAGAGAGGCCAAACAATGTTTTATCCAAACTCTAGGTCAAAAGGGGATAGACTTGGAATCCAAGGTCTCTTCTTCAATTGCCTACCCTTTCGTAGCAAGACTCTTTGGTAGAGCCTATCAGCTTGTCTTCCAATACAAGCTCTTCCAAGGCCTCCTGTACCATCTTTTCGTCTGCTCCTGTCCTCTTGACTATTTCAGAAACTTCCACCTTGTCTTTGACCATAAGGAGAATTGCATCCTTCAGGCTTTCAAGCATCTTATTTCTAGACGTGCTTCTCCCTGTAATTACCATATCCATGTCCACCTTCCCAGTAGATGGGTCAATTGCATACATAAGAAGACTTTCTCTTATTATTCTTACTGCCTCTCTAACATCTTTGCTGTCAACAGTGCTCGAGAATCTCATTCTTGCATGTGCCTCACTCAGTCGAATTAAACTCTCCAGCTGTCTTGTTGTTGCTGTTATTGTCTTTCCGTTATCCATCTGTCTAAGATCGACATATGCTTGTGTCAGCATCTTCATGCTTTCAGAGGTCAGCTTCGGCATTATTCTCTTCGCTTCCCTCACATATGCTTTAAGAAGATCTGCATCAACATGCTCCTTTTTTGCTACACCCTCGGAATATAAAGAGACAATGTGATCGCCTATTGCCCTGTCCTGGAACTCGTCAGATTTATCTATCAGAAGGCATACAACATCAAACCTACTCAACAGCGTTGGGGGAAGGTTGATGTTTTCAACTATGCTTTTTCTGGGATTGTATTTGCTTTCAATCGGGTTGCAACTTGCAAGGATCGAGCACCTTGCATTCAGCGTGGTTATGATTCCTGCTTTCGCAACGGAGACTGTCTGCTGTTCCATTACCTCATGCAGTACACTTCTTGTCGTATCGCTCATCTTATCGAACTCGTCTATGCAGCATATCCCGTTGTCAGATAGAACAAGAGCCCCGGATTCTAGAATGAATTGCCCTGTATCCGGGTCCTTGGCCACGCTTGCCGTCAGCCCAACTGCACTGGACCCTCTTCCGCTTGTGTACATTCCTCTTTCAGAAGTCCTATGTATGAAGCTTAGCAGCTGCGATTTCGATATTCCAGGATCTCCTGCCAGAAGTATGTTTATGTCTCCTCTGAGCCTCGAACTCCCAAGCTCCTTTCTAACTCCTCCAAACAGTTGCAGAAGAAGGGCCTTTTTTGTGTCTTCCATCCCACATACAGAGGGTGCTATCGAGTTTGCCAGTATCTCATACACTTCGGGTCTTCTTCTGAGCTCGTCGATCTTGTCGATAGGGTCTTTTTCCTCGGTCCTTCTACTTATCACTTGATAACTGAGAAGCTCAAGATAGGTTCTAAATGTACTCTTAATTTTCCTCATCACAGGATTGAGCCTCACAGGCGTTGCTTTCAAGATCCCCACTACTTTAACTCTGTCTCCTGGGATAAGTCCATCGACAAATTCGTTTCTGCATACTATCGTCATTGCCATGGGCGTTGTCCCATCAGGGATTCCCTCGGGAAGTTCCTGGATCCTTGCTATCTGCTTATCTTCAAACTCGCTCGCATTGTGAACCAGCTGCTGGGTGTACTTCCCCCCGCACTCGCACTTGCTTGGCTCTTCAATCACATTCCTTATGCTCTCCACAAAGCACTCACGCTGGCACTTTGAGCACTTGAAGAAAGCCCTTACAATTTCAGGGATCACAGAGGACGATCTGATAACCATCCCTGTTATTTGTACAATCTTGTCGATATCACTTGGATTTATGTTTCTTATCGAAAGAGGCTTTCCTATCCCAAAAGGCCTTATTTTAATAGACCCACTGAAGCTCGGAAAGTTCTCTGTGTATATCTCTTGGAGAGAGCCCTGGAGAATTGGAAGTACCTCCTGGGGATATGTTGCAAGCTGGCCCCGAAGATCATCGTCAAGATCCTCGCAGTTAAGATCAAACACAAACTCCTGGGTGAGATCCATCTGCTCAAGGATGCTGTAATAGTCTCTGTTCCTCCGGATAAACTCCTTGAACTGCTCTGATGCCTCTTGAATATTTATGGTTGTTCCCCATATCACCTTGACTCTTTCTGTCTCTACTATGGGCGTGAACGTGGAGCTGAGCTCTCCCTGCGAGGGCGTGAGGTTCAGTTGAACATCCTGGCTGGCATCGTAGAACGAAAATGCAGATGAATGTGGATCGGAATCCATTTGGGGTGTCTCTTACCGCAGTTAACATCTTTGTAAAATATTTACCCTGCATGGACAACTTGAAGGCCAGGTACAACAAAAGCCCACTCAGAGGAGATATATACAGCCTAAGCGAGCTGAAGATCATCCTTGATGATGTAGTTCGTGACTTCATGGAAAATGTTAAGAACTCAAAACAGTCTAAGGTTTCCACAGATATTAAAATAGTGATAGGATTGATATCAACGGCAATTGCCCTTGTAGTTGCATATCTTTCCACCACGTCAGAGTTTGAACACCACAGGAATATCATAGCCCCGCTAACTTTGTTCTATTTCATAATCAATCTTCTTGGAGAAATCTACTTCCGATATGTAGGCTCTTCCATGGTATTTGAAGACAGAGTCGTCTCAACAAACATCAGCGCACCAGACCCTACATATGTGTTACTCGTGTATAACAAAAACAAGCTCATCCCAAGCAAGTATACAAAGTCTGTGTTCGATTTGTTTGACTCCAATGGAAGGCTTGTGCACGAGGAATTCCTTGACGATCTTCAAGGCCTTTTTGAAAAGTAAATAGTCTTAAAAAGCATTTTAGGTATATCTTTATTGTGGGGCATTGGCATGCTATAGGTCTAGCGCTCTCCTTGGATGTTTGAGACTCAAACGAATGGGAGCCATCCAATGTACATCATAGATAGGTTTTCATCTTTCGTTGCTTCCTCGTTAAGCACATCACACTTACTGCTAGCATCTAAGTCGTCAATCTTACGGTACAGATCCTCGATAATCCTTTTTGGTACTGTTGTGGACTTTCTTCTCCACTCAAACAAAGGATCATACACAAAGGACAGAAGGTTAGATACTAGAATATTCCTGTTTCTAAGAAACAGCTCTAAAGTTGTGCAAAGAGTGGCATTGTACGAACCTTCCAGCCCAAGCACTCCAAACGCATCCACTATGTTTTGTGTGAGTCTATAGGGAACTCTTTCTGGAACCTGCAGTTCTTTCCCCTTTCCAAAGATGCAATTCAAGTCAACATGAACAGTATCGCCGGTGTTTGAATCAAAAAGAATATTCTCCGCGTGCCTGTCTCCTAGGCCCATGAACCACCCTACAATGTTCATTATTGCATATGTTCTGGTATAGTTGTTTCTTGCTACCAGCCAACTATACGGATGCGGAAAGTTATCGCTAAACCACAAATGAAATCTCGGATGGAATTTCAAGACAACCTTGTGCCATTCCCTCATCCCTATCTTCCTGCTGCTTACAAACCTGCATGCAGTTTCAGATATAGAGATTCCATCTCTCGAGTAGTATGAGTCGCATATGACCTTGAGTGAACTCAATCCGTTGATCCATTCTATAATTCCACTTTCGTGACTAAACGGTATCACAGCATAAGTCCGGATGTACTTCTCGCTGCTTTGTTTCCTGAGTATGCTATTAATTATGAGGTTCAGATCCATGAACCGGCTATCCTTTCTTAAATCGTCCTGGTTTTTGCAAAGCCAATAATAGCACTTTCCATCGCTCCCTATAAAGCATATCCTCTTGGGGCGCTGGAGAGAATTGAAGACCTTCACCTCATCCTTCACCCCACCGATTGATATATTAGTGTTTGGAACCATTGCATCAATTGGAAACATCCTGCCAAACTCCGGAAAGTCCTCGTGCATGGTTAGCTCATTCTTCTTTGATTTCGAGATTTTCACTAACTCCTCAGATATTCTTCTGACATTGGACAGAACCACCTTGTTATCGAGCGTAAGCTCGGAAATGATCCTTTCCATGCGCTTCCTTGTACTTGGAACTTGCGAGTTCATCATTATCAAGGACCTCCAAAATGTTTTGCTTGGATACCTCTCCATAAGCTCGAGTACAGTTCTAGATACCACCTCGGCTACATCTTGATTCGGATGACTCAGCCTAGAAAGTATCTGGTTATAATACGGAGGAAGCAATGACAGACAAGACTCCAGAAGTTTCTTTATCAGCTCGCCACCTACATTGATATCTTTTGATGGCGTCATCTCAGAAAGCAAATGGAATATTCTGGGAACGGCTTCATCAGAATACTGGCTGTCGTGTACCACACTGTTGACGTACATCTCCATTGCCTTTACAGGTTCCGTACTCTCAAACTTCTTGGCTCCAAGGAGAAATAGCTTTCCAGAGTCCCTCAGGATGGATAGTGCAGAATCATATCCTGTTTTTGTGTCCACAAGCTCGGCATGTCTAATTAAAGCTTTTCTATAGAATAACGATGTTCTCGGAAACAACTCCAAAACCTTCTTGAGAGACGATTTCGCATCGCTTATCTTTCCCTGCAGAACATTCAGTTCTGCTAGCTCATACAGCACACACCATTCCCTCTTAAGTAGCATGTCTCCAATCTCTTGAATACATCTGTTTACATCGTTGTCTCCCCGATAGCTTTTTATCATTGCAAGTCTTAGGTCTCTTTCAAACTCATCCAGAGTAGTGTATCTGCTCACACTCCCAGACTTGCTTCTATCCATATACCCTATCCTTTCAGGACGTCTCTCCACCCAAGCTGTGTCCACAGATGCAAAATCATCAAAATATTCTTTGTTATGAAGCCCTTGGCTAAGGCTCTCTGTGATATCTTGCTTCGAAGAAGCAACCAAGGATTCAAACATTTCATCACACGATATATCGTCCTTTGCACTTATCATGGACCTGATCCCCGCCACAAGGCTTTCATGGCATTCCAGAAGCATCCTGTCATCTCCTGCCAACTCCCTTCTCCCCGCTATCAAATCCAAGGTCTTAAGCAAGTTTTTGCTCTTGGACACAAGCTCACAATCCTTTATGAAGTGCCTGAATATCTCGTTTTTACTTGATAGATTCTTCCAATCAGAAAAATCCTTTTCTATTCTTTTGCAATCATCCATAAATTTCATGACCTCATCATCCTGGCACTCGTCTATGATTTCAGATAACAAAACTTTCAGTTCCAGGTCTTGGGCTAAAGAACCTCCCTCGTCCGTTCTATCGCTCTCCACCCCGCCATCCCCTGCCATTACTTCATATCCTAGGCATTTCCTTGCTGCTGTAAAGTTCTTGTCTACACAGAACTTGAAGAACAAATTAATCAGAGTTGGCCTAGAAAACACGGAGCTTATACCCAGCACCTTATCATAGTCCTTGACAGAGTAGTAACAGTATTGCAGAATGTCGAAAAGCTCTCTCTTTCTCTCCTTTCTTATCATCTTCTCCAAAACCTGAGCAGAGCTGTAATGGTCTTTGAGAAAGATTGATATCCTAAGGATCTCCTGATCAGAAATGTGCTTTCCATTTGTAAACCTGTGCAGCTTCAAGACAAACCTTGCAATTCTTCTATCCACTCCCCCTTGCAAATCAGAGGCTATGCTCCTGGCCACGTCAAGGATCTTTCCATCACCCATATCCAAAGCTAGCCTTGCCAGGCATAAACAGTGAAACTCCAGAAATTGGGTGTCAAGCAGGTCTCCGTATTTGAGAAGGTTGAAATAATCATTCATGCCGGTCTTCTCAACCTCTCTAAGAGAATACCGATAGAGCCGTTCAAGAAACTTCTTAAAGGAATATGTCTTCTCATACACCTTCTCAACCGGATGCGAAGGAACATGCTTGTAGAGGTATTGCGTGCTTCTAAACTGCTCAACAATCTCCTCTATCCTCTCACTCAGGGGCTCTTTAATAAACCTTAGCCCCTCCTGTATTATGAAAAAATACAAATCTTGCTTTTCAGGATCTATCTCAGATAGATACTTCTCGATCATCACCCTGGCTATCGCCTCTGGGGTGCATTCAATAACAGGGATGTCACAGACAGAAGGAAGCCCTCCCTGTTCCAGAAACCCTTGGGATATACATCCAATCATGAATGCAGCATCGTTACCTGCCCCAACAAGTCCTCTATAGACATTTCCAATCTTTGCCCTAAATGTCTGACTCTTAAAAAACCGTACAAGAATATTCTCCACAAAGGTCTCCTCATCAAACCCTTCTGCCCCTTCGGAACCGCCAAATGTCCTTGTGAGGAATTCAACCGCCTTCAAGGTAGATGTTTCCTGAGGAAAGTGCCCTCTGGCATCCAAAAGCCCCGCAACTATATCCAGGCAATCATTTTCATTCTTTGCATTGCTCCACCTGATTATCTTATCAATGTCCAAATACGGGAATATCCTCGGCATGTTCCGAATAAGACAGTCATTCTCAAAGAACGATGAATAGTATTCAATGAAAATCATCTTACAGTCCGTCCCACACGTATCTTCATGCTTCCTCATGAAAAACTCGATAAATGGAAACAGGTAATTGAACAGCATTTTCACGTTTCCAGAAATGGCCTCTATAATACACTTCAGAACTTTAAACACGCATACCTGAAGCTCAAAAGGCCTTTCAACATACACTTTCTTTAGTACAAACAAGAATCTTGGAAGATGCCTGCCTATGTATTTTTGGACATCTCCAAAAAACCTCTTCAAGACATCATATTTGAAGTAACCGTTGCATAGAAGCGGCACAATCACATCTACCCCCATCGCACATAGCTCGTCTTTCCCATATCCCATTTCCTCTATTTTGTCTTCTTCTCCCTGAAGGAAAAGAGATATGATCAGGAAATGGATGTTGGCCTGAGTGAACGTAACATCTGAGGCACTGCAAGGAAGAGATGAGTACATCATGGGATATATATAAAACATGTTGTTCCTAACGAATGCTTGGCACTCCTCGTCAAAAAATTCGGACAGTGGACCAAGCATGCTTTCAAGCTCATTCTCCTGCATTTCATTTGAGCCTTTCTTTACAAATCTGCCATCTCCTTTTTTTCTGTTGCTTGCATTTTCTTTCGCATGTGATGGGGACTCGAAATTTCTCTTCAAGCAGTATTCAAATATCATTGCTCTTATCTTCATAAACCTGCTTTTGCTCCTTGATGCTATGTTCTTTACCACATTTCTTAGAAATGGATTTGAAGAGTACTTCAGAAAGCCTTCAAACAGAATAACAAAATAAGCAAAGATTATTCTTGGCGTGTGCTTCGTAAAAGGGAACATCTTAATGGATATCTGGACGTCTTCAATGCTCAGCCTACTGGCTGCATATCTTAGAAACCTCACCATCACATCTTCCATCTCACTTCTCTCCTCTATCCAAAAGTACTTCAGGCATCTATAGCATTCAAGGTCTCTAGGCTCCTTGAACAAGGCCCTGAGGATAACTGTAAGCATACGAGACGTTCTCATCCTCTCCCAATGGCTTACCCCGAAGCATATTTCCTCGATATTTCCATCTATGATGCTTATGTACTCCTCACAACTGATCTCCTCAAAGTCAGATTTCAGTATTTGCCTGCTGCAGACCCTGCAAGCGCCCTCGTGAAAATTCAGGTTGCACAGAAATGGCTTTACAAACCGCTTTGGATCAGAGCCTCTGACCTGGAAGGGGTGCACAAGGAACACGTCTTCGGGAGAAATCTTGGAGTCATCTATTTTGATGCTTGGCATGACTATTGCAAGAAAAACGTCCTTGTCAATAGGAAGAGTCTTTATATAATTGGCAAGATGCTCGTTCTCTCTATTTTCGATGCATACCATCTTGAGGAGACTCTTGAAAAGATTCATCTCCACAGGGCCCAGTCCTCTTACATCCAACTCAAGATCAAACTGATAGTCACCATACGCGTGCTTGTACAGGCAGTAGTTATAAAAGTTTTTGCTGAGAAATTCTGTATGCTCGAATCCTGGGCTAACTCTCCTTGCCCCAACTTTATCGTAGATGGCCTTCAGCTTGGTGTAGCTCTCCATCCTCAATGGTCTTTCAAATAGAAGAAGATGGAAGTTCGACTTCCTGAACTTCTCATAAAATACAACATTGCTTTCAAGATTCCGAAGAATTAACTCTAGAAGATCCATAAACGGTGCCTCTTCATCGTCCTTTGCTGCAAGGGACATGACTGTGTTCATTATTTTCATGGACACTATGCTCTGCAAGCTTTCTCTAAACACATCTGAATATCGTCCTGTCTCTAGCTGCTGGAGATAAAGATTCTTCAAGTAACCACGGTTCATATCCAAGGGCTCGAGGAGATCCGAAGCGTAATAAATCGCCGAATAGATGCTCCCCTTGCATGAACTGGCAAGATGAACTTAAGGTCCTAGGTGGATCTGGTGTTGCAAGAAAGCGAAACTCACCTCTTAAAAAGAAGCTTTCGATCATAAAGAAGCTGAAGAACATAAGCTCTGAGGATGTAGATGCCATCAGAAATGATCTTGCTCTGGAGGACATGAGCAAGTTTACCTCTGAAATAGTTTCCTCATTACTTCTGACGAAAGTGCAGTCGGAAAACGACATAAAGAATGTTGTCCGTGTCACATCTGCACTTGTGGCATGCGGCGACTTTGCGAGACAGCTTACAAATGAACTTGGAAAGGCCATAAGCCACGGAATACAAGACGCAGAAAGATATTGGCTTGCAGCCTATTTCTTCGATCTGCAGACTCTAACCAGAGAAACGACTGGAAAGGAGGGATGGAGAGAAGGCCTCATCAAGGACCTGTGCAGCAAGATGGACGTGAGGCCCAGAGTCCTTTTTCTTTGGTACATGAAAGAGAGTTACAAGGACGATGCAATACAGGCCGAAATTACAATCCAAGCCAATAAGGTGGAGCCACTGGCTATTGAAGATGACGAAAAGCTTGCAGAAATGGCCAGATCTCTTGGCATAGAAGTTCATGGGAAAGGCGACGGCTTCAAGAAAATGATTGGTGTGGAGGATGAGGAGTTCCACTACTATACTGGGCGCACGAGCTCGCTAGAATGCTATTCTGGAAGTCTCGATGCGAAGGAGATAAGGGACTATATTATCATACATTCAGGAGACTCAGAAAAGCTGGATGCATTATCAAGATGTATAAAAAATGCAAGCAATCAGAAGGAGATAATCTCTGCGATTATACAGCTGAAGCTCAACCCAAACTTTATAACGCCTATAGCCAGGATATTGAAAAGCATGGGAGGCATTGGAAGAAAGGTTGTGTCCGCACTCTTCAAAGAAATATACCAGTCGAAGAGCATCGGCCACAACGACGTGGTGTCCAACTGCTTGCTTATATCTGAGATGTGCAAGTTTAAAGAGGCCTCTGCCGATGAGATGTTTGGACTTCTTGACTATCTCTTCAAGGTCAGGAATATTGAGGCATATTGTGCCTGCCTCAACGGAATAGGAAGATACTTTCTCTTGAACGAGTCGACCAACCATAGGATCCGGGAGTTTATTGAAAGAATCAGAAACTACAAAACTTCGAAGACTGATTTTATACATGCAAATAATTGTCTTTCAAGGGTCTTCTCGCCCTCACAAACGATGCTCAATGCCGACTATAGGGGATTTTTCAGGCATTTCTTTAGAAAAGAAGTGTTCAGTGAAGGTTCTCCTATATGGACTCGCCTCGTCAGAAGCAAGGCTACGCTTGTGACAATCTTCCTGCACCCGTGGGCCTTTGAGGACATCGATTTTTTAGCATCTCTTGTCCACAGGGCTGGAGTGCAGGTGCAAATGATAGAGGTGGTGCTTTCTAGCATCGAGATCATGTACGTGCATTCAAGGCATAAATGCATTGCTCTTGGCAGGCTCTATTCAAGTCTTATGTTACTTGAGAGAAAGGATAAATGGCCCCGTCTTATCGACAAGGCATTCAGACTTGAGATAGACACTTGCTTTAAGTGTAAAATCATTATAATACTTCTTCAAAAGATGCCTATAGACATCCAAAGGCAATACTTCCCCATAGTCAGGGCTTGTGTAGATTCTGAGGATTCTCTTGACCTGAGGATTCTTTTCTCCAACTTCTGCGAGAGTATCGGTGTGGAGCCCCCTGGTGTAGACTACGAAGATAGCTTTGATGAAGAGCTCAACTTTATAAGATCCTATGCATAGCTGACAAGACAAATAAAGAATTAAATAGAATCCTCTTAAAGGAATAATGCTGAGATTTTATTTCTTGTGCTTTTTGTTCTTCCCTATTGTTTTCCTATGCCTGACAAATGTACTGCTTTGCTTCTTCTTTTCTTGTGTGATCATCACATCGTTTTTCTTTGTTATCTGCAGGGTTGGCAAAGGCCTTCTTATCCTCTTTTCCTTTAGGAGAGCTTTGAGGCTCTTTGGGACTTCTACATCTCTGTTCATGAGCTTTAGCACGATGGATTGGATGTCTTTGGAGTGTCTTCTTCTAAACCTATCTGCATACAACTCCAATGTATCGAGGCATCCTTGAAGATTCGTTGGGTACATTTCAACAAGGATGCTCAGAAGCTTGAGAACATGTGGAACAACTTCTCTCCCAAGCTTGCTTGTGCATAGACATGCGTCGTATATAGACTGGATGAACTCTTGCGGGAGTCTTTCCTTATGGTTTTCCATCAGCAGGACAGACGCCTCTAGTATCCCACACCTAAGAACCACATTCTCAGACCCCATCCCAGCAGTTACCAGCCTCAAATAGAAGTCGAAGTCTGGGCCACAGAATCCAGATACAAGCTCCTCCAGGTTTTCCGAGCAGATCCTTTTGGTCTTTGCATTTCCTGTCTTCAGCCCTATAATAAGCATTGGGAGCATTTTGTTGAGATACTCCTTCTTCCTGCTTGGGAAGCACTTGCATCCCATCGTGTAAATGGAATAGATGAGAGAAATTCGCCACTTCTGCGAGCAATCCCTCGTCTTCTCGTCAATCTCGTGCGAGAAAAGCGTGTCGCAGATGCACAGATCAATCTTTTGGTACTGCTTCATGTAATAGAGCAGCTGATACGACCTTTTCTGAACACATCCGTCCTCAGAAAGAGAAAGCTCCATGAGCTTGCTGTAGAACTCAAAGTCGCACCCCATCGTTGGGACAAAGTATCTTGCAACCTTCAATGCATCAGAAATTCCCGCGAGGTTCCAGCTCCCGAATGAAACCGACTCGATCTGTGGATAGAGAAGAATGTATTGGAATATCCTGTGCGAAACCCCGAAGTCGTTCGTTTCCAGTAGTTTAAACAGAGTTTGGTCTAGCTCATCAGAGCTTCTTGTCAATGCCATCGAAAGAATATCCAAGGCGATTGCAGACTCCTGAATTGAAGAGAGAATTCTTTGCGACTCGTCTAGTGGAATAGGACTTCTAAGAATTAAGCTGTTTTTGATATTATTCTCGTGGGAATGTATTAGTTTTCTTAGTCCTGTGCAGATAGAGCTAAAGACATTCATGTTGGCCATGTTGGCCTTCATTATCTGAAGAAGCGCCTTGATTGAATTGTTGCGGTCTGTCCCATAGTTACAGAATGCGGGAAGACAGTTCAGAAGGATGGTCTTATCTATGGAACCCGCTCCCTTCGTTTCCTCTATCTCATTGTATAGCTTTATGAAGAATGATATGTCTCCATTCGAAGAACACCTAATGATGGGTGCCCATGCCCCCATTTCTATAGGAATGTCCTCCAGCACTAAGAACAAGTCTTCCAGCCCTATAATCCCTGCAATGGCTCCAAGCGAAAATCGGTATCTATCATCTCCTTCCACAAAACACCTTGCCATATGCCTTATCAAGTCCATGAACTCAGGGACAAGAATGTGCCTGATGGACCTAATAAACTCGTATATTTGGTCGTTCTTCAACTTCGCCTCACATATCTCCTTCACAACTTCCTTTTTGAGGTTGCCGTCAAGCCTCATCAGATGCATCCCGGTCCTTAAAGAAATGACCAAGTCCTTCTCCGCCAACAGCGAGAATATCTTCAGGAGCTTTCCTCCTCTAGGAAGAGAGACTTCAAAGAGTATCAAAAGCTTCTTCATTATGTACTCAAAGACCCTTTCATCGGGCTCGGGTGCCTTCATCTTTTCTAGTGTATAGTTGTAGAGAAGGTCACAGCATTCGGAATACAGCTCTCTAGCTTCTTCAGGCTCAATTCTGTTGAAAAGATCCGGGCCCACAAACTCGTCAAGCTTCGACTCCACGCCAACCTCTTCCATGATCGAATCAAAAAAACAGTTAATGTGTCTTATCTGGTCAACGCTCCTGAGCTTGGAGATGTACTCAAGGAGCTCCCTCTTGAACTCCCCTATCTCCAAATACCTCTTCGCCAGCTCCACCGATCTTGTCTTAAATCCCTTTCTTCCAAAGCACTCCTCCACAAGAATTCTGAAATGCTGCATATGATATCTCCCATTCTTTATGAAGTTCTTGATTATGCGGAATCCCTGGAGGTAGATCTTCTTCTCCTTGAAGGAAAAAAGAACTCTTCTGATCAGCTCGCCGCTGTTTTCTTCGGAAATGTAGTTCTTATGCGCAAGAATTATCTGAAGAAGCTCCTGCACTTTTGAGTGGTCGTTTCTCCTAATCATTTCCAGAAACGTGCATATTGCTGCATTGACAATGTTTTCCGGCGTGCCCTCCATCCTTTCAGAGGCAATCGTCTGTCTTATTGCACCCAGGACTTTAGAAGCACTTTCACACAACTTCGTCTCCATCTCTGGGTAATTTTTTTGGATCAATTATAGACATCCATAAAGCTAAAAAGAACTATTTAATGGCATTATTCAACCTCCTCAACAAGTTCCTCACACTTTGTCTCCTCGGAACAGAGGAAGTCAAAGACATTGGCGCAGAACTCCTTGGGATTAGACAGCATAAATCCGTTATGGATAAGAACCGTCTCGAAAAACAGCTCTAAGATCTTACTCATCTTCTCGATCTCGTTGCTATCGAAGAGTGCCTTGAGGTTCTTGACAAGCCTGTGGTTTGGATTTAGCTCGAAGATCTTCTTGCTGACTGCCGTCATTGCTGCAAATGGGTTTGCCTCAGTGACAGGCTGGGACTTCATTATGTTTTCCATGGTTCCAGACAGAGAATACTTAGTGGTAGATATAACCGCAGGGACACTCACAAGCCTCGGGTTCACAGTGACCTTCTCCACCTTGCTGGAAAGAACGTCCTTCACCTTCTTGCAGAACTCCTCAAATGACTTCACAACCTCCTCGTTGTTTTCCTCATCCTCGGGAAGCTCAACTCCCTCGCTTGTTATTCTTTGTATGGCATGCCCTTTGTACTTCTTAAGCCCCCTGAGCATCACTTCGTCCATCACATCGTACATGTATATAACCTCGTACTTCTGGAATGCATCTAGAGCAGGGTTTGACTTAACTTGGTCTTTCCCAAGCCCTGTTATCACATATATCTGCTTCTGGTTTGGTGCCATCCTCTCCACATATGTGTCCAAAGATATCATCTCCTCCTCACTCTTCGTAGTAAAGTATCGAAGGCACTTCGAGTATCCGTCCTGCTGCCCCTCGCTTGCCTCTCCAATGGCCATCTTCAGGCAGTTTCCAAACTCCTTGTAGAATGTCTTGTACTTCTCGACATCCAGTGCAAGCTTGCCTATCATCTCAAAGATCTTCTGTGGAAGAGTCTTCTTGACGAGCTTCATCACATTTGTCCCTTGAATCATCTCTCTGCTGATATTCATAGGAATGTCGTCAGAGGCCACCACACCACTGACAAATGACATCCACTCGGGAATGGCGTCTCCAAAGTCATCCGTCACGAACACATTCTTGCAGTACAGCTTGATGTTGTTGTTCTTCTTATTCCTATTGAACATGTCAAACCTTGCCCTCTTCGGAATAAACATAAGAAGCTCGATAGACAGGAGCCCCTCAATGTGCCAGAAGTCAACTGCAAGGAAATCATCCCAGTCCCCAGAAATGGTCTTATAGAAGCTCTTCAGCTCCTCCTCAGGAACATCCTTTATATTTCTCTTCCACAGTGGCTTCTCAACATTGATCTGTTCTCTTTCCGTGACCTTCTTCAGCCTCTTCTCCTGCACCTCTTCAACCTTAGGCTCATTTGTCTCTTCCACAGCCTTTTCTTCTTCCTCCTCCTTCTTTTGCTCAGTGTCCTCAACTTCCTTCTCAACATATGTGTATATAGGATAGAACACAAATAGAGAGTACTTCTTCACTATCTCACTAATCCTCTTTGGATCAAGGAACTCCTCTTCTCCCTCCTTGATGTATAGCACAATGGAGGTCCCATGGGAAAACGACTCTCCCTCATACTCCTCTATAGTGTACTCGTCCTTCCCAGTAGACGTCCAGACAAGCGCCGAGTCCTCGGGATGCTTTGTTATCACATCAACCCTCTCAGCAACAAGATAAGATGAATAGAACCCAAGACCAAACTGTCCAATCAGATTGGAGGCATCAGCAGAGTTCCCCTTCTCCTTCATCTCCTCTCTAAATCTCTTCGTTCCGCTGCTTGCAATCGTCCCAATAAAGTTCATCAGGTCGGCCTTCGTCATTCCAATCCCGTTATCCTTGATCGTTAACATTCTGTTGGCCTTGTTTGGAATAATCTCAATCCCTAAAGATGTAACGGGATCAAGCTCGCATCCCTTCTCCTTCAGCTGGAAATACAGCGCCTTGAGCTTGTCACAGGCATCACTGGAGTTAGATACCAACTCCCTAAGAAATAGCTCCTTCGACGAGTACACACTCTTGATCATGGTATCCATCATTTGGTTTACATCAACCTCAAATCCATGTGTCTCAGAGTGCTTGTCCTTTATAGTTCCTTCTACCGATGGTTCTTGCTTCGATGACATTAATTGCTAGGGAATTGGTGGTTAAATATTTTCGTCTCCCCAGAATCTACCGGAAAAATCTAGAAAAACAATGTGCTTCCTCAGGACATAGGAGAACCATTTAAAAAACCTTGTCTATTTAATCGAAGACAGAAATCCAGAAAGCTCGGAGACACATCCATCGTACGAGTCATAGACCCTAATGTTCTCAGTAACCCACTTAGACAAATGGCTTTGTACTCTCTTTTCGGAATACCTGTTGTCAAGAAGCATTACTACTCCCCAGTCGTCCTTGTGCCTAATCGCCCTCCCAAGTGCCTGGTTCACTGCTCGGAATGCCTGGGCCTCATACCAAAGCCGTCCGTTAAAGCTCTTGTATCTGTCGTTAAACTCTTTCTTGAGCTCTACTTGTGGGTCATGGAGACTCGGGTACGGAATTCCAACCGCAATAACGGCTCTTGCAAAAGAATCCTTGAAGTCTATCCCTTCGCTTGCCTTTCCTCTATAAACACACATAAATATAGCGCTCTGCTTCGTTGCTATTCTGTTCTTGTATCTTTTCATCACCTTCTCAAATTCGTTTCCTGCTCCGCTCTTCGGCTCAATCAATATCCCAGAAGCTCCCCCGCCCATCCTCTTCTGCAGGTTCTCTAGGAAGCTATAACTCGGAACAAACACAAGCGTCCCTCCGTGGCCTTTGATCTTATTCGACACATCCACTATGATCCTCAAAAGTTGGTCCAGATACTGAGGCGTGTCAGAAACTCCATACGTCCCCGTAAGCTCCCTCGCCAGATGCCCCTTCTTTATACAAGACACAAACACTTGCTTTTGTGTGATCAGGTGAGGTGCGACAATCGAATGAGCAAACTCATGTCCTAGCTCGGACGAAAACGAAGAAAACGGCGTCAATGTTCCAGACAAAAGTACAACAGACCTAACCTTGCCCACAAACGACCGGAACGTGTATCCAGCATCGAGAAGCCAGAAGTTGTAAGAAAACTTTGATGATCTTGAGTTCCTTATATTCTCGTCGCTCACCTTATGGAATACAAATGAATATGCATCACAACCACTAAAGTGAATCGCAGACAAGACAGAGTCAAGACCCTCTAGTATGTGAAACGTGCTCACATTCAGCAGGTCCTTTGCCTCTTCATTCTTCTGAATCGCGTATATCGAATTCTTGATCTTCAAGACAAACTCCTTACCTATCCCCATCCTCTCAAGCTCGTCCTTTATATCCCTTCCTTTTCTTATCCGAAGCTTCCCCCCAAATGTGTCTCTGTCAAACTCGTCGGTGCTTTCCGCACCCTCTCGAAGCTTCTTGAAGAAATCCATCAGGTTAATGAAGTCTAGCTTGACCTCCCCTAGTATCCCACTTCTCTTCACGGCACCAAGAATCTCGTTTTGTATTATCTCTATGGTCCGCGACCCAAGCTCAATCGACCCAGACGACCTGCACACATCTTCTATGTTATGCGCCTCATCCACAATCACCACACTGTTCTCAAGGCTGATTCCCGTGTTCCCCCTTATCCTTGGGTCAATAAGGTAGTTGTATGGTGCAAATATAACCTCTGCATCCTCATTCAGAATCCTGGATGCATAGTAGGGGCATCCACCACATCTTCGCCCCTCCCCCTTCAGCTCCTCTATGTCGAAGATCCTGTCCCCGACTCTTTTTGCAAGCCTATCCTTTCCAGTGAAATATGCACAGCTCCCGCTTTTCACCAGCTCATTACATCCTGTGTTCTTGTCTGCAACATCCCCAAGCTTCGGAGATATACAATACTGGCTCCTGCTTGCCAGTATGGAGATCCTAGGCCTGTACTGAGTCTTCCTCAACTGATCAATCAGCTGGTCAAGCTGCTTGTGCGTACGCGAACATATAATTATCTTCAGCTTCTCTTCCTTTGCCTCCTCTCCCTTCTGCCCTCCACCTTCTCTTCTCTTGGCACTGCAACCTCCGATCCCTTTCTTCAGATGCTCATTGTATCCTAGCACAGCACACAGTATCGACAGGCTCTTCCCCGTCCCCGTCGGGCTCTCAACCAGCCCGCTTGTTCCTGTCATTAGGCAGGATATGAGCTTTGTCATCGTGACTATCTGTGCAGGATACGGCTCAAAAGGCATATCAATAGGAACCCCGCTTATCTTGATTCGGACCATTCGCTAGGGTATAGCTTTTCACACGATTTCCTCCATCGGCAGAACTTACATAGTAAACTGCATTAGCCACTCAAAACAATAAAATAAAACCAAGGATGAGTTTTAATTGCTAGCGATGTCGCTGCTATAAACCGTATAGCACTTTCCACATTTGAAGCCTGACGGCATCTTCCTACAGAATACTTCCACTCCGCATGCCTCGCATGAGACGCTGTTGATCTTGACCTTGTCCTCAGTAATCGTGAAGTTGTCCAGCCACGAAAGGCCCCTCTTCACGCGAGGCGCCTTAACCTTCTTAGGCGTGGAGAAGTCCTTCTTCTTCTTTGCTCCTCCTCCCCGCAGCCTCAACACAAGGTGAAGAGTAGACTCCTTCTGTATGTTGTAATCAGACAGGGTCCTTCCGTCCTCAAGCTGCTTCCCTGCAAAAATAAGCCTTTGCTGGTCTGGTGGAATCCCTTCCTTGTCCTGAATCTTTGCCTTAACATTCTCAATAGTATCACTTGCCTCCACATCAAGCGTTATAGTCTTTCCTGTTAGTGTTTTCACAAAGATCTGCATGTCTAACCCTGTGGGTTAAAAAAATTTGCTTATAAGCCGTTCACCCAACTCACGCAGAGGGATACCCCTCTTCGCCCATGATCAGCAGCCCTGCCACTTATGTAAACACACACACCTTGTTTCCACTGGCCCCATACAGCCAGGGAAGATGGGGATGGAACAAAACGTTTCTATACTTTCCAGGAATCCTCTTGACAGGGACAACTAGATCATTTCTCACATCGTTGTAGAAAACAATCATCTCCGTGGGATACGAGACACACATGAGATTGAACCTTCTGTGTTGGACCACCTCCATCCCCACGTCCTCTTGAAGCATGCTTCTTTTTACACTGTTGTTCGTCCAGTCATACAGAATTATTTTGTTCAAGTTATTCACCAGCACAACCACATCGTCCGAAATGCTAAAGAAATCAAGGACAAACGAAAACTCCTTTGCTTCCCTCACTATCTTTTTAGACGCAAGGTCATACACTATCAACGAGCTTGTTGTGGAAATGATGACCGTGTCCAGAGACTTGTGAAACTTTGCCTTGAGAGGTGCCACTCCCCGGACTCTTAGTATCTCCAACCCCTTTCTTTCCTTAAGGTCGTATACCATGGCCTTCTTTCCACAGACCACATTTACATACCGTCCATCGTGGTGTGCATCCATGTCGTTTATCTTCCCCTCCATCCTTATCACAGTACATGTGCAGCTACTCACAGCATCTTCCCCAGGCCCCTTCCTGCTCCACACGGGAAACTCCTGATAGAAGAAAGACTTCTGGCCGTCGGGAAGTTCTCCTCCAAAGACATCATTCACAATACATATAGCGCTGTTCGCCAGCAACACACATATAGTCTCTCCCTTTGCAAACATGATCTTCCTGATCTCAGAGTCAAAGACAACGTGTTTCACCTTCACAAAGCTCCTAAATTCATAAATGCACAGCTTATTTCCTTCTCCCACACCAAACATCTTGAAGTCCTGGCTGACGCCGACAGGCCCAAGCCTTTCAAACTTAAAAGAAAGACCAATCTCTTCCGGAAACGGCCTTAGAGTTTCTGGTCTGGGTAGCTCCTTGATCAGATCTTTCAACCTGTAGCTCTTCCCCTCCCTTGGCTCATAGAGTCTTAGGTAAACTCTCCTCAGATCGCTCTGGAGATCCTCTTTTCTATATTCCAGCTTCTCCACCGGCCCTGTATACGCATCTCCGGCCTTCACAAATATGTCTTGCTCGTAATCGTTTAGATCCTCAAGACCCTCTTCTTCCCATATGTCGACAATCTCATTCCTGTCTCTGCTCTCTGGCACTTTCCTCCCGCTATGCCGTCTTTCCTTTTTGGGCCTCTTTCTTCCTTGGGGCGCCGCTACCCTCCTTCTCGTCTCCATGCCTTCATCCATAGTCTTTCTGCTGAAGCTGAGATTCAACGGCCTATACAGATCGACATCGGGATCCATACACACACTCTTCTTGTAGCTTCTTATGAGCTTCACATCCTTCTTAGTAATCAGGAACTCCTTCCCCTCGGACTTGACTTTGCGGCAGTTCTTCATAGGCCTTCTCCCCAAAAATCTCTCGATCCTGTCCATCTTGTCAAAGGGTACTTTATTCGAGGCCAACACATCCAAGATGATGAATCTCTAGAGAAAAGAAACCAATCCCCAGATGATTATACACAATGTCGAGGAGGGAGAATACACCGACGACAAAGATGCATTGGATAAGATCCTAAAGCTGAAGTTGCAGGAGGAGTCGGTCGGGAAGCATAAGGAAATTGTACAGATGGTTTCAGACGACTACTTCTCGTGGAACAAACTTAAGGAGCATCTCTTGGCGAATCCTTCAGACTTCAAGGACCAGCTCAAGGTTTGCGAGAACTCTTTAAGAAATGACCCCAAGTCCTACCAGGCCTGGTACCACAGGAAGTTCATGATGAAAAGCTTCCAGGTGCAGAGGGAGAAATACCTCGATAGGGAGGACTTTCTTACAAAGCTTCTTCTCGAGTCGGATCCAAGAAACTTTCACTGCTGGAACTACAGAATGGCCATTCTTAACACCAGGCCAGTAAGAGACCTGTTCAACTACTCGTACCTACACCACTCGTGCTCAGAAGACCCTCTTTCTATTATATATACAGATCCTCTGGATCCGACATGCTGGGAATACTTCTATTTGTGGAGGGAAAGGAAGAGGATGGAGAACGGGCTGTACATTAGGGGATACAGAGGCCGTCTTGAGATCAGATTTTCGAAGCCTTTCTGTGGAGAGATTACCTTTGAAGCAGGCAACACCAGAAAAACAATAGTTTCCGAGCTTTACACAAGGATCGTTGCAGTAGAGGGAGTGGCTGAGGCTCTTGAGAGATGCAGAGTGGTGATGAATGGAAGGGCTGTAGACTTCTCCCCTGGAAACGAAGACTTTAGATTTGTGCATGAGATCCTTGAGCTTGAGCCTGAGTGCCTCGGTGCATTGTTAACACTTCTAGACTACACGAGGGAGGAAGCAAAGAGAGCCGATATGATAGAAAGAATCATAAGGCTAGATCCAATTAGAAGAAACCATTACAACACTTTGCGTGGAAAGTTTTACAGCGTGTATGTTCCAGAAATAGCACTCTAAGAATAAAAGACGATGCTTTACTTAGTTAATTTCATCATTGCATCAACAACATCATAGTTAGATTCGACAAGTGCGCTGATTATCTCCTCTCTCGAGGCTTTTATCTGTGAGCTAATCAGCTTTATATCCTCTTCAGATATCCTCTCGTCTGTAGTTTCGTGGGAAGCCTGGGGCAGTTCATTTTTATCTTCACCCTCCTGGTCGCTAGTAATCTCGCTGTACAACCCTGTGATTTCGTTGCCCTGGTCCTTGGCGCCTCTGATGCTGTCTTCGTACATCTTCCTGAGCTTGTCGAGATCCATAGGCCTTCCTTGGCTTCCAAGTATAAGAAGAGACTCAGTTCCCTTTATCTTGTAAACCATAGGTCTTTCTATGGAGTACTTTATGTTTTTGGTGATGATGGATGCGTCCTCGATCCCCTCGACTTCCTCCAGTCCTACCTTTGATCCGATTATTTTGTGAACATGGGACTCATCAGCTTTAAGCGGCCTAGACATTCTACCATGGGCATAAGAAATTCTTGCTTTAGGGAGGGCGATGGAGACACGATGTGGCGGGGGATGGGGATGGGTGCGAGGGGTTGTGGTCTAGTGGAATGATACCTGCTTTGCACGCAGTTGGCCCGGGTTCGATTCCTGGCAACTCCATTTTTGCCCTGCCAGCATTCCTCATGCTTATTTTTTGCCATTCTAGTCATAACTAATCATGAGGCTTGTCATCTGCATTCTTCCGAATAAGGTTGACCCAATTGGCAGACCAGCCAAGCACATCCCAGAACATCCATGCCGAGCATAGAGTCCTTTTATGGTAGGATGGAGAATGAGTCAGATTGCCTCGTTCTGATAGACCTGGCCAGAAGAGGCCTTATGCCAAGGGTCCAACGTAGGCTCACGCCCAGAGAAAGAAAGCAGATCCGCCACGGAAGCATATTTGTATACTGCGAGGAAGAAAGTACAATCAGAAGATGGACAGACAACATGGCCTGGTCTCCATCGAGAGTCCAAGGCGTCTTTCTCATGTACAAGCAACTTCTGGCAGGCAGTCCTCTGATAAAGAAGACATATTCTGCAGTATGTGGAGACAGAAACTTTCATGTCGTGGGATATCTTCAGGCGGATTTCTCGGGCGACGAACTTCCGCCTGTGTCCATCCTTTATAGAGGTGTTGGCTTCCCGACAGACATCAGAATAAAGAAGAGACTTAGCTTTCAGCAAGGAAGATGCTACAAAAGTAAAGTCGAGAATATCGAGCTTGCGGAGCCTACTGAGGGCTTCCAGTTTGATGCTTATTGGTATTAAAGCACTGTCTTTCCATTTCATAGTTGCAACTTCCCCTTGTAACCTAAGAACCGTGGAGAATCCGCGCTATCGACTCAGTAACGAAGTTACACCAGAGGCGCTCCTCTTCTTCGGTTGAAAACAAACATCTAACGCTTTATTATTGCAAAGAACACAGGCCATCAACTCTTCCGGTCCCTTGGCTCGTTCGATGCTGTTTTCTTGGAAATATACATTCTTCTTATTGCCAATGCTCCTATACACACCGAGATCGAGTACTTGTTAAGCAAAATGTGTGCAGCGAGCTTCGAGAAAAGTCTAATGTGTGTATACAGGAGAAGGAGATACATGTCGTCCGTGGGACTAATCTTGAGGATGTACTTGTAGGCAAGCAGAAAGCTCTTCCTTACCCCGTATCCATGCTCGTACATGTAACTGACGTTGTAGCATCCTTCGGGATCCCGGGCAAGAGATGCAGATATGTAGAACGCAAATGCATCTTCATGCGACCTTTCAACCCCGGTGCCATAGAAGTAGGCATCGCCTATCCTGTTCATGACGTCCTGATCTCCTTTCCTAAGGAGTTTCATATACAGCTCAAAAAGTATTTCCTCTTGCCTTTTGAAAACCGAGTGCCTTCGAAGGACATATATTGCATTTCTTATCGAGGAGACGGACCCGAGCTCCACACACATGAGAAGTGCTATCGCACACTGCCTGTATTCCCGAGATATAAAGCTTGCCTCGGCCCTTTTTCTTAGGCCGTATACGATGTCGGTGTAGTCCATGATCGGATGGAATCGGATGCAGGCATTGGCATATTGCCCGTTTATGTAGTAGTTAATCCCATCTTTGCATATCGCAGGAAGATACCCATACATGAGCGCAGAATCCATGTGGGGAACAGCTCGATGCATGTTCTCCGGTTTTCGGCTCATGAGTAGATACATCAGATATTCGGCCTCTCCAGACTGCCCAAGCCTGTTTGCCAACGATAGAGCAGACTTTGCATTCTTGTAATCCCTATACTCGTTCGACATCAGTACCTTTCCCACGCCGCATGCTCCCACCGTGTCTTGCATTTCCCTGCCTCTCGAAAAAAAATACATGGCTTGGTCCAGAGACCTTTTCACCCCAATCCCGTGATAGTATATCTCCCCAAGGTACCCAAATGCCCTTGCATATCCATTCTTTGCAAGAAACTCTATCACGTCGACGTGGTCTCCAATGTATATCTTACGGTTGTCCAGTAGTGACAAGAAGAATCTTGCAGACACATCATCCCCAGAGTAAACCATCGTAACTATGTTTTCAATTCCTCTTTTTGTCAGGAAGTTCTTCTCAAGCCTCTCAAAGGCATCTGCAGAAAGAAACACGTGGGGGTTCTTTAGATACTTTCTAGAAACCCTCACTGCCACACTCCAGAGCAGATCTGCACCAAGCTTTGCCTTTTCGTTTGTGCTGCCCGACTCTATCGACATCATCCCAAGAACAATATTCCTGGCATCCTTGTAGTTGTCTGACCCAGCTATGTCAAGAAGAGCTTCTTCGGGCTTTCCCATAAACACCTTCTTGACAAAGTAGCTGTAGAAGTAGTCCAGAGGCCCTTCCCTTGCCTCACAGAGATGGATGGCTCTCTCCATATCTCCCTGTTCTAGTAGGGCCCTCTCAAGAGACGTGGTGCATAAACCAAACACAAGATGCAAAATAAACATTAGCCCTCAGAAGTAAAACTTTTTTTATTATTCCTTTGTATGCTCACTCCTTCCTACTCTTCTTCCTCGGCTTACCTCCTCAGGTATTTGCTACCTTGTATGCAAAAGGCTTATGAAATATTTTCGTAATCACCCCTACTTCTCTTTACTGGTGGTGCAATTCTTTGTACTATTCGTTCCCGAGAAGGAGAGCAAACATCTGGCATATACAACGCCAGCTTACATTTTATCCTAGCATGTATCCTTCCCAAGAACCACGCATACACAGTCTCCCTTCAGCAAGTATCTCTTGGCCCCATTGTCAATCACGAGGTTCATGTACTCGTCAAACCCGACTATCCTTCCCCGGTGCTTGGTCCTAATGTCCTTCTCCCATATCTCCACGTCGGTAGACTTGGACAGAAAGTCATACAGCTTCTCAAGAGGCAATGTGCTTTTTAGTTCCCCACCCATGCTCTGGCCAATCTTTTCATTTTTAAGCACCCACCAATACGGCGCTTGTGCAACGTAGAAAAACAGGGCCAAAAAGGAATAAATTGGAATATCCATCAAGCCCTTGCGTCGAGGATACTATTCAGAATCATTTGTTTAGTTAATCAACATCGCCACCATGCAGCAATTGCATTCTCATGAGGCTAGAATGACGAGTAATGACAGCAAGCCCAGTGGAAGTCGAGATGCTTGCATCTCATTGATGACAGCTACTCTCTAGGAGAGTAAGGCTTCGCTGTGTTCCGACTAGCCTTTTTATTATAATGTTTTATTTTTTTCAATCACACAAACGACTCGTTGAACGTGGGGAACTTGTACTTCCCAGTCAGCAGCTTCTCCCCGCTCACTATCCCGTCAAGCACTTTCTTTAGCTCGTTCTCCGTCACTTCATACTTCTCCAGTATGCACCGGTTGACATACTCGGCCAATCTTCTTCTCCTCTCAATCACCGCCTCCTTTCTGGAGTTGAACACCACAAACTCAAGGAAGTCTTCAAAGTGCGGCCCTAGCGACGGGTTCTCTTCAACAATCAGCGAGAGCTCTGAGCGCACAAACTCAAGGACTTCCTCAAGAAGAATAAATAGCTTCTGTTCTTCCATGCTTGCACCGTCATTTCTTATAGCCTGTGCCTGCTCACAAGCCTTCTGCTCCATGAGGAAATAATAAAGCTCAATTCTGCCGTCTATTATCTCGGAGTTCAGATCATTGATTCTCGATATCGCCACGTCAATATTCCCTTCCTCAATTGCACTCCTTATCCTGGTCCGGTGGCTCAGAAATGAAGACATAACAAAGGGCATCCCAACATCATTTGCAAATTCAGCAGCCACATTCCCCAGTCCCTCATATACCAGGTAGTCAAGAACCAGCTTGTTCAGGTCCTCTACCTTCATGCTAACCACCGAAAGCCATTCTTCCATTTTCTTTTCATGGGACTTCGACTTAACCTTATCAAAGCTCATCATCAGGGATCAATTGTTTACAGAGTTATCTTTATTAACCAGGCATCGCAGACAGCCTGCATCACCTATTCATGCAAAGACTGCTACACACATGCTCGCTGCCGATCCCTCGGAACGACTTAAAACTAAAAAACCCCTTTGTCTCCACCTTCTCCGAGTCCACGATAATCCATATCAAGCGTTCTAGTTGCTCCCCTCCCAAGTCATCAAGGCTAAACCCCTCAATAAGCCTATGAACATCGTCCATAGACATAAAAAAAGGACAGTTCTCCAACACATACCCAAAAAACCTATCTCTTCCATGCACTCTGGCCATCTCGCTGGCTTTAGACACGTTAACTACCTTTGAGTGAAATAGCTTACCAAGAAGGTGGAATATCGACACCATCTCGCTCCCTACAGAATATTTGCAAAACCCTACGGCATGCAGGTTTCCATCAACCGCCGAGGCCTCCTCCTTGCTCAAGCCGTAGAATTTCTGGATCTTTCCGCTCGAAACTTTTCCAAACCTCACAACAATGGCATTCGGGAGAATCTTTCCGATGGAGACCAGTGTCCGGGTCTCAATCACTAGGTTCCTCACTGCCCCCAACCTACCCCTGTGTCTAGCCAGATACTCATAATCATCCATGTCCGTAAGACACACTGCATTTCGAGATGGAAGCATGCCTCTGCACATCCCGACATCCTCAATGTATTCTAAAGTAAGGCCTAGAGAGTCCGCCGTCTTTCTTATACTGTAGGTCTTCGACGATCCCGGAGGCCCGTAGACTACCACTACAGTAGACCCTATCCTTTCAAATGCCGCCCTCAGCTCCCTCTGTTTGGCTGGTGTGGTAAAATCCATTGTCGTGGGCTTCACGCATCTCGTATATCATGCCAATCATCCTTTGAAACAGGTTTTTGATTAGGCTACAAATTCTGGAGACAGCTTGTAAATAATGAGGCTTTTGGTGGTCTCTATGATCTTCGGTTTCGACGCACTCTGTAGCCCAGATGAATCCTCAACAAAGTCCGCAGACAACATCTTCAAGAAGTTCCTGGAGGTTGCAGTCAAGGACGAGCACCACAGGCTTCTGCCCAGCAAAGACGGGAAGCATAGCATACCCCATGCCAAGGATGCAGACCACCCTGCCCAGAAGAAGAAGACAGTAATAGTTGTCGAGGAAGACTCCGAAAAGAAAAGCGTGATCTTGAATCCAAAAATAGAGCAGAAACTAGAAAGCATCTCCATCGAGGCTGAGAAGAAGAACAAAGCATCTGCAAGCCACAAGGCCCTGAAGGCAACGTCCGAAGACACTCTGAAGCCCGAAATCCAGTCGGAGCTCACTTTTGAAACCCCCATATCTGCATCATTCCTTCTCAAGCCGTTGGGCCCGAAAAAGGAGATATCCCTCACTCAGGAAGAAGTAAGAGAGATAAGGGAGGGCCTAAAGGCTCTGGAAAAGATCTCAAAGGATTTGGAGTCGCTAAGAAGCAGGCTTCAGTCTGCCTCCAAGAGAATCCTGGGGCCGGAAAAAGAGGAGAAGGGGGCAAAGCCACCCACAGACCTCCTCAACTATAACTTCATAGAAGTCACGGAGACAGGACAGTCGGGAAAGAAATAGCCGTTGAGTTTATTTGACCAACAATAAAGAATTTGCCTTACTCATCCTTCAAGCTTCAAAAAGTTAGATGTCAAAAATGCAATATGAATGGAATACACCGTCCTTCTCAAATACCCGGAGCCCGCAAAGAGTAACTGCTTTGATTTCACAGAGGCCTTGGCACCTAGACCCATCAGCCGCAAAGTAGTCACAGGTGAGATGTCCATTCTCCAGTGTCACAGAGGTCTTCACAACGACAAGCCCCTCGCCATACATCAGGTCTATAAAGTATGTCAGAAGTGCCACCATGTTCATTTCGCAGGACCCCTCTGATATTTCAACTCTTCCGGCTGTCTCACCTGCTTCGGGGGCTTTCACTGCATAGCTCATCATCCCCCTCACAGCTGTTTCGTACAGGAGTGGCAGATGGGAGGCTGTGCAGTGCATCTGGACATCCGCTAGGTGGTCGAGAAACTCTATGGACCCTGTCTCCTTGATCCCTGGTCCCTTCAGAGCTTTATAGTTGATACTCTGCATCTGGTATTGAGGGCTCATTGAATAGCCCTGAATGTCTAAAAGAAGTGAGCAGCAGGTAAGGCATGATATTTTTGCGTTGATGTACACATCTTTCGTTAACAAGGTTGTCAAGGACGGGGCGGGAAAGGATGGGGGGATGTTCAGAATTGGAGCAAGGATCGGGGAAAGGATGGCTGATGACTTCTTCTTCACAGCAAGCCCTAGAAAGCCGATGGGTCTACTCGATGTGTCAAGAGATGTATCTGAGACATTCTTTCCACACTACTTCTCGTTCCGCCCCGCATACAGCCAAGGTATCATTGCCCTGGGAAAGTTCCCGATGCTTCAGTACACCAGAAGGGAAAAGGAATGCCTAGAGATGATATGCGGAATCTTAGAAGGGGTATATGGCTACGTGTCGAAGGAGGGCATTTCATTTGAGGCATCGGAGTACAACGGGGAGTATTGTATAATAGTGAGAGACGGGGAGCGTAAGGACCCTGTCGTGATGAGGTTCAATGAAGAAGTAGACGAGGGCCAAGGCATTTGTTTTGAGCCCCGGGATGTTGTTTCTTCCAAATAAAGAATGTATTAGAAATACCTTATGTCCAAACAACCCATGATTTTTGTGCTGTATCTCGGGATTATATTTGGGGAGATTTTCTCGGTGCGCCGCAAGAGGAACATTGAGATTGAGCTTGATGTGATTGAGAACAAGATTTGCAAGGGGTACCTCAAGCCCATCAATTGCCAGAACTCCACTTTTAAGGCTGTGCTGGCATCCGAATCGGGAAGTGTTTATCTGTCGAACGAGAAACTTCCTGTGGACACGGAGACGCACTTTTCGTTCAACATAAGTGAGCCAAAGGTGCTGTCGATGGTACTGACCCCGGTTGTGATTGATAATAGCCAACCTCACACGTTTGGAGAGATAGAGCTCGACTTCAGTGCGCAGTTTGACACATTCAAGAAGGATGTTGCAAAGAAGGTTAGCGTGGAACCGGCGATGGAGGCCATGACAAAGCTGGACAATCTCCTGCACGAGCTGAACAATGAGTCTGAGTACCTTGCACATAGGATGGGGAGTGTTGACTACGAGCATCGCCGGATGTTTTCCTTTGTAACTGTATTTTCTGTGATAACTCTTGTTATATACTTTGGAGTGAACTCATACGAGCTGTACTCTCTGAAGAAGTTTTTCCAGAAGAAGAAGATGATATGAGATTAAATGTTTGTTTTCTGTGTTTGAATTAGTAAGGTGTTTCTGGGTCTGGAGGTTTTTAAGATGTAGAAATAAACAATCCGATGGGAGATGTCTATTCTCTGGACAAGGCCATAAAGAGCAAAAAGAGCAGGGGAGTTTCCCAGGATGTGATTGAGGAGGCGGAGAGGATTGAGGAGCAGAACTATGAAAGGGCTAAGGGAGTCAGGATGCAGCTTGACGAGTCTGCCCTCAAGCAGAAAGCAACGACCGAGGAGCTTATGAGGCAAGGAGAGACTTTGGAGAATGCAAGGAAGGCGGCGATTGGGATAAACGCAAATGCCAGGAGAGGATCTGATATTACGGAGGATATTGAGAGGGAAGGAAGGGTGTTCAGCTGCGAGCTTCCGTGTGTGCGTGCGATAAAGAGATGGTTCCGAGGAAATAGGGGGAACATTGATGACATTGTGAACAAGAAGCAGGGGGAGGAGGTGGAAGAAGGGGAATATGTTCCTCAGCACGTAGAGTTTGAAGAAGAGGGCGAAGAATACATCAAGGGGCAGAACAAGACTGATCGGGAGATGGTGGGGGTGCTGAACACTGTGAGGCAGATAAGGGCAGAGGCGGACAAGCAGAATAAGGAGGCAGTACGGCACAAAAGCATTGTGAACGACATATCGATGATTAATGAAAGATCCTCCAAGGTGATCAAGGAAACAGACCAGGAGCTGAAGAAAGTGGAATGATAGCGGGGCCAATTAGCAGAGGACCGGGTGCCTGGGAAGGCATTGATTTGAAATGATGCGATGCCCCAAATGGAAAAGATTGTGATTATAGGAAGTGGACCTGCTGCCTACAATGCAGCGCTGTATGCGATGAGCAAAAACCCGCTACTTTTTGAAGGGGGGTATATAGGAAACAATGGGCCTGGAGGGCAACTCACCACAACAACTGCAGTGGACAACTATCCTGGATTTCCCGACGGAGTAGAGGGCCCCATACTTACTGGGCTGATGAAGGAGCATGCAGTCTCGCAGGGGCTCCGGGTTGCCAAGGAGACGATTAGCGACGTAAGAAAGGAGGGAGAAATGTTTGTGGTTGTTAGCGAGAAAGGAGAGTACCGTGCAGAGGCTGTGATTGTTGCGACAGGGGCCTCGGCAAGGCGTCTTTTTGTTCCTGGGACTGGAGATGACGAGTTTTGGCAAAAGGGGGTGAGCTCGTGTGCCGTGTGCGACGGATTTATCTATATGAACAAGATAGTATGTGTGGTTGGGGGAGGAGATGCAGCCATGGAGGAGGCGCTCTATCTATCAAGGATTGCCAAGAAGGTTTACATCATCCACAGGAGGAGTGAATTCCGTGCAAGGAGTGACATGGTTGAGAGGGCCAAGGCAACTGAAAACATCGAGATAATGACGCCCTATGTCCTTGACCGTGTGTCTGGGACGAAGAAGGTTGAGGAGATCAGTGTCCGTAATGTTGAGACGGGAGAAATGGAGGTTATTCCGATGAACGGGGTGTTTTTTGGAATAGGGCATGACCCGAACACCTCGTTCCTCAAGAGCATAAATGTGGAGCTTGATCCCAATGGATATGTGGTTGTTAAGGACGAGGTGTGCACGAGCATTCCCGGGCTCTTTGCTGCTGGGGATGTTTGCGATAGGAAGTATCGGCAAGCGGTGACTGCAGCTGCTTCTGGTGCGATTTCTGGGATGAAGGCAGTGGAGTTCTTGGATAAGAAATAAATGTTTCCTTGACGGAGTTTTTGCGGTAGTATTATTGAGAAGGAATTTTGACCCCAAGATGGATGTGGATGAGAAGGCAGGGATTGAGCTGGGGAGTCCGTCTGCTGTTATGGAGCATGCAAGAGATCTTTACGTGTCGAAGGAGTATAGAAGCCTCGAGGGGCTGTTTGGGAAGTACTTGAAGAAGTCCTACAATCTGGATCTTTGGATGCTATACATTGAGTATGTCAAGAAGGTCAGCCAGAAGAAGTTCAAGCTGTATGAGGTGTATGAGTTTACGCTGGGGCAGTTTGAGAACTACTGGGACTCCTACGGGCTATACAAGGAGTACATTGAGGAACTTGGGAAGATTGAGGATGAGCAGACAAGGATTGAGAAGATAAGGAATGGGTACATGAGGGCGCTACAGACGCCCATGAGCTCACTAAGCGAGCTTTGGAAGGACTTTGAGAACTTTGAATTAGAGCTGAATAAGATTACAGGGAAGAAGATAGTCAGCGACACCCTTCCCATATTCCAGAATTCGTTTCAAAGATACCAGCAAATACAGCCACTCATAAAGAGCTGGAGCATCAAGAATGCGGCAAAGCTAATAGATCTAGAGATGGAGAACGAGGCAAAGCTTGGTGCAAGGGCGCATGAGTCCAGAATGCACTTTATACATAACTACATTCTGGACTCATTCTACTATGCTGAGGAGGCCTATTTTTTCTACAGCGAGTATCTGATTGGGATTGGGCAGAAGGAAAGAGCAAAGAAGGTGGTACAAAGGGGGATTGAGATGAGTGACGGGATGTTTCTGTCTCTGTATTATGGACTTGTGATGGACGAGGAGGGGATATATGCAGACCTGAAGGGGAGATACTGTGGAAAAGAGAACGATGGCGGCGAGAAGGCATCCAACAAGGAGTGCGATCTTGTAAGAATCAACCATCTGAACTATGTTCTAAAGAAGAGAGGGCTCGAGTCGTTCAGGAAGCTATTCATTGAGCTTGGGAGCGAAGGGATAGGCCCCCACGTCTTTATATATTGTGCATTTGTTGAGTACTATGCAACGGGGAGCCGGTCGACGCCCTATAACATTTTTTCCTCCGGGCTCCTGAAGCACCCCGACTCCACCTTGCTGAAAGAAGAGTTTTTCTTGTTCCTGCTCAAGATAGGAGACGAGGAGAATGCAAGGGCCCTGTTCAAGAGGCTTGAAAAAACAAGCAGGATGTGGGACTCGATGATAGAATATGAATTTATGGTCGGGAGTATGGAGTTGTTCAGGGAGCTTGTTGATCAAAAGATGGGCTCGGTCAGAGACAATGCAATTCTTCCTTCTCTCCCTGCAAAGGACCGATGTGTGCAAATGGAGGGGATACTGGGGAGGTATCATTGCTTCCTTAGTTCGTTCAATTTCCTTGATCTGAAAATTAAAGATAACTCAAGGCTTTTAGACGAGTTTGTGGAGAATCTGCCAAAGATAAGCCAGCAGAGCAATGTGCTTTCTAACCTGAGATCGGAGAAGATAATCGAGCTCCTCAAGTGTATGCAATGACCTGGATGGAAGCCTTGATGGCAAGGATTTATTTGAATTAAAAGACATTATGAGATTTCTATCCAAACGTCTTCTTGTTGAAGAGCTCCAAGGTGACTGCTGCTAGAAATGCAGGAATCGACTTTCCTGCAATCAGATAGTTTTGGATTTCTGAGGCCCAAGAGGCAGCAAATTCATTATTGACTAGCTCCATGCTCCCTGATTTATAGCGGAAGATGAAGACATCCTCGCTGTCAAAGGCATAGAGGGAATGGAAGACGATTTCTCCATCTCTGAACTCCATCTTGTATCCTGTCAGTCCTGTGACGTACTCTCTTATTGTCCTAAGATATTGGCGGAGCTCATCGTTAGGGCTTCTTTCTCCACCTGCCTGGATGCTTCCTTCGGCTTTTTCCCTACCCACGGAGACCTTTGGATTCAAGTTTTCCTCTTCGTGGCTCTTATGGTCGTCCTTCCCCGCTATACTTCTCAATCTTTTGTTTTCCTGCTCTAGAGATTCTATCTTCTTCAAGTACTGGCTTGCCCCAGAGGACTCCCTAGCCATAGACAGCTCCTGCTCCTTCGCTGCAAGGGCAGACTGGAGGTCTATTATCTGATGTCTTAGCGCCGTGTTTTCTTTCAGAGTCTCTGCAAACTTTCTGTAAAGCTCTTCCATTCCAGGGGCTTTTCCAGGTAGCAACAATTCAACAGCAGTAACCGTTTATTCGATTCGAATGAAAAAGGACTACATCAAAGACCTCTCCGCAAAGTACCTTATATGCGACCATGAAAGAATAAGAAAGGAATACAACAAGTACAAGGCCGGAAACATAGACACGCTAGAGTACATTGATGACAACATGCTAATGGTGTACGAGCATGCGTTCTTCTACAACTTCACGAAGATCAAGTTTTCCAAGAAGGACCTTCCAAAGGAAGTGAGCCCAAAGATCTTCAAGACTGCCCTTGAGGAGATAAGGAAGAAGTATGTGCCTGGGAAGAGCCCAGAATGCAAGGGCCTTGTGTGCAATCTATACTCGATCACAAATCATTTTTCTCCCTAGCAATCATTTGAAAACAAAAATTTTGATCCCTCGTTATGTCGGGAGCAGTAATGAGCGAAGAGGTGCTGAGCCGTACAACAATCCCAGCAACCTTTGTTTCTTTCAAGAGAGGACAGAGGAGACTCCATCCAAGGTATGCCCTGCTGAAGATTAACAATGTGACGAGCAAGGGCGAGGCAAGTGACTATGTAGGAAATGGTGTTGTTTGCTACAAGAAGAACAAAAAGGGAGAAGCACGTGTTGTCCATGGGGTAGTTACCAGGATACATGGGAATTCTGGAGCTGTCCGTGCTAGATTTACAAGGAACCTGGATCCAAAGATGCTTGGAACCTATGTGTTTATCAAGCTCTACAAGGTGGAAGCCGATGAGATATAAACCATTTTTTATTCTGCTATAGTTCTTACAGTCTGTCTTTGTTTAAGCGCCAAAGTACCTCTTGATCTTATCCTTTGTTTCCTGGGTCTTCACGACCACATAAGATATGGCCCTGTGTCTACCTATCACCTTGACGAATCCTTCGCTTGCCAGCCTTCTTGTTTGCTTTGTAGACTGCCATTCCGTAATTCCCAGCCTGGTGGAAAGCCATGCTTTGCTTCTAAGGCCTTCGGTATAAACCACAGAGAGGATTCTTCTGAAGAGAGCATTTGTGTTGTCTTCCTTTGTAATGGGCCCCAAACAGTAGAAGCAAGAGAATCTCCCGCCTGGCATTCTCTTGTCTGTGTTGCTGAAAAATCCGCAGCAAACCGTGTGAAGCCAGTTTCCACATGTGTTGCAGTTCATCATATGCTGGTCCTCTCCCCTCAGCTGGCAATAACATCTGATACACTCTCCAGCTCCTAGATACATCAAATCCATGCATAAATATAGGACTTCTTTCTAGAGAGCTAATAAACATGTTTCAAACATTCACAATGCAAGAGATTGAATAATGTGATTGGGCATGAGGAACTTATCTGCCCTCAGCATATTTTCTTGATGACAATGAAGATGGTTTTTATAACGACCGTATTTGTAGGATCTCTTGTTGCATTTATCAAGGGACTGCACAGAGACAAGATGTTAAAGGTCGACATGAGCTCTATTAAGGAGGCGCTTGTAAGCACAGGAAATGGGATTATGGCACTTGGAAGAAAGACTGCAGAGACGTTTACATCGAAAAGCGAGCAGGACCCTACATAGCTTAATGGACTCTAGGATTTGATAATAAAGAGAGGCAAAAAAATTTGCCCTGAAATGGGTAAGTGAGCTTCGAAGGAAGATTAACTTTAGGAATAAACCACCGAGGAGACCACAAGCGTAGGAAGACTGGGGCAAAGGCTGTCATTAGCCGTAAGAAGCGTAACAACAGGGCGGGGTCGCAGCCAAGTGCAACGAAGATAGGAGAGAGGAAGGTCACGCACGTTAGAGTGAGAGGCGGAAACAGGAAGCACAGGGCGCTGAGGTTGGATGTTGGGTACTTCAGATTTATGAGCACAGGGAACACCAGGCCGGCAAAGCTCCTACAGGTTGTGTACCACCCCAGCTCGAATGACCTTGTTCGTACCAATACATTGACAAAGAGCTCCGTTGTCAAGATTTCTGCAGAGGAGTTTAAGGAGGACATTAAGGCTACAGAAAACAACATTGATCCCGAGCTCCATGAGAGCTTTGAGAAAGGGTATTTATATGCAATTATTACCTCAAGGCCAGGGCAGGTTGGAGCAGCGATGGGACATGTCTTGCAGGGAGATGAGCTGAAATTCTATTCTGACAAGTTCAACAAGAAGTCCAAGGAAGTTAAGAAATAAATGGATTGAAATTTTCTGGAAACGCTGTATGTTCTCTGTACTAGTTTTTTTAGTTTCTGGGGAAAAAGCAAGAGCAAAAGGGCGGTATTGGGACTCGAACCCAAGACCTCTTGCACCCTAAGCAAGCGTCATACCACTAGACCATACCACCTTGCAAGCCCACATGCACCCATGCCCACATACAAGCAAACCATTTCTCCATCACATCTAAAAAACTGAACTCATTTATTTTCAAGAGGATTGTATCTCTTGACCTTACCCCCCTCAGTCATCCTGTTCCCTTGGCCCTCATTGCTAGGTGCAGCCTCTTCTTTAGCCTCGCTTACCTTATCCTTAGTCCCAAATGGATCAAATACATCGAACCTGGTGTATTCGACATAAGGAGATGGAAAAAGTCTTCGTGAGGATCCTAAGGAAATGACGTTGCCCCTAACCATGGCCAACGGTTGTGTTAGAACCTCGCACACTCTGACTGGCAGCCCCTTATACACTTGGTATATCCTTCCATCAATTCTATAGAAAATCCTTCCAATCTCATCGAAGCAAGCAAAGTCAACAGGAGAAGGTAAAAAGAACCTTTCAGTCGACTTGAACAAGTCAATCAGGATGAGCTCTCTACAAAAGACAGCGATAACCTCAAGGTGGCAGCACATTGCATGAACATCTGGAATAAGGCAGTTGAATATCTCGGCTCCGTCGTGCCTGAAGACCTGAAGAACACTAGAAAAAACAACCACAATCCTCTCAGAGATAGACACCATCTTCGCCTCAACTTCTTTTTCCCACATAGGAGATTTCCCGGTGTAAAAGAATATCTTCTTTCCGTTCCCAACCACAATATTGTCTTTGCAAAAGGACCCTAACACACATCCGCAGACTCCAGACACTTCAATCTTCTTTCGGGAGACATCGTGGTAGATGACCTCCACCCTGTCGCTGCTTTCACCTCTAATGCAAACCATGTATCCCTCAGAGTTGTAGCACAGTAAGCTTTCCGTCTCAACTTTTTGTGTTGGAATGCTGGCCACTGCCTTACTCTCATGCTCGAGCTCCTCCGAGTACTCATCAGAATCAACCATCTTTTTTCTTTCTTCATTGCCCCTCCATTCACTAGACTCATATCCACTCTCTCCACAAACCCTGAAGTACTTTCTTTTTGGAGTTCTTCTCCTCTCCTCATCTCCCCTGTGCCTCTCTGCTGGCCACTCGTCCTCTTCCTCAATCCTTACCTTCTTCTCCACAAGCTCATCTCCTCTAAACATCACATCTTCCATTCCTCCATCCAGGCCTTCAAGGATGTTCTCAATAGAGGCAAATTTCTTTCCGTCAAACCACACAACTCTGTTTCTGTCATCGTCATATACAAATCTTCCCGGCACATCTATTTTCTTTATGGTTTTCCTGCTGTTGAAATCAATGACATGCACCCCATCCCTGCACTGTGCAAACAGAATCCCCCCTTTCATGCTAAAGGCATAGTCGCTTATGGGCTTCTCAGTCGTCATGTATGTGGCAAACGCATTCCGCGTTCTGCAGTACAGCATGTTCCTTTCACTTGCAAATATATAGTTCTTGTATCTAAGCTTTGGACTTCTGATGTCATATGTCCTTCTCGAGGGATACACAGTTATCTTGTTCCGAATGTCTGCCACAAACACTTCCGTCCCATCACTGCATATCTGAGTCACAGGACCAGGGTGCTTCATGCTTTTTACAAACCTGAACCCGCATTGAGTGTCTTCAGATGCAAACATCTCGTTCGATAGCTCAGACCCTAGAGAGCATTCGACACCCTTTACCTCTCCCACATCACTCGCCACAGCCATTCCATAGACATGGATTGTTCCTTCCTCGCTTCCACAGTACACAAATCCGTCCAAATGAAAGATGGCCGTTACAGGCGTCTTCATCTCACACACCACCCTTTCTTTTAGACTAAGAAGGCACAGCGCCACAACTATGCATCCGTCACTAACAAAGACATATTCATTGCAGCACTCTACGACGGACCCCACTCCACACTCTCTTCTATGAAACACAGACAGAGTCAGAATATCCACTATGAGCAGCTCGTTTTTCTCTAGGACCACCACAAAATCATCGTTTCTACAGATCTCCATTCTAAGGATTTCCCATCGAAAATATTTGTTCAATGCATCCGGACATAGCCCTGCAATGCATAATAGTCTGGTCAGGCTGAAGGCCTCGGTGTTCGGCAATAATCTTACAGAAGCCTCTCACGCAATCGACCCATGCCTGCACGATATTCTGGATCAATACGACCACTCCCAGATGACGGTTTTCACAAGGCTGATGGAAATGCTGCTGGACACAGATATATCCGACAAGGCATCAAAGGCACTGAAGATCGTCGACTTGGTAAAGTTCCCCATCAAAAAGGCCATGGAATGACAGGCCTCTTGGTGCTGTAGAAGAAAATAAACTTGCTCACCATTTATTCAGCAAAGCAACAAGTCTTGCAATCTCCTCCTCTGCTATCCTGGCCTTTAGGCAAACCCTTAGTGAGGGATATGGATTGTGATTGAATCCGATGATGATTCCGTTCTCGAAAAGCTCGTTTCTTATATCCAGGACTTCCTTCAGTAATACTTCTCTGGATATCGGCCTCCTTATTTCTTTCTTCTTTGCCACAATTATTACAGGTGACAGAAGAGAAGATACAATCTCGTATGTCTTGGACTCAAAGCTTGCATGGAACTGTCTTATCTTATCCCTTAAGTCTTCGTAATCGAAATCCCTCTTGACATTCAGTATGCCGGCCTTGGCCATACCTCCAGGCATGGATGCAGAAAAACAATAGGAAGACCCAGACAGCTTCTGATAGTCAACAGTGTAGTAGGTTCCCGTTGCAAATGCTCCTGTGCTGCAAAACCCTGCAGACAAAGATCCAATGACGATATCAATCTCCCTAAGGCTTATCCCATTCATTCCACACACGCCCCTTTTGTTCAGAAGGGGAATGGAGTATGATTCATCCAGAATGATTCTGAACTTATACTTATCTCTGAGCCTTAGCATCGTTCTTATGTCCACAACGTTTCCGGTGTTTCTCGACAGCCCTTCAACAATCACAAAGTTCCTAACCTTTGGCCCTGCAAAGTATCCGAGCTTTATCTCAAGGTCAGAGACACTTCCAAACTCGATGCTCTTTGACTTTGAAAGGCCGATCCCCCTGAGAATGGCCTCGTTGCTATCCTCGTGATAGAACACAATGTCCTGCTGCTTGCAAAAACACGAAATGATGCTGCAGACAGCAGTGAAGCTGTTTGGATACACAATGGTTGCCTCTACATCAAGCTCCTTACTGATTGTTTCCTCGAGATCTAGGTGGATGTCTAGAGTCCCATAGAATCCCCGAGGCCCGCAGGTTCCAACCCCATACTTTCTTATGACCTCTATTACCTCGTCTTTATTCTCCATCGACAGCTCGAATACATCGAAGTTTGCCAAGTCTAACATCCCTTCCCTGTAGATGGAAGGCAGCATCACATCGCTGGGGACATTCTTCACCAGGTCATCAGGGTCAAACTCCTCCACTAGCTTATCAATTACGTTTTGCGGGAAGATAATGATATCCTTCCTTGAGCGGTACCTGAACTTGACCACCAAGTAAATAACAAACGTTTCGACAATTATCTTCAGAATGTCTTTCCAGTAGGAGACCAGCAAGTCGCCTATAGTGTAAACTAACTCCATCAATGGCCCAAACTTCTCGATTTGTTTTTCCCCGAAGTAATATATGTCAAAGAGATTTATTTATTCTTCTTTGCAAAGCTTGTCTTTGAAGAGCAGTATAGCCCAATAGCAAGAGCCAATCCACCAAACACACAATATCTGAGAAGGCTGCGGGACTTTGGCGGGTAAAGGGGAAGGCTGTTTTTCTGGTACAAAGTGTAGGTATCCATTGCTGCAGAAATGAAGTTGTCTTCTGTAAGCTTGACTTTCTTATGCCGGAATAGGTTTGCCCAGGGCTCAAACACAATCAGTGCAGGTGTAGACAGCTTTGGGAGCAGTGTTGGAATGAACAGGGGATACTCGTCAATTTCCATGGTGGCAAATATCATGTCTGTGTATGGAACGCCCAGATGCCTGTCCGCACTGAACTCATTCATCTTTCCTACAAACTCTTCTCCTCTTGTCAACAGTATCATCACCGGCTTAAGGCCGTGGAATATAGAATAGAAGTTGTGGTTATCGACTCTTGTCAAGTACTTGTAATGCGTATGGAATATCCAGTCCGTTATCTTTGCCTCGTCTCCAAAGGTATCTGTGTATCTATAGAAGATCCCATTCTTGTATACAGAGAGAATCACAGCATCCGCATGGTTTGGACTAGTGGACGAATCAGACCCACTGCCCAGAGCCTTGGGGAATATGGATGCCTTTTCAAATAACGCTTGATCATCAGATCTATATATACGGGCCCTAAACTTGTACATATGTGCCATTCTCTGGAAATATGCATTGGCTAGAGCAACGTTCTTGTGGAACACAACATAGATGGGCTCTCCCGGCTCAAGATTCGACGCTAGCTCATTGAACTTGTCAAGAGACAAGCTGCTGAAAGATGGCTCAATGAGCTTGTCGCAGAATTCAATAAGGCTGAGCACACTGGGCTCCTTCTCCTTCTCAATGAAGGGCACAACTAGCCCGTTAAAGATTCCAGATATGGAGGGATAAGATCTAATGTCATACCTGTTGACAAACTCTGCAGACTCGGCGCTATCAATCTCTCCGATATTCAGCTTCCCATCATAGATCTTTGCAAGCTCCTTAAATATCTCTCTGTACTTGTCATCCTCCCTGGAATAGAACAGAACCACATGGGGCCCGTCAAACCCACTCAGGAAGTCGTTCCTGGTCAACTTCCTAACTGCCGCCTCCTTCTGCTCACGGTGCCCGTCAAATACACTCCTCTCAATCCCAGTGTGTTTCATAATAAACTCTACTATTGCATTATAGTCCTGTCCTCCCTCCAGCCTTTCCAAGACTTCCCCATCTTTCGACAACTCAAGCGTCGGATAAGCCTTGATGTTTGGACAGGAACACTTGTCACAGTCGGTGCTTCTAATCTTCAGATTTGCCTGGTGCCTATCTATCTTGTTGCTGATCTCTTCAATAATCGGTGCTATCCCTTGGCACGCAGGACACCATTGCGTAAAGTACTTGGTAAGCACATATCCCTCATTGATAGGCTCGCACTGCTCCATTATCTCGGCAAGGCAGCCAAGTAGATACACAAGCAACATCATGTTGTTTATTATGTACCGTACCTTTATACCAAAAAGTATAAACATCCTAAAACACCGTTTCACAACAGTTCGGATACATGTCCACAATATCATTTATTTGAGATAAACTCATATCAATTACCAAAATAAAAATTCTCAACATTACAACTTTTTGAGTTTCCCAGGCTGCTTCCCAGGGTGCTTGCAACAACGTCGGACATCTCGGTGTCGTCCTCCGAGCTTACATACTCATCTCTCTTCTGCTTGTATGCCTCAATGGCCTTCTTGAGCACAGTCGTCTTGTCGAGCGCCTTGATGGCATTCCAAAACGACGTGTTCTCGACATTGAGAAAGGCTATCTTCACCGCAAGCTCATTGTCGGAGTTATGGCTTTCCCACTTGCTTCTCCCAAAGGACCTGTCGTCAAAGTCATCCATAAACACAGAGAACTTCGACTTGAATTCGTCATCAATCTTCCCATAATTTATATTCTCAATATTGACCTGGACTTTGCATTTCTTCAGAATCCCCCTGTTCGTCCATTGTATCGTGATCGTCGAAGGCGCTCCAGAAACATGCCTTCTCTTCTCAATGTCACTTGGAAACCTGTCCTCCTTCACAATCCTCTTGTTTCTGCTCTGCTTGTTAATCGTCCTGTACGAGTCAACAGCCCTCTGGATAAGCCCCTTCTTCCCATACAGAAGCACAGGGTTCAACGAAACGAACTGCCATGCAAGCCGATTGCACTCAGTTTCAAATCCCCATCTATTTCCAGTGTACATCTCATACGGAAGATTCGCTCGGGGATACACACAGTTGTCTGCCTTGAACTTCTCATTCAGCTTGCTGATGTCAACACTGTCAAGGTCAAACCTTACACAGAACTCATTGTCTTCAAGATCCGCCTTCGGCATTGCATCCCGGGCAGACTCGCTCACCTTCGTCACATACTTGAAGCATAATCTCTCCTCCCCATCGACAAATCGCACATAAGGGGGCGATGCAGGAAGATTCACTATCTTTCTGTTCGAAGGCCTCTTGTTCTCATCGTTTTTCTTTTTCTTTCTTTTCTCCTTCTTCTTCCGCCCATATCGGAGCCTCATCTCCTCGTCTCCTCTATACTGCATCTGCCCGTCAGATTGGTAGAGCTCATCCTCGACAAAGTTCCGGAGCTTAAGAGAGTTCGCCTCGTTTTCTTCGTATTCCTTCTCCACACCAAGATCGTCACTATCTTCCTGGAATTGATAGATTAACTCTTGCCCGCTGACAATCCCATCATACTCAGCCCTCTCGCCTGCCATTCACCCCTTCTTTCTCTCTTCTTTTTATATTTTATCAGTAGGGTGCAAAAGGGTAAAAGGAGGAGTCCTTGCCCGTCTCCTCTCCCAGCCCTGAAATCAAAGGATCTCCACACACAACACTTTTCATCACACAGGGCACACACTCTCTCTTTCATTCCTCATGTCCTACCACTCCCCTCGCCAGTCCCTCCTTATTCCAATATAGGAAAATTACAGGAAAACCCTCATAATTCATTTCCACTCCCAGACTTCGCCTTAAAGAGCTTATCTCTTATTTCAAGCTTTTCTACCTTGTCCTTGAGCTCCTTTGTTCTGACAAGAAGCCCAAGATACCTTTCATCCCTGCTCCTGGCATCCTTTTCCAGCTCCCTCACCCTGGCTCCGTCACATTCTCTGTAAAACTCTATTCTTTTCATGTAGTACTCCTCCATCTCCATCATCCTCTCATTTATCCTGTCCTTTATTTCTAGCAAGAACTTGAGCTTACAGGCAGTCGTCTCCTCCATTCCCTCAGAATCTAAAAGCCCTGCTATTGTGTCCTCAAGAAGCAGAATCTCTTGGCAGAAGTACCCCATACTCAAGGGCTATCCACCCCAAATAAGACACATAGTTCCGCATCAGAAAGATTTTGAACTATCCTCTCCTACCCATGGCCTCGATACCATAGCTAAAATCTTCCAATAAAAAATATCTGGTGCCTGGGGGAGATGCTTAATATAGGAGACCCCACCAGAATCATCGATAAGCTTAAGTCATACAGGTCGGTGAAGATATTCATGCCAGATATGCCTGCAAGCTTCTGTGCAGCCAAAATAATCACAGAAATACTCCACAAGGAGCTCATCAGATTTGAGGTGGACTTCCATCCAGAAAAGCCCAGGCTTTACTCAGATTCAGATCTTCATGTGTTTATCGATCTGGACCCAGGTGAGTGCAGGAACGCTCTTCTGATCTGTGATCAAGAGAAGTCGTCGATCCACGGGCCTCTGTTTATCTGCACATGCCCCTCCAAGCAGATCCATTCGTGTGTATTAGCATATTCTTTGGCAAAGACCATGAACTATATCACCAGTGATATCTTGTGGCCTATAATCACTTGCTTTGGATTCTATAGAATGTTCACAAAGGATACCACTCCCATAGACGACCCGATGAGCAAAGCCTACTTCTTAGACAACGTGTGCAAAGGCTGCAGGGAGCTGCATGCAGACATTGTGCTTGAGGTCCAGAGGGCAGGGATTCTGACAGACATAGACGGGATATACCACATTGAAAGGCCTTACATTTCTTTCTTGAACTTTACTTCTCTGTTCTCGGCTCTTCACAATGACGTTCCATTTGTCGTTGACAGAAAGATCTATTACAGGAAGGACAAGAAGGCTGAGTGCCGAAAAATCCATGAGTATCTTGCAAGAAAGGGGATTTCGAAAGAGGTCTCACACGAGCTATATGCAAACCTTGAATACAACACAAAAGCAACAATAGAGTCATATTTCCGAAGAAGCAAATGCTTTGTAAAAAAGATAGGACACGACGTTGAGGTGTCCTCCATAGAGAACTTCTTTCTGATCTGCTACCACTTGCTAAAAGGCTCCCGAGTAGATGCTTTTATATGCCTGTCAGAGAGGGAGGCACCCAGGATAAAAGAAAGCATCAAGGTGCACCATGAGCTCATCTGGATATACAGAGACTGCCTTGCAAATCTCCGTAGACTTGGAGACATCCTGCTCTTTAGAATCAACATCTCTGGCATCCTGAAGGATATGGGCATATGTGTTCTGCTCCATCTCTATGAGCACTACTTCGAGATGTACATAAGGAAAAGGCATAACAACTCTTACAGACAAATGATCATCATGCAAGGATATCTTGAAAATAGATTTGTCCTGGCGACTAACGATCCCTTCATAATTTCTGAGCTTGGCCATGTGACAGAGAGAGTTGGGGAATACATTGTGATGGATAGAGATGAGCTGTTTATGATCATTGCTAAGCTAAAGACAAGGGCACATGCAGCGCCTTCTGTCGGTGTTTAATTAAAAATATTTGGCTTTAGCTATATAGAAATTCTAGACGGATCCAAGGGTAAGATGAGGATTGAGAAGTGCTGGTTCTGCTCGTCGAATATATATCAAGGACATGGGACTGTCTATGTTAGAAACGATGCAAAGGTCTTTAGATTCTGCAGGTCAAAGTGCAGGAAGCTCTTTGAAAGGCGTGTGAATCCAAGAAGAGTGAAGTGGACAAAGATTGCAAGAAAGGTGGCCAACAAGGAGCTCTGTAACGACACAATCCTAACGTTTGAGCGCCGTTTGAACGAGCCTAGGATGTATGACCGCGAGGTGGTCGAGAAGACACTTTCCACCATTCCAAAGATACTTGAGATAAGAAAGAGAAGAGAGGACTTCTTCATCAAGGACAGGATTCTTACTGGGCAGGAAATGACCAAGGAGAGCGATCTAAAGTATATTGAAAGACATGCTAATCTGCTTGAAGAAGAAGTATCTGATGAAAGACATGTTTTGAAGACCAAGAAGAAGGAGGCCCAAGCTAACTAAGGAAGTCTTGGGTTCCAAAAGCATCTTCAAAGAAAAAACACAGGAAAAGCCAAAGATAAAATAAAATATGACTTTTACTTAAGCCATAACTCCTCTCTCTGTAACAAAGATCCCATCAAGGAATACCCTACTATCACGATTCTTTGCTTTGCATTCGTTGGAGATAGTCCCTGCACTTTGAGAGACATCGGGAAGAGACGGCCCCTCAATAACTATTGTGTCCTTTCTCTCGTCAAGCCTAACCCTAGCAACACCACGCATCCTAAATACCTTAACATTCTTTTCTCCAAGAAAGTTCTTCACAAGGAGGACCTTCCCATCCTCCTTCACCTCCATGTTAATGGAAAAGTGGTTGTATGCGGCCTTCAATGTATATGCAAACCCTACTGTGACAGCTTTAATGGCATTCTTCAGCAGCGACTCAACAGTTATTGCAAGAGCTGCCGCTTTTCTCTTTCCATTCCAGAGCCTTATTCGGATGTTCCCCTCGTAAATATCAAATGTCAAGGGATGTCGCGTGCAATCCTCCACTATTTTCCCCTTTGGCCCCTCGAACGTAAAGACCTTTCCTTCTTGGCTCACTGTGCAGTTTTCTGGGACCTTTACTGTTCTTGTAACCAGAATCTTCATTAGGGATAAAATTTTAATCAATATTTTAACAAACACTGCCAAAGCAAACAATGAAGGGTATCAAAGTAGTAGCTATGATGTTGCTACTATTCTCTCAATCATTCGTCTACGCATCTACCAAAGGTGAAGAAGGCCACGAGAACCCTGCATTTTCACCCGATAATGGGCCAGATGAGTCTCAACAATCCCATGATGATGGAAGCCCAAACTCCCCAGGCGATGTGGGTGCCCAAGATTCTCTAGGTGATGAGGATGCCTCAAAAGAAACAAGCGAAACCGAAACCGACTTAGCAGTTAGTGCTAGTTACCACCATGAATCTACGGAGGAAGTTAAGGACGATGGTACTACACATGTCACAGAATCTACTGATGCTAGTTGTAGCATTGACTGTAGCGCCTGTGGTAATACTATTTCTCAAGTAGTGTGTGACTATTTTAGTTGTAGTATACAATAAATGTAGATTGATGTACTTATTTTTGTCCTGGCATTTCACTTAGATTGTGATAAAATGAATTATGATAGTGAAGTGTGAGCCCTATGGAATTGAACATAAACAATAGAAATACGAAGATCTGGCTTGCAAAGGTCCCTTTGTTTTTGGCGGAGAGGATATTGAGCCAGAACGGAGAGACGGTGGTTGGGGAGCTTGAGATAACAAAAGCAACACCCACGGAGCCTGCGGTGCTGAACCTGAAGCTGTCGAAGGAGTTTTGCGAAGGTGGGTTTCCGTCCTCCTTTGAGGTGAAAATAAAGGCCAGAGACAACAACATGTATGTTGTCAGGGCACATGAAAACAGTGCGGATGTTGAGGGGATGATCAACAATGAATGCTACATAACGCCTGAGATCAATGAGGAGTATCTGAAGTACAAAAAGGATGCAGGGTTTAAGAGCGACACGAAGAAAGGGGATGTGCAGGTTATTGACTACCTCAAGGAAGGCAAGAGGGGAGAGAAGTTTGGAAGCCTGAGGGAGCTTGAATATCTTGCGAGGAAGAGGAAGAAGATGCTTATGGACAAGAAGAGAGAGAGACTTGGGAAGAATGAGGTGATAGATATGGTGTTCAAAGCATTTGAGAAGTATCCGTCGTGGACAGTGAAGGACCTAGCTGATTTCTGCGGGCAGCCTGTTGCATTTATCCAGGAGATTGTCTCTGACATTTGTGTGCTGAACAAGAAGGATCTTAAGAACACGTATGAGCTGAGGCCTGAGTACAAGCAGTGATTTCTCGGGAAGCGTGATTTGTGCAGGAAAATTTTTCACCCCAAGAATGGTAGGTGGAGACTTTAATTTTAGGGTAGTGTAAAGAATAAGATAGTTAAGAGAGCAGCACGAACGATAGCGGAGAAGTACTTCCAAAGGCTTGACAACACCTTTGACCACAACCTGCTTGTTGTGCAAGATGTCGCTGTTGTTGAGTCAAAGAAGCTGAAGAATGAGATTGCAGGGTATCTTACGTCGCTTTACAAGAAGATTCTGAAGGGAACATACAACAAGGTTTACATCAAGAGCCACGAGGAGGAGAGGGAAAGGAAGGAGAATGTGATTCCAAAGGAGTCGATGCTTGATGTCGACTGTGTCGAGGTTGACGATGTGACGATGGAGATGATAAAGAGATATGGATATGAGGGGAACTTCAAAGTCCATGGGGTGTGAGGGGAGAAGCCGGAATAATAAATTATTCTATTATTTCTATCTTTATTTGTTTTAGCATGTCTCTGCCGGGAAGAAGAAATGTGCTACCTTATGACCCCGAATGCTTGAGTACATTATTTCTGAAAAGGACATCAAGATGCTGAAAAGGATGAGCATTCGACAGAAGCTTATCCAGTTTGTGAATGCAGCATACTCTGTGATGGGGACATATATGATATGGAAGATGTTTTCGATTCTCCTGAACAACGACAGCCCTATTGTTGTTGTGCTGAGCGAAAGTATGTCGCCGGGGTTTGAGAGAGGAGATATACTGTGGCTTGCAAATAAGGATTTTAGTGTTGGAAACATGACTGTTTTCAAGTTTGGGAAGGAGATTCCGTGTGTACACAGATGCATCAAGCAGTTTGGGGGAAGATATCTCACGAAGGGGGACAACAACCTTGATGACGATGTTTCCCTCTATCCAAAGGGACGGAACTACTTGACCAGGAGTGAGATCAAGTCTATTGTTGTTGGGTACATCCCCTATTTCGGACACATAAACCTTTGGATCAACACTGTTCCCGGAGTGAAGTTTGCAATACTGGCTGCAGTGGGTCTATCTGTTTTGTTTACCCGAGAAGAGTGAAAGCATGGTACCCCAAGTCCTTGAGAATAAAGAGATTGTTTTATTTCATTGCTCCCCAGTTACTTGTTTCCTAGATCCTCCTCCCCAGGTGCTCAGATGGGTTTCATAGCTGTCGAGGAAGGTTGCATTTGCTATTCCCAGCATCTCCTTGAAGGTGGCCTCGTCCTCTGGCCTTACGTCGCACAGACAAACACATGATGTGGATTTTAGGTTAACGAGCCTCCCAAGGATTGTAGAGTTCTCAACGATTGCATATGACACCCCCATCTTTCTACATAGAGTAGGGAGGAATATGACAACCTCGATGGGGTCGACCGATGCCGAGATAAGCACAAGCTTTGCTTTCTTCGTCTCAATCAGGTTTGTCACATGCTTGAGCCCGAACTTGACAAGGATGGGCTTGGGCCCCTTCTTTGGATCTTCCGAGCTCAGCCTGGCCCTTTTTTCTTCCCTATTCTCGGGCCTGTATTTCATGAATAGATCAACGAACTTTTTAGTATCATCCTCAGACAAAAAGGTCTTAAACTGATTGATTGCAGGAGGAATTCGGATGGCATTGGCTAGTTTGGTTATCTTCTTCTTTATCAGGAGCTCCTTCTCCATTTTCTGCTCCTTCGTAAGCTTTGGAGCTGCGATCGGGATCTTTTTCACCTTTCCTAATACCATTTGAGGGTAAAATTTTTTTCTCTTAACTTGCCCAGTGACAGCAAGATAGTGAATATGCTACTGAATGTAGAGGAGGAAGCCATAATGGCCTGCTGGGCTCTGAGGGCGTGCTTACATCCAGAATTCCTCCTGTGATTCCTGAGCTGGGTGGAGTGTAGTTCTTGAACATCTTTCCCGGGTTCAGGTTATTTGGAAGTTTGTGCAGATGACTGCTTCGAGAAGCTTGATGTGATTGGTGCATCAAAATATAAAAATGCTTTGTTTGAATACCCCAAACAAATGCAGATATTCGTGAAGACCCTAACAGGAAAGACAATCACATTAGAAGTCGAGGCGTCAGACAGCATTGAGAATGTAAAGACAAAGATACAGGATAAGGAGGGGATACCACCAGATCAGCAGAGGCTTATTTTTGCAGGAAAGCAGCTAGAGGATGGAAGAACCTTATCAGATTACAATATTCAGAAGGAGTCTACTCTCCATTTGGTGCTTAGACTGAGAGGAGGATATTAAAGTGTTTAGTTTTTTATGTCTTTTAATACTGTGGGGAGGGCGTAAGCCCGAAGGCTGTTGATGGAAAAGAAAAGGATAAAAAGAAAATGGAGAGAGGGGTACCAAAATGGAGGCATCTGAAAGGAGCTACAAGTATGGGGTGACCGGGCCTCTCTCTATGAAGGAAAGCACGGAGGAGGATATCCGGCTGTCTGAGGAGATGGACACGTACCTACAGGAGCGTGGCTTCTTCGAGGATTGCAAAGAGGGGCAAACAAGAGAGAGAGTTCTTGGAAAGCTAAACTTCATGGTTAAGGAGTTTGTTGCGAGGATGGCAAAGAATAAAGGAAACGGGGATGGGGAGAAAGCATATGGAGGAAAGATATTTACGTTTGGGAGCTATAGGCTGGGTGTCCATGGCAAAGGAACTGACATCGATGCCCTGTGTATTGTACCCAGGCATGTGACCAGAAGCGATTTCTTCACCTATTTTTACGAGGAACTGAAAGAAGACCCGAACATAGAAGGTGTTACAAAGATAGAGGATGCATTTGTACCAATAATTAAATTCGAGTTTCAAGGGATTCCAATTGATTTAGTCTTTGCTAGACTTAACGTACCCGTTGTGAAGGATGGAATTAACCTACTCAACGATACGCTTCTGAAGAGCATGGACGAGAAATGCATTTTATCACTGAATGGATCCAGGGTTACAGATGAAATGTTGAATCTTGTTCCAAATGTAAAAGCCTTCCATTCGGCACTGAGGTGCATCAAGTACTGGGCTAAGAGGAGATGTGTGTATGGAAACCCCTATGGATACTTTGGAGGGGTGGCGTTTTCGCTGTGTGTTGCAAGGGTCTGCCAGCTGTATCCAAATGCATCGTCTTTTACCATTGTCTGCAAGTTCTTTGAGTTGTTTTCGTCATGGAAGTGGCCGACGCCTGTGATTCTACGCCCTGTGGTGGACTTAAACTACAATCTGAAGGTCTGGGACCCCAAGGTGTATCCCTCGGACAAGTACCATAGGATGCCTGTGATAACACCTGCATATCCTTCCATGTGCGCAACGCATAATGTATCGAACAGCACGCAGCATGTGATCACCATGGAGTTTTCCAGGGCCCATGAGATTCTATCCAATCCCGAGAAGAATGACTTCAGAAGGATATTCGAGCTGTCTGACTTCTTCAGCCGGTACAAGCTCTTTGTCGAGGTGCTAGCGATGTCTACCTCCGAAGAGGGATTTGCAAAGTGGGAAGGATATGTAGAATCGAAGATCAGGATTCTGGCATCCAAGTTTGAGGCTGTTGATGACATATTATATGCCATTCCCTTTCCAAAGGCGTTCAGAGTTGGCGAGGAAAGCATTAGGAAGATAAGGCCTGGGGCCTCTGAGGTGAAGAAGTGCACTGCATTCTTCATAGCAATTGACATCATCCCTGTGAAGGGCAAGAAGGTGGTTGTGGAGCAACAAGTCAAGGAGTTCATGGAGTTCATCAAGGAGTACGAGGGAAAGGAAAGCAGCATGAGGATTGAGGTCAATAGCCTGAAGAAAAAGGATATCCAAGGATTCCTAAGGGTCTTTTACGGGAAGGATGATAATTTATCCAGTGAGGATGAGAATAAAAGGAGAAAAGTTAAATGATTGACAACAGGGCCCTGTAGGCTATCTTCCCTCCAAAACCTTGGTTTCCCTCCAAAAGGAAAATATATAAACAAAGGCTATGCCCTAGGGAATGGTACAGGGTAAGGGAGGAAAAGCTGACCCGCGAGTCATGGGAAAGGACGAGGAGCACCAAAAGAGCATTGTAAAGTTGAGCCAGATCAAGAAGATCATGAAGGACAAGACTAGGATGAGGATATCGAAGGATGCGCTTGTTGCGGTTTCTGCATGTGTGATGTACTTGATCAGTGAAATCACTGACGGAGCAAAGAATGTTGCAAACACCGACGGCAAGAAGAAGGTCATGCCTAAGCACATAAACCATGCAATATGTAATGATACTGAGCTTCACTTTGTTGGGCACGATTGGCTAATAAAGAACGGAGGAATGAAGTCATACATTTCGCCCGGGGACTTCTCGGTGTCAAGTAAGAAAGGATCTTCGAGAGATTGAGTGTCTTCTAGGCTTTAGTATTAAACTTTCGAGTTTCTTCATGTTTACTTTTTCTGGATGGTATTTAGAGTGGGTGCTGTGTCCCCATACTAGGATGAAGGTTGTAAGGACAGGAATCAATCACGGGACGAAGAGGCCAAAGCCCATTTTCTCCATAGACGTGTCGGATGGATGCATTGTTACCTCGTCCCTTGACGGAGAGATAAAGCTATGGAGCTCTGACCATGAGCATATCAAGACGATCAAGAAGCACCAGGGAACCGTGCTGTGTGTAAGGTTTAGCATCGGCGGGGCTTTGTTTGCCTCTGGGGGAGATGATGGGATGGTTTTTGTGTATAGTAGGGATGGGGACGTTGTTGGATCTGCCTCAGAACATGAAAGCGATGTTAGCAATGTGGCCTGGACCGACAAGTTTCTTGTGAGTGTTGGGTATGATGGATATGTTGTACTTTATGACCTGAAGTCGCTTGGCGTTGCTAAGAAGATGAAGTCTCATGAGGGGCAAATAAAGGGGATTTGTATGGACAGGAGCTTCAGGTACATGTGCACCCAGGGAGATGACGGGATAGTTCTTTATGATGAGTTCCAGGTAGTCAAGAAGATAGGTGCTTCTGAGGGAGTGATTCTCGAGTCTTTTTTCTCTAGGATGAGCTGGACGCCTGATGGAGAGTTTTTTGCCTCTGGGCTGTCATTCAACAGAAACTATAATACCGTTGAGGTCTTCGGCAAAGACCTAAGGAATGAGTGCTCGCTTATTGGGCATGTGGCACCATGCGAGGTGGTAGTGTTCAACCCAATGCTGTATAAGAAGGATAGAAAGTATTACATTGTAGCAGTGTCATCTCAGGACCTGAGTCTATCTCTGTGGTGTTCACTGTCGCCTAAGCCGTTCCTTCTAATCAAGAACCTTACGGAGCTGCCTGTGCTTGACATGTGTTGGAACGAAAGTGGAACAAAGCTGTTTATATGCTCTTACGGAGGAGAGGTTATCCAGATAGATGTAGAGGATGGGGACTTTGGAAAGGTCTATGAAGAAGAGGAGGATGCCTCTGGAGATATCTTCTTCTCTGTGGAGAACAGAGACATGTTTGAGAAGGCAAAGGAAAGGGCGGAGGAAAGTGATGGCAGAGACGAACCTGTACAGGGTTCTAAGAAGATAATAAAGCCTGTCCTGATATCTCCGGACACGGCTTCAGAGGAGACGAGAGCAGAAGGTGCTGAGATCACTACTGGGCACTCGTACCTTGCAATATTCAACTATTGTAGTAAGAAGATCGGAAAGATGCCAGGGAACAGCAAAATCAACAGGTCTTTCGGAGACTTCAGTGTTGAGCTCAGCAAGGATAGGACTAATGTCTCTGTCAAAAGAGGTCCAAAGGAGCTCTATAGGATACGCGGGAGCATAGAAATGATATGTGTGAACAGGAGATACATGTGTCTGTACACGGGGAAGATACAAGTCTACGATCTCAGGACGGGTGTTCTTTCCATACCGTTTATCTGTGCTGGAGACGTTGTAACCATGGATGTTCTTGGAAGGAGACTAGCGTATCTCCAAGCAGACGGATCGTACACAGTGTTTTCCATCAATAAGCGCAGGGTAGATGCCAAAGGAGTGATTCCAAGGGCCGATGGGCTTCTGTCTCTAAGGCTTGATAGAAAGTACTTTGTTGTGATCTCGTTTCCAGATGAAGAGTGCTTTCTTGAGAGAAGATCGGGTGTCTGGCTTCAGAAAACTCCCACATACAACAGCATTTGGGCTGGAGACACAGACCTATCTCTCGACCATGATGAGACTATATTTCATCTTGAAAACGAGTTTCTTATATCACACCTGGCAAACGATAGGAGAAGGCTGGCAAAGACCTTAAGGAGGATCACAAGAGCTGTTTGCAGGATGAAGAAGATGGAGGACTTTATAGAGCTTAAGCTCAGGAACATCATTAGGACGCTACTGAAGGCAGGCGAGAGGCCTATGGCAATCTCAATGCTAGAGAAGATGAATATGAACTATGCACTACAGCAATTTGTGTTTTCAATGCTCAAAGAAATAGGAGAAATCAAGCTTTAATTCCATTGACATCAGGATTTACCTGAAAGGGGCCAGTATCTCAGTAATATTCGTATTAAATAAATTCCCATCCTTATTATCTGCCTGGTTAACGAGGACAGCAATAGCAGGAAGTAAATGTTCACAAGAACAGCTTCCCACCACTCCAGGACACAGATTCCCGTCTCCACAGAATATCTGTAGTACATCCCACATACCCAATCAAGGGCTTTGAGGTGAATACAACGGTTAGCCCTCGCATGTTTCTTTTGGTTGCTTTCTATCATCAAGGCCCAGAGCTCTCGTCTATTTGTGAGGTATTGAGCCAATCAGGCCATGAAAACAAAGGGATATCCAAAACACTTTATCTTTTTAACATCTATCAATCTGAAAGATTCATATCTCATCTTGAGCACGAGGATCACAGATCGCCGCACATCATCTCAGCGTTTAAAAGACTCATCTTATCGAACGGGTCAAATGGATGGATTGTTTCATTGCCAATGAGCTGGAGTGCAAGCTTTCTAACCACGTCATTGTGGTGCAAAGTAAGAATCCTGAGGCTATAGATGTTGTCAAATCCACTCACACCGGCTTTTCTAGCCTCAGAGCATATAATCAGTATCGATATTATATACTCCGGAGTATACAGAAGTGATGTGTCCAGAAGAAACTTATGGAACTTCTCCCCTTCCGCTGCAGAGCCAGCCTCGTGAATCATGTTGAGAAACTCGGGCAGGTATTTTGAGTTTCTCATGTTGTATGACCTAACTGCATTCTTAAAGAACGAAAGCATATCTGGTTCTTTGCAGTTGGACAGCACCTTACTCCCGTAGAACACCATCTTCTCCGTATGCACGGCTTTCTTTATGACATCTACTCTGCATACCTTCTCATCCGTCATGTTTTTTCCCAGTCCAATAATCAAGTCTTCTAGCAGGATATTCCTATGCTCCTCGGGGATGTTCTCATTGAAATCTCTGAGAATATTGTTAAACAATTCAAAGGCCTTTCTTTTGTTTTCGCAGTCCAACCTAGATAGGAACTTCAACACAACATGCCTGGACCTAAATAAGTCGTTCTTGAAATAGAAATCCTCAACCCCATCGAGGATGGTCTCTTCGTTTCCAGGAAAGAGGAGGTGTAGCTTGTCAATCACATGCCCAGTCATGTCTTTCTTGTCCCCCAGCTTGTTGATAAACAGGTGTATCAGATCCACAAACAGAACACCCTTTTCCAGAAGCTTCTCCACCAACCTCATAACCTTCTTCTTTATGTACTGGTTCCGAAGACTTACACCAAAGGACTTAATGATCCTCTGCTTGATGTATGGATTCCCAACCTCCTTCTTCGATATGAGAAGATCCTTGATGTTCTTGAGGGCATAGTAATGAATATCGTTTCTTTGGTTCTCACAGAATGCAAGGAGCCCCTTGTAGTTTTCCGCAGAAGGGTTCCTCTCCGTCAGCAGCGTGAGAACATCAATCTTATCCTTGATGGTCCCATGCATCAAGAGATCTCTCTCTATCTTTGTGGCATCGGGAAATGCCCTTCCTTGAATGGGGCACGGCTTCCTTTTCAGAACTATCTTCCTTTTACCGTCTCCTCTGGAACTGGAGCCCGCTCCTCTAGAAGAGCTTCTACTTATCTTCTTTTCTCCTCCACCTTTGGGCTTCCCCATCTTCAAGGGCAACGGTATTTCCACAAGAATATTCATGCCCATTTCATCCCGGGAGCACCCATATATGGGAAGCCCAACAAGATACTTCGACATCTTTGGGCTGAAGCCTTCGTTTTCGTTGGACAAGCACGATCTGAAAGAAAGATACTTCGAAATTAGCAAGAGGGCCCATCCAGACAAGCCTGGGCAACCTCTTCTGGAGGGCGTGTCAATAGAAGAAATAAACAAGGCGTACGATGTCCTGAGAAACGACCTCACAAGAGCAAGATACCTGAGTAATGTAAAGAAGTTCGATGTCGACAAACAGTTTTTAATGGGCATTCTGGACTATGAGGAGGAAATCTCAAGTGCAACCAGTGATGAAGAAATAAAAAATATCAGAGACGATTTACAAAAGAAAATCGACCATTGTAAACGCCATATCAGTGGAGAAAGCCTTGCAAAGTGGGGATACTACGAAAGGTTGATGAAGATGCTCAACAAGAAAAAAGAAAATAAGTGACTTCCATTCATTAAACATATGCCTCATCTTGCACCAAAAATCTCTATCTTTCTTCCAAGAAGGTTATATAAAACCAACTCGTCAGAGCATCCAGAAATCGACTTCTCTTCAAGCAGAGACAGCTCCAGATGAAACTCGGCAGACTGGGCATCACTCCCTTTGCAGGATCCAGCTAACTGACGAATCAGTTGTAGCGCAGAGTATCCCTCTCTTAGAAACCCCTTTGCATATTCCATGACTTCGGGCTTGCTTGTGTTCCAAAATGCATCGATGACCCCTTGCGGAATAGCTCCAACAGCCTCCTCGATGCAAAAGTTACTCAGGGGAGAAATGCCCTGTAATACATTGATTGCTTTTCTCAGATCATTTCCACAAAGCCTAAAAAGCCTGCGGTATAGCTCTTTGTCATATGAAAGCCCCTCCTGGGCCCCTATGTCCTCAAGAACCTTGTTCTCCATTAGTGAGAACTTCACGCTAACAAGCCTGCTTCTAAGAGGCCCAATAATCTTTGATGGATAGTTTGTAATAAATATAAAACGGGTGTTCACCGAGTCTTCAATAACTCTTCTTAAGCAATGCTGTGCATCCGAGGTGAGGTTTTCGCATTCATCAAGTATTATGGTCTTATCTTTGTCCAGCGTGGATGCATACACCTTGATCTTCTCTCTAATCACAGATATGCCTCTTTCGTCAGATGCGTTGAGCTCTAGCTTTCGGGTTGCTAGGAGGTGGGCAAAGGTCGTCTTGCCCGTCCCTGGAGGGCCGTACAGCAAAAGATTTGGATGCCCTCTTCCGCCCTGCCTCCTTAGGATATTCTTTAAGTGTTCTGGGCCTTCGAACATGTCAGCCGACTTGGGTCTGTACTTCTCCGTCCACAGCATATAACAGAAATATAAGGTCAAGAAATCGCAGGCATAAATGTAGATTGGTATTTATTATCCCTTACCTAAGAGAGACATCTCCCCACAGACCTACCTCCTCGTCATCTGACATCTCTTTGTCCGCACTTATCTTTAGCCTTTGGAGCCTGGCATCAAAATCCTCTGCAACGTCAGATAGAAAGGAAGGAACCGGGTTTTTGGACTCCCTTAGGACTTCTATCAATGCCTTCTTGAAGTCTGCACTCACCCCACTATCATAGAACGAAATGGACTTCCCTGCCTTCCCTTCACGCCCAGTACGCCCAATTCTATGGATGTATTCCTTTATGTCCTTTGGAATGTCGTAGTTTATCACAAGCTTTATATCCTTAATGTCTATACCTCTAGCAGCTACAGAAGTCGCAACCATCACAGGAAACCTACCGTTGCGGAATCCTTTCAGCGCCTCGTTTCTGTCAGACTGCTCCTTGTCTCCATGCAACGTGACACACAAAATACCATTTTTCTTCAGAACCTTCTCAACCTCACCACATTCACTTTTTCTCTCAACAAATACAAGGACCTTGTCAGGCTGAACCTCCATCCTCCAAGACCCCTTAAGGTTTATGTCAGAGTTCTGCAGGATGCTCAGCAGCGTCCTCTTTTTGTTCCGGACTTCAATAATATCCTGCTTGATGTTCTTGAGCGTTTCAGAAGGCACCTCAATAGACACTTTGTCCCCAGGGAGAAAGTAGTTTATCATCCGTGTCAACTTTGGCGAGTATGTGGCACTGAAGAGGCATGTCTGCGTATTCTTTGGAATATACTTGTGGATCTCCCTTATCGGCATCTCAAACCCCATGTCCAGAAGCTTGTCTGCCTCGTCCAAGACGAACATCCTCACTCCAGAAAGATCCACCTTTTCTTTGTGCAATAGATCTATCAGCCTTCCAGGCGTTGCAACTATAATGTCCACTCCCGCATAGCTGGGAAGGTCTTGCTTTTTACCATAAATCGACACAACCTTGATCCTGCTTCCAGATACAAGCTTAGACGCCTCGGCTCGAATTTGTTCGCAGAGTTCCCTTGTCGGCGAAATAATGCACGCCTGCGGCTTTTTCATTTGCTGATATCTTTCTATGATCGGGATCAAAAAACACATGGTCTTTCCCATCCCAGTAGGTGCCCTACAAATCAGATTCCGCCCCTCAATCATCGACGGTATGCAGTACCTCTGTATCGTCGTCGGGACAATGTATTCCTTCCCGAGCGCATCCACCAAAGTTTGGGAGCAGAGCTCCTTGAAGGTATTTAGTGTCTTCACTTTCTCACTCGTCTTTACTTTACTGTCCTCATCCTCCACCACTACTGCTTCATCCACACTCCTAGGTCCTCTCTCTGCTGCTTCGCGTCTCTCACCTTCAGATGTGATATTTCCCTTGCACAGATTCCTCGGCTGAACACCTCTACCCTTCTCCTTCTTCGCCTCAGAACCCCTTTGGCTTACAGAATCATTGCTTGCCCATAACAACCTCTTCGATGCCCTTCCTCTATCAAACTCGTTGGATCCTCCTCGGCCTCCCTCTTCTACTACAGTTAACTCCAATTTCATGGGATAAAAAATTCCCTGGTTTATATAAATCTCATCATGACTTCATTGGTACTTCCGTAATCTCCCCCATAAACTCCAAATCACCTTTCCATTGCCTGAGAAATGAATCAAAAATCAAGGCACATCAAAATGTTGACAAAGTTGCCCCTGAGAAATGCTAAAGGACCGAAGGTCGTACAGTGTAATTCCTTACGAGATACATAGCTACTCTACATATGCCTCAGTGTACGTGCCAAATAACATCAAAAAGAACGATCCCATGGACCCCAACTCAAGGTGGTCCACATCGACCAATGATCATCTCCAGTATATCATCCTGAAAGTTCCTCCAAGCCTTGTTGTGACAATCACGTTCGGAAAGTACAACAAGATGCATGTGTCCAATGTCAAGAAGATGAGAATAAGTGTTTCAGAGGATGGAGCGGTGTACAAGGAGGTCTTGTGCGGAGGGCTAAAAAATGATTCTGAAATGGAAACATTCAATCTCCTTGTGAAGGATGAGGCATACCATATTGCACAGTATGTGAAGATTGAGCCTCTGGCAGCATGGGGAGTCAACTTCAGCTACTCGTTGTGGTTTGTCGAGCTCAGAGGTGTTATGGATGTTGAGAAGTTCATTAGATACAACGAGATGATTATGTTTGGGAAATCCATGAGAAGCTGCCTGAGATTCCTTAGGGACAGTGGGTTCAGAGATGTTTATGAGATCCTTGAGAAAAGAAGCTCTGACAAAATTGAGGACGAGGTTGTAAAGCACATAAGAAAGTTGCTAGAAGACCACAGGTATGAGGGCGTGGAGGAGGTGCTAGATAGGTTGGACCCATGTGTTTTCCAGGGATTTATAGACAGCTCTCCATACACACTTGTATGGACAGAGATTCCAAGAGCTGAGACGTGGCCATGCGAAAGAGGAGGTCATCAGATGATTGAGATGGACGGGTGTCTGTATGTCTACGGAGGATGGAATGGTGTGGAGGAGCTCGAGGACTTCTGGAGATACAAGGATGGGGTGTGGAACGAGATCAAGGTGGATGGAAGGACACCTGGAAAACGAAGTTGCCACAGAATGGTTTCCAGCGGATCAAAGCTTTACTTGATGGGAAAATACATTCCTCTGTCCTCTCGTAAGGTCTTTTCTGGGAAGTCTGACATCTGGGCTTTTGATGGAGAATGGAAGGTCATAAACATGAATGATGAGGGTGGCCCGGGCAACGTATACGACCACCAGATGGCTGCTGCTGGAGACAAGCTTTATGTTTTCGGAGGAAGGTCGACTGAAAAGGAGGATACCTATTCTGGGCTCTATATGTTTTCTCTTGACGAGGCGTCTCCATGCTACGAAGAAGATTCTCTCAAAGATTACCGAAAAGCGAATGAGGTGGGAGGAGCTGCCATTGGGATAGATGGGAGACATGAGACTTACAGCAGATCGATCAGAGAAAAGGATCAGTCGCTTCGGGCCATCTCCAGTGGAGAACTATCCTTTGGGACAAGATCCTTGTACGAAAGCATAATGGATGAGTCCAACTCAAGATACGAGGTTTCAACATCGTCTTCAAGCTTGGGTGCAAGTAGATGGACCATGATAAGGTCCGATATGGTGCAGCCACCATATACACCTTCCCTGAAGTCCAGGCTGGGGCACAGTATGGTGTTTATTCCTCCTGACTATATTGAAGGAAGCATTTACAACAACAGCCTTGTAATTATAGGAGGGCAGAGAAATAAGAACCCAATAAGAGAGATACTCTTTTATAGTTTGGACACAGACACTGTTTTCCAAAGCGAGCCGTTCCCCATAAATGGAGATGGTAAAATCATCCAGCGGGGCATACTCTACCAGTCTGAAATTGTTGTTCTCTTCTGCTACGGAAAGGAAAGAGAAGGGAAGTTCGAAAACATAGATGTATATACCTACTCTCTTATCAGGCGGAGATGGTCAAAAGTGGTTGCGAAGGCCAGGGCGGAGGCCGGGGTGGAGATTGGGCCACTGCCAAGGTCTGCGCATCAGTTTGTGGAGATGAATGGATGGTTTTATTTGTTTGGAGGGAATGTGTCTGAAAGGACCGACCGGCGCGTAAACGACATGTGGGTGTTCAAGCTGGAAAAGAAAACAAACAAGGAGATTCGGCACCTCTCGAAGCTTCTTGTCAGGAAGCATAAATACCTCCATCTTCTTGGGATTGATGAGGAGACGGCTGTTGATTACCTTAGGACCTCTATCCTGAGCATGGTTGTTGACGAAGATACAAGAGAGATTTTCGAGGATCTATGCCGTGAGGTGTACAGGAGAAAGACATTTGCCGATCCTGTTGAGGACATATGTAGATTATTGACATCAGCAAAAGAATATTAAAGAATTTGTTTTACTCCTTATATCTTATGGAGGCCCAGGTTTTATTAGAGGCCTTGAATATTGATGATGTTTATTTTGAGCCCTAAACATGGGAAAGGATGCTTTGTATTCATATCTATCTCCCATAGCAGATGAGGAGCAAGGGAAGTTCAGGGATCCGAGAGGGCTGTCTATGGGGTCTATGGATGAGAAGATGAGAAAAATCAATGAGGAATTCAAGGCCAGAGCCTGTGTTGGAAACGGATTTGTGTTCAATAAAAATGTCAAGTTAGAGTCTCCTGCAAGCTATTTTGGCAAGTGCACAGATCCTTCCGATGCAAAAGAGCCAGCAAATGGCAGCCTGAAAGGTCGGAAAGATGTTGGAGATGTAAATAGCCTGAAGTCAAAGGATGGATTTATTGGAGGTGTGATACCATGGAAAGTGAATTCCTCAGGTGCCGTAGGGAGAGGCATGGACCATAGAGACGTGTACAGGGGGTCGGTAGTTGGGTTGGACCTCTACAAAAAGCCCTCCATAGATTTCACGTCCTATACTAAGCAAAAGGGCAGTGGAATGAACTCTAAGATGGGGTATGTAAAATCCATGGCAAGCAGCTCTATTTTCAACAGGAACTCGTCTTTCAATTATGGAAGCCCTGCAAAAGAAAGGAATACCGTCTCGCCATGTCTATATACCAAGAGGAAAGAGCAAGTGGATACGAACTCTTCTCCGTCCAGATCTGTATTTAGTAATCCGTTATCAAACCATAAGGCCTCTAGCTCGTCCCTCAAGACTTCGTCTCAGGCATCCAATTCTTTTCTGTGCAATAACACAAGCGGATCACCGGCTTTTGCTCCTATCGATGTGATGTATGTGAAAACACCAAAGCCCAAGGACATGGCAGAAGATGTGGAGTGTGATTCTAGTGAGCAGCCACGTGCTCGGGCTGGTTCTTGCAACACTTCAATGGCTTCAAATCTTTATGCTCCTGGAAGGAAACTAACAATCTGTCCAAACATCAAAATATCAAACACCGTGCTGTGCTACGAAAATTCAAGAGAGACGACTAAGTACTACATCACGGTTGAGTCAGATGTTAGCTGGATGATATGTAAACCCATCGGAGATATCGCCACACTTATCCCTAGCATTCAATGTACAACGTTATCAAATGCAATGTCCCCACAGGACAGAAGGGCAAGAGACAGGATGATACAGGTGACGTTGAATTCTGGGATCACGGACAAGCAACTTCAGTCGTTCATTCTCTCAGATATTTCAAGTGACCAGGTGTTTAGGTCTTCGTATCTGCTGATGTATAATGAGGGATGGAAGGCTTATCTCTTCAAGTTTGTTGGGAAGGCACTCATATGTTACGAGAAAAGTAGGGTCTTTAAGATTCTCCTTCTCAGTGGATGCAACGTCCTACCCTTGGGTCATACAGGCTTTTGCCTTGAGAAGTCCGGAGAAGGAATAGAACTATACACCACCTGTGAGAAAGAAAGAGATGCATGGATCTCAGACATAAAAGAATACATTGGTAAACTCTAGAATAAAGAGGATAACAACTCAACCATGTCTTTCTTACATAAGCACCGTGCGTAGAGAGACCAAAAAACGTTTTAATAATAAGTCTCTAGGAGCACCTGTCTTAAAGTTAGATGTTGGCAAAGGGCCGTTTATTCAACAGGGTTGTACCTCCATATTCGCAGAATTCCATTGTTGTCGACTGTTGTGAAGAAGTTCTTAGATGTGGATATACCGATTACATTGGACTCGTGAATCTGTATCCTCATACTTCTCTTTTCCTCCAGGTCCCAGATTATAACACCCTCAGGCTGCCCCACCAACAGATGGTTTCTAATGAACCCTAGCGAAAGAACAGTTCCCTTCTGCTCAATGGCATCCTGGCATCTACACGAAGGTCTTTCTGGCTTTATTCTGTAAAGCCCAACATTCCGTCCATATCCTCCGGCAGACATCATCATGCGCTCGCCAGAAACAGACATTGCCAGAATCCGCTCCTCATTAGTGTTCGTCAGGTACGTCGTTTCGGCCTTCACGTCAAGAATAAGAATCTTGCTTCTGTTCACAACTGCATATACAAAGCTCCCGTTAGGACTCACAGCCATAGGCCCGCTGAACTCCTCTCCAGAGTTCAAACTAAGCATTTTCTCATTCAAACTATACACATTCACAGTCTTATCCCACTCAGTAGTAAACATCATGTCTCTAACTATTTTGAGAGCTATCGGGTCACAGGACTTCAGTAATCCTTCCTGCAATTTGCTAGCCAGATTCCATACCCTTACTCCTCCCTTTCCGTCTGCTGCATATAGGCGAAGAGAGTCCTGAGTAAAGTCCATAGGGCATATTCTATATTCCTGTGTTTCCCCTTCACACATCCTTTCTTCATATCTTTCCATTTTTTCTGAGGAGGCGTTCAGGAACCATATTACATTCTCCATTATAACGAACACTTTATATCCACATCCAAACGCCACAAACCTTCCACACGAACTTATAACTGCATTTGTTATCTTTCCAGGCATCACTACCCTTGCACAGACGCTGACCTTACACAGGTTGTCTCCATCACAGTACCAGTCACATCCTCTCTTAAGATATTTAGAAGGCTTTATAAATGCTGTCTCGGGATCATCGGATAGTGGATGCTTCTGCCTATTCAGAACACTTGTATAGTACTGGATCTTCCTGGCATACTGGCTGTTTGCCTCTACAAGCCGAACATTCTCTTGCCTAAGAGACCTATTCTCGGCCATAATCGTGTCATACTGCTGCTTTATGGCATCTAGATACGCTTCAATGCCCGGCTGAAACATTGCAATTAAGGGCTTATTCCGCCATAAAATAATCCTTCTCTGGCAAGGAGCTGCAAACATACTCTAAGAAGGTCAATCCTGTTTATTTCCATAAAATAGAAAGGCTGGCACAGAAAAAGCATGCTGTCTAAAGCTCAAAGGCCACCGCCACACTGAAAGGGATGTTCTCGTATCCAATGTTATGCTTGTTCCTCTCCATTACTTCATAAGCTTCGTTCTCTCCAAAGTCTTCCGCCCCCCGCTTCAGTCCCCGAAGAACCCGCCTGGCATTTCTCTTTGTTATGAAATTCTCCCTGAAGTATTGAAGGCTTTTGGCATATATTCCCTTATACATCTCAGTGTCGATCAGCCCTCTGCACCTTAGGGCAGTAGCAAGAATAAACTCCTCTTCCACGTTTTCTCCCTTAATCCATTCGATGTAATTTCCCGAAACAGCAGTACTGCTGAGAAGGACATAGGCATGATGGATACTGATTTCTGACAGGTACCTGACGATATAATCCACCTGTTCCTTGCTACAATATCCCGTCTTGAAAAGAGATATTGTGAGGCACACCATGCTTGGCAAGAGCTCTTTAGTCTTCCACAGATTTTCCTGCCTTATTATCTCTACAACAGATGAGAAGTCTCCAGACGAGTGTAAGACAACAACGGCAAGAAGAAACAGAGAGGAGGAGTATATCTCAAATATCTCCTCACTAAGCACAGTCTGCACCAGATTCAGGGCCCAGGCATTATCTCCGGTCTTCAAAAAGACAAGTCCCTGAACATCAAGTAGATACACATAGGCCTGGGGTGAGTTGATGTTCCTAACATTCTTCCACACAAACCCGTCAATAAATCTTACAACTCCAGGACTTACCAAGGAAGGATTGATTCTAATCATTCTCTGAATCAGCTGTGAAGAGAACTCATCCTCGATGCTTCCTTCAAGAAACGCCATCAACTGGTTTATGATTTTTGTGCAGCATTCAATCCCGCCTATCTTTTCACATGCCATTCGATCTCCTTCTGCATACTTTGCCGAATAGGACTCGAGGGATGCCAAGGACTCACATCCCTCAACGCACTTACTCAGATATGCCATTGCAAGAAACGATGCAGGGTTTCCTCGGCTGATATACTCGGGATCAATAATTGCTTGGCTATCGACAGATAATAAATATCGGAAGGAGATAACTCCAAGGTACCCTATGGACTTGCTGTTTCGAATTGTACTAATGCATCTACTGACTGCCTGCTCAAACCTCATCCTCAGGGCCATGCACAAAAATATCAGTCTCTCCTCATCCATCGGTGTAGCAGCCTCATCGTCAATAAGTGCTCTTTCCCATCCATCACCAAAGACCTTTTTTAGATGCCCGATCATTTCGATTATTATTCCTCTATTCACGTCATAGCCTTTCAGAAGATTTCTTGAGTATAGCAGAACATCCTCGCTCATTTCCTCAATTTCGTTCTCAGTCACATATGCACCTAGTTTTATTGCATTCGCAAGTGCAGCCGAGAACTTGGAGAGAACAGGATAGCTCTTCCTTTTCACAATGTTGAGCAGAACACTGTATTTCAAATAATCAAACTCTGTTATCGTCGTTAGAACAACGCCTAGGATTCTGGTCATATCGACACACTCAGGATACTTCGTCACAAAGAGGTTGAAAATCTCACACACATCCTTCTGAAGCACGTTCTTACGCAAAAGCTTACAAAAAGACCCTATGAACTTATCTGCGTTGTTCTCGAAAAAGGGATGGATATCCTGAAACACCAAAGAGTGAAACATTCCAAGGATATTTTCGTCCTCAGAAAGAGACTCAAAGTATGCCTTCTTGAATATATCCTGGCACAGCTCTATGTTGCCGATTATTTCCCCATACAAGGCATCACTCCTTGGGCAGACCCTATACTTGTTGAACATGTGGTTCAGGACTCTTAGGCTCCTCTCATTTGAACTTGCACACAAGTCCCGGACTAGCCCATCCCAGGCTGCACCATAGAGATAAAGGGTCTCAAAGAAGAAGCAGAGGATCCCGAAGTTTTGCTCTGAGGACCTGAAGATCAGCGAGAATAAGACGTCATGGGAATTGTGTATCATATCGACCCGCTTCGGATTCTCAATCCATTCCTTGCACCTTGTTTTCATATAGGTGAATGCGATTCCGTTTCCACTCCTCAAGAGCTCTATAAACTCGCGCTGCCCGTCAACACCATCCAGGCGCTCTTCTATATATCCTACGGAGGGCCCTCTGGGGTTCTGTAGAATATCGTTCAGCAGGTGCTCCATTTTGTGGGGTGGGCATTTCATCGGTATGTAAATTAGAGGCATCCCGTATTTGATGGGAGTCAGCCATATCTGCATACTGAGCAAGGAATGTTTCTTTGCAAGGACTTCTTGCGGGTAGCAGAATTAAATTTTGTGTACTGGGACCCTGCCTATGCATTTTCTGGTGAAGAAGCCTGGCTGGCTTGTTTTTGATCCCAGTGAGTATGGAGATGAGGAAGTCAAGACGTTTCAGGTGAGGCACAGAGAGGGCCGCACAAACACAAAGCTCGTGAAGTTTGAAGATGGATCTTGGTACCTCAAGAACGGAAGCCAGATGTTTCCCCTGAAGGCAGTGCCTTCAAGAAGAGACATCGGTGTTGGAGCTAAGGAAGGAAACGTTATATACATCCGTGAGGTCCTGGACAAGAAATGGTTTATTAAGATGAACGGGCCTGTAGGAGAGTGACATGTATATGCAGAATCTCTGGGTGATACTATTAAAGCTGTTAGATTATTAAGAGGCCGGTTGTAATGGTTTTGAACGAAAAAAATTTGATCCCCAAATGTCATCGAAGAAAGTAAGTTGAGAAGGCTAATTTAAGACAAACCCAATGAGAGAGATAAGCATTAAGAAGCTGTCCATTCATATATGTGCACGAGAGAGCGGGCCGAAGCTCGACAGAGCAGCAAAGGTTCTTGAGCAGCTGACCGGGCAGAAGCCTGTGACCTCGAAGGCCCGAATGACCATCAGGAACTTTGGGATCAGAAGAAACGAGAAGATTGCAGTCCACGTCAATGTATCTGGAAAGAAGGCCTATGAGCTTCTTAACACTGCGCTAAGGGTTAAAGAGTACGAGCTTAAGGAAAGCTGCTTCAGCAACAATGGATGCTTTGGATTTGGGATTGAAGAGCACATTGATCTTGGGCTGAAGTACGACCCGACGATTGGAATCTTTGGAATGGACTTCTTTGTTGTTCTTTCAAGGCCTGGAGACAGAGTATCCAAGAGAAAAAGATGCAGATCAAGAGTTGGAAACAAGCAGAGAGTTTATGCAGAAGATGCCAAGAAGTGGTTTGTCGAGAACTTCGAGGGCGTTCTAATTGAATAAACGGGTTTGGACGGGTATGCATTCCATGTTTACATCTCTTTTCGAATCTAGTATTATTTTTATTTAGAGATTTTGTCGATTATTAATCATAGAGTTACAGGACAATGTCGATTCCATCGTCTATATAGGAATCTTCTATTGTAAAGACCCTTCCATCAGACTTCCTGACTATGGTGCTTCCTCCAGTGTGGTCTAGAATCTGAACCACCTCACCTTTGTTTAAGCATACATCGCCATCCTCAATGTGCTCTATCTTAAGAAACCCTATCTTGAAGAACTCTTCATTGCGCTCCAGCTGAATTGTTCTTCTACCCGAAGAGTTGAGCATGGGAATAATGCTAAGGCTGGCTATTAATACAACATTTGCCACCATGGATTTCCAGTATCCTGCCATGAAATAGAATGGCACTATGGATGAAACCTCACAAAGGGCAAAAGCAATAAGGGTCTTGTGCCCAGGATCGTATGCTTTCCTCAAGAATTTCTTCCTGTACTCCACTCTTTTCATGTGGAAATAGAGCATTACACCTACATCAAATGAAGTTGCAAGCAATAGAGCCATACACAGACATGGCCTGAAAGAACCCTCGTGCACAAGCACCGTCGTTGTGCAGATGAATGTTAACAATGCTTTTATGGCCAAGAAGTGGAATTTGTCCATGAGGGGCTCAAAACAAAAGTGATTTGTAGGTCTTAATAGACGCCTGGTTCCCCTTAAAAATCGTCTAAGGAGTACTTTAGACGTGTGGCAGGATGCCAAACATACACCTCAGAGCAGGCCGCCTTGTGTAAGTGAAGAGTACATTGTGACTAGTTGTGGCCTACGTGTGACGAACTGAGACCAGAGACAGCCTTACATTACAAGATTTAAAGGAGAGCCCCTTTATGGAAATCAGCTTAGAAGTCCAAAGGATCGAGACGCTGAAAAGAATAACATCTACTAGAATCAGATACCTTCCTTCCACAGAAACTGTTTGGTTAGACGACTTTGCCTTAACCATCCCGATATATGGCTCTGGGGGAGAGAGATACGAATACACTGGGTCTGTCTTTTCTAAAACAGCAGATATATTGGCAAAGTTTGAAAGGAAAATGAACTTGGGGCTAGTCTGTGAGGAGGGCATGGAGATGCTCAAAAATGGTGACAAGCCTATCCTCAGGTGCCTATACAAGGATGGGAACGACATAAAGATTTGTGGATTGAGAAGACTGATGATTATTGATCCCAGAGACTTTGCGGTAAGCACATCCTTTACAAAGGTTATACTGAGAGATCAATCAAGGCTTAACATGCTCAGAAAGCTGAGTCTTGTGAACTGCAAGATAAAGAAGGTTCCCGACCTCTCGACAATGAGGTTGAAGTACCTGGATTTGAGCCACAACAGCATATCTGGGGTGTTGTGTATTCGCGGATACTTCAACACAGTTAATCTCTCGCACAATAAGATTTCTCGCGTCATTAGGATGAAAGCACTAAATTTCAACGTGTCGCACAACAGAGTGACCAGATTCTTCGAGGACTTTCGTTACCAACGCCTGAATCTAAGCCATAATCCCCTAGAATTCTGCCGTGCAGAGGCAAGAGTACTGGATCTATCTCGAACAATGGTGAAGATGCTGGAATCGAAAATAACAAAGAAGTTAACTATAGATGGAACAAAAGGAGTTAGCCTGGGAAAGTTCGAGAGCCTTGTTTTTTTGAGCATTAATGATTGCGGGATGCGGTGCTTGTCATTTGATGCAAAGAGGCTAAGGGTTCTGAAGGCCAGGAACAATTTTATAGAGGAGGTTCCTTTTTTCCCATCTCTTGAGTATCTAGATATCTCTGGAAATCTTGTACATACATTACCAAACAAGGGAGTTAAGTTTCTCGATGCATCCAAGAACCAGATAATTGCCTTTGATCTTAGTGAGTGGGGTGGATTAGAGCATTTAGACCTTTCCTACAACCCACTCGTGAATCTCGAGGCTTCTAACAGGCATGGGCTGAAATACTTGAATCTCAAAGGCACAAGCATCAGGAAAGGTGCAGAAAGGAAGAAACCAAGGCGTCATGTGCATCAGTGCAGGGGGGAAGGAAGGGTGGTTGAAAGGTTTGTGATTGACCCAAAGGAAGTGGAGGGAAGACTGTTTCTTATATCTGTGCATGATCCGAAAATCGACATTTTTGAGATGCTTAAGGCCATCCAGTCAGAAGTGGATGAAACCTGTAATCCTCATACTTACCTGTGGAGGTTTTGCTACCTTCTTAGGAAGATGCTTTTTTCCAGAAGTATTAGGCCTGAGTATGCACTATGTATGACAACATCCAAGCATGTGATCCTCAACGGAAGAGGAGTTGGCTTTATATTTTCGAATTTTGCAGAGATTAAGATATTTGATGATCCCGAAGTTGTTGAGATATATGATAACGTCGGGAACTGGCACTTCATTCCGGTGTTCTGTGACTTTCAAGGCAATGTTGCAAGGCTTGATATACTGGACACAATTGAGAATAGGTTGGACTCTGTCCTGGACTTCATAGGCCACCGGTGCGCTCTGTCTGCGACAACGGCGATTTCCAGCACCTCTGGATTATGTAAAGACTTGTGCGTGGGTGTGAGGCTAATATCCAGGACTAGCCTTCCTTGTAAGCTATCATATGAGGATGCAATCAAAAGTATTTCCAAGAAAAAAAGCAATGAAAGTTCGATACATGGGAGTGAGAACTACAACTTTGTGCTGAAAAGCAGCACGAGGCGGTTCTATGGAACTCTTCTCCTCAATCCAAACCCCATTTTTGCATTCTGCAGGATTCTCCCAAGGGATAGGAGCCACGGGTATGTTATTGGAAATGTGGCAAATATAATGAAGATGATAAGTATTATATTTTCTGGGACCAGAATAGAGTTTTTTTCAAGGATATGGATTGTTGCATTTCATGATAGAGTGGAGGCCTGCCTGTGGGGCCTAAAGGTCAAAGAAATGCTAAGGTGCCTGGAGATTGATGTTGGTATAGGAATAACATGTGGGACTTTCTACACAAGGATAGCAGGCAGCCATGTTAGATTTTATGGGCCTGTGCTTAGTAAAGCATCACGTGTTGCGAATCTTGGCGTTGGAGTGTTTTGCTGCCATTGTGTATGGACTAAGCATTCGGGAATTATGTATATAAACCAGGGGCAGCGGTTCCTCAGAGGGTTTAAGGAGCCTCACCTAATCTACACGCCCCATATATCTGGAGAGATATGAGCAGATGGGCACCCAATAAAATATTTAAAAGTGTATAGTTCCACCTTCTGTTATTACATAAAAATAATGAGTCCATAGATTCATGGGTATTGAGGTTGTGAGCATAGTTGTAGGAGATAATTACATGCACCTATTCTATGAGGGAGATGCTGCATTCTGCATTGATGCATGCAGCCCAAAGGTGCTTCTGAAGGCCTTGGGCATCAATTTCAAAAAGAGAATTTATAATGAAAGAGAGATTCTTGATATGCCTGAGGACATGGCAAGAAGGAGGAGGCTCGTTTATCTGTTTACCACACACAAACACTGGGATCACTCGGGTGGGATTCCATACATAATGGAGAACAGCCCGACTACAGAAAGAATATCTGGGTTTGAGGGCTGTGTATGTAAGTGTGGAGACAAGTTCTACTTTGGAGATGTTGAGATAGAATGCCTGTATACACCCTGCCATACAATGGATAGCTTTTGCTACTATGTCGATGGGAGGTTTCTTGCAACAGGCGACACGCTGTTCTTTCTTGGATGCGGGAAATTCTTTGAAGGAACGCCTACACAGATGAGCCATGCCATCAGAAAGGTAAGAGAAAGAGTCGATCACAACGCCATTTTACTATATGGACATGACTACAACAGCCAAAACATTCGATTTACTGAGGAATTCTATCCTGTCCCTTCAAGGATAAAGGAAATGAAGTTCTTGAGGCTTAGAGATGAAATAGAATATAATCCATTTTTTAACCTAGGAAAGATACTTATTGGAGGATCAGAAGAAGAGATGATGGGTAAGCTTCGTGAGAAAAAGAACGTGTTTAATAAGATATGATATGTTTGTGCCGGCAAGAGAGTTTGTTCATTTGAAGGACTCCTTAGATTTGCCCTGTTTGCCGATTCTTTCCATTGTGGCTCTGTTGTTTTCTATTGTGACTTTGATGGCCTTTTGAGGAAAGTAGTATGATCCCTTATTGTAAAAAAACGTGTTGCTGGTGAATAACTCGCTCAGCTTGCACCTTTTCTGATTGAATGTCATCTTCTTCCGGAAGCCATGCTTGTCACTGAATTTTAGCCTTCCATTCAAATATATCTCATTTCCATATACCTGGATATCGCTACCATCCACTGTGAGATAGTGATAACTGGATGCAGATTCAATGTAGAGATATTCACCGGGATTTGGGTTGTATATTATTGTACCTGTGTGGATAGATGAAATCTCGCTAAAGTCCAGCTCGAGCTTGAGATTGTAGTAGGCATCGGCTGACGGCATTGCACCATTGATAGAAATAACCTTCTGAGTATCGAATATGGGATGCGGATAAAGGCTAAACTCCAAGGGGTCACAAAACACTATTGCTGGCCCAGTAATCTCCGATATTTCATCGATTGTGTCCACTATGTGGAGGCTTCTATATGATCTGACTGGAAAGGGGTCTTTAATTGATGAGAACACCTTGCTCAGCCATTCATTCTCGATGCTGATGATTGTGTGAAAGCGGTTGAACTCCGCGGACACAATATATACTGGGGTCACACCTTTTTCTTGAGCAACAAACAATATGTGGAGTAGAACCTCGATGAGCATTGTTGTCATCTCTAAAGGAATGATTGCAACATCAAATCCCAGATTGTTAACGTAGGCAGAAAACTCTTCTATGTTGTGGGAAGAGGGGGGCTTGTCTGTGTTGATGATCAAATAGTCTGAGGAGATGCTGCCAGGTTCCTGGGAAAACCTAGGCTTACTTGCCAGAGAAGAGAGGTAGTATATTGTTCTCCTGTTGCTTAGCTCGATCAGATAGTTTGTCCAGCCGATGAATGTTCCTGCCGGCCTTGGCGTGACCAGAACATCATCGAAATGGCATTTTTCGTTGAATTTAATGAACCTGGCATTTCTTTTGAATCTTTCAATGTCTGCATTTTCTATGGAAATACCGTGTTCTTCTTCGTCTTCATAGTGGATAGAAAGCCTGAGAAGATTGCGATATTTTATCAAGATCTGCTCAAACACAGGCTCCGTGATGTATATGGGGATGTCCTTTTCAAGAAAGAGCACGCCCAATGAGTCTGACCTAGAGACTAAGATGTAGTCTATGTCATCCACAAACTTTGGAAGAATAAGTTTCAAGGGCTTGGGCCCTTTGGTAAAGGAGGGGAAGGAAAAGCACATTCCGCAGATGCTTGATGGATAGTCCAGCAGGAATGTCTGTTCATTTGCCTGGAGAATGTAGCAAGACTTATTTCTGGAAGTGATCCGCTTTACTAAGGCCATTCTAGGGCTTATTTGAATGATAGAATTTGAAGAGTTCCTGGCCCCTATGACTTCTAGCAATACAAATAACTCCGAAGGAATGATTAAGATCATCGAGAAGGAGTTACTGGAAGAAATCAAGTATAATTACAATGAGATAGAGAAGGCCATAGAGAAGATTGCTGTGGACATGGAGAAAGCTGACGAAGATCTGCAGAAAAAGGTAAGAGAGATATATGATGGTGTGGGGAAAGATGGATCTATGCATTGAAAGGTTTAGAGTTCTGTGCATATTGAGTAGGAAAGGACAAGGCTCATTACTGCCAAATCTTTCCCCCCTTGGATGCTAAGAGCATTGTTTGGTTATGAAAAACACTTCCAGATGGTTGACGACGTGTATAAAACAGGAACCATGGGTGAAGAGAAGTTATCAAGACTTATAACATATTTGAAGTCAAAGACGTCCACTGTACCAAGCACGCTCGACTATCTAAGGGCAAGGGCAAGAGAGGAGGTGCAAGTCACGCATAGGCTTAAGACCGGGTCAAGAGTTTTGAGGCAAATTATTGATCAGCTGAGGGGGGTGTCCATTTGCTATGAGTCACGGATGATAAGGATATTTGCAGGGGTGATTCAGGAGATCCTGCAACTGAAGAAGGACGGCAACTTCGAGTACTCTGATCACCAGGAATTCCTAGATGTATTTATACACTTCTTCAAGACTGTGCCGATTAGAGCATATGAGAGTGAGAGATATATCCAAAAGATTCTTTTTATTGCGACAAAAGCAGCTGGGGGGCTTGCCACTATTGAATATGGGATGAGTGATGATAATTATGTGGAGAACACTGGAAGGAGGATGCACTCGGGGGCTAGTGGTTCTTCTGACGATGTAGGCGGCCGGTATAGCCCCAAGAGGAGCATATGTGAAGGGAGAGGAGAGATATCCAATGCTAGGTTTGAGTACTTCTTTTTGGAGGTTATACATACGCTCATGGAGGTGGAAGATATTCTCCGGATCTACTATGACGAGAAATATAAATGGCTTGTGGGATCTCTTATGAAGCATGGAGAGGTGAATAGTGCAAAGAGAACAGAGATATTCAGACTTGTAGCTCGAAAGGCAAACATCATTAGCGGGAACAGTCTTATCTATCACATGTTGAAGCATGCGAGCTGGATAAAGAAGTCTTGTGTGGGAATCCTCACAGAATATCTTGAGTCGAATCTCTATCCTCAGATCATTCTCCAGGTCAACATGAATATCCTGGAAAGGGGAGGAAGGTTATGCAGAAAGGAAGGATCTGACAATAGCAGTGTGGTCAAGGAATGTGAATTTCTTGTGGGAGAAGCCACGGGTGTCCTGAAAAGGTATGATGTGATGCATCTGAACCAGAAGGAGATAGTCCTGAGCTTTTTCAGTATTTTTGAAATGTTCTTTTCCCAAGAGGACGGCGAGTTTTTGTTTATAATTCCATACATAAGAGAGTATTTTGAGAAATGTAAGCCGATATCGGACATATTCTATAGGTTCCTCAAGAAGATTTTTCAGGAGCGGAAGCCCAACAAATATACACGAAACCTCAAGGTCACCATGTTTGGAGAGATCCAAAGATACTTTGTTGTTCATTCGAACTGTGTTCCCAGCACGAGATTCATAACTCTTCTTTTGAATTACACGGGGGATGAATCTATGTCTTTTTGCTGCAAGATATTGTACCTGACAAAGGATTACTTCATGGCCCGGACGCTGAAGCCTTTTATAAAGGAAAGGGTTATGGGGCGGCTTCGGGTGCTCTTCCACGAGACTGATAACAAGGACATACTGTATCTCTTGATGGACCTTGTTGAGCATGACATTTCTAGAGATGACCATTACAAGATACTGTGTCTCCTGAACACCAGGAAGGTTTTGAACGAACAGCTGGTTCGGGAATTATACAAAGGCCGCTATTCCAGCATTGAGGAGGCTTTATTTTCCGAGTTTGGATGTGAGGTGTTGGAGCCCTATGACCTAGAACTAGACAAAAGAATGTATGAGGGAGGAAGTGGAGGAAGTAAAGGTTGCGAGAACGAGGTCTGTGGGGAAAAGCCTTTAAGATGTACTCGGATAGCTCTGATTGATTATGAGAAGCATTTCAGATGATTGTATCCTAGGACTGTATGGATAGACTAGTAGAATAAACGACGTTATTTTGTCATTTGTTTCCCGAGGTACTTAGAATTTGGAGCTTTTATTTGGATAGGGATTTTAAGGGGATGAAGAAGTATAGGCTTCGGCGTGTGATTGGAGAGGGTGCATCGAGTACTGTGTATGGCGGGATATCCACGGCTGGGGAGGATGTGGCTGTGAAGATAACTCCGCGAAGAGGAAAGGCGGGTGACATGGCATACAAAGAGATCAGGATGCTGGACTGTGTCAAACACGAAAATATTGTTAAGGTTGTTGACAAGTTTGAATCTGAGAACCATGTGTATATAGTTGAGGAGCTGTGCGACTTGAATCTTGTTTCGTTTCTTAATGAATACGAGGTTGATGAAAATGTAGCCTTGAAGATACTGAGGATGATACTGTGTGGGCTAAGACACATCCATTCGATGGGAATTATACACAGAGACCTGAAGCTAGGGAACATACTTTTGAAGGGAAACACTGTGAAGATCTGTGACTTTGGACTTTCATGCTACGTAGAGGACAACAAGCATGAATTCTGTGGAACGATGGACTACCTTGCGCCCGAGGTGATTGACGGAAGGAAGTATACTCAGAGTGTTGACATATGGTCGGCAGGGATCGTATTTTATGTTCTACTTACGAAGAAGAAGTTCTATGAGTCTCTGGGTGCCTTGAAGTGTTCTGAAGAACTCAGAGACCTTCTTGGAAGGCTACTTGAGAGGGATGAGACCAAGAGAATCAGCGCAAGTGAGGCGTTGATGCATAGAAGCTTCAGTAGATTCATACCGAGATGCGAGGATTTCAGATGTCTTCCCTCCTTTGAGAAGAGCACGAGGTACGGAATGGTGAAGAAGACCAGAGATTCTGTTGAGCTGGGGGATGCCAGGATAGTGGCCAGGAGTAAGAAGAACGGCCATGGGGTAAGAAAACATCCAGATGCAAGATGCTTATGTGGCGAGATATTTGGATATTCTGTGTTTATTAGGTCTGAGGAGATTGAGCCTGCATTTATTACGAATGGAGACCTGAAGGCATTAAGCCTGCTTACTGCAAACGTAAAGATGGTGAAGGATAGAACACCGAAAATAATAATAGAAAGTGGTGGAGACAAGTTTTATTATATGTTTTCTGGGGGATTTGCATATGTCACGGAAGAGCTTACCTTGAGAACAAAAGACAAAGGATATGAAATGAGTTTTAAAGGTAAAGAGAAGGTGTGTTCTGAGGACATTCCCGATTTTCTGTACGAAGTTATCACAGGGCTAAAGGCCAGAAGCGAAGTAATTGACAGGGGTGTATGCTGGTATACAAGAGACACGCCCATACTAGTGGGTTGTTCCTCACATCAGCAGTTCTCCATGTCATGTGTGTCACAAGTGAGCGATATGAGTATAAGGATGAGGACACACTATGATTACATCGAAAATGTTGGGTGGTGTATTAGAGACGGGCTCAATCTCCTATTTCTGATGAATAGTGGAGAAAGATTTGAGGTTTTATGCGAAGATCTGGCGGTCAGATACAAGGAGAGTGTGCTTCTTATTGACGACGACCTTCCGATGAAACTCAAACACTATTTGAAAAGCATCTCTCCCTTCCTGAGGAGTATTCGTGATGGTTTTATATAGCTGATCAAAATAGATAAAGAGTGTTGAATATTGACGAAGTAAATAAAACTAATGATAGAGGAGATATTTATAGTTGGAGAGGGAGAAAGGGTTCTTTATGGGGATCCGAGCAGATATGTGAAGGGAATGAAGTATCCTGTGGATGAGACACGAGGGACCCGAATGCTACAGACGGCGATAAATGATGTCAAGATATGTGTTTTGTATAGTCTTATAAGCGATTTCTCTATGATGGAATATATCGGGAGGCTGAGAAGAAAGCTTGAGGCGAAGCTGGGAAGGATTTGTGAGAAAAGTGTTTTGGAAAACTATTTTACACTACTTAGAATTGTAAACGGACAGGAGAGTGTTGTGGTGTTTGATGCAAAGAAGAGGCTCATTCCACCCATAGTGAGCAGTAATATGTACCTCGATGTGTCTGAGGACATGAATGTTATTGTTGATGGTGAGGATGTTATACTGAACAGAACCGATGGAAGATGTTATCTTAATGGTGTATTTGGGGAGGAGAGAAGAGTGAAGTTTGACATATGCGGAGCAAAGTCCTCTGTGATTACGTACAAAAGTGCTGGGGAGGGATCTGAAGGGCTTGAAGGAATAAGAGTGAATGTAAGGGTACACCGAAGCAAGACGGAAGCTGTCAGGTACTCATGCAGTAACCTAGAGAGGCCTTTTTTGATGATTTCCAAGGCGGATGGAGGATACGTTTTGAGCTGTCAAAGTGCGACAAAATTTGATTGGCTTGAGGTATGCTTCCCGATTCCAAAGAAAGCATCCAAGGTTGTGAGGAGCCATAGCTCTGGAAAGAGCGTGTATGATGAAAAGAACGATCTGCTGAGATGGACATTCATGAAGGAGGTTGTAAGAAAGGAAAAGATAAGCTATCGTGTGGAAATGTTCGAAGACTGTTCTGACTTGAGGCCCATAAGCATTAGTTTCTGCATCAAGGAATGGAAGGATGCAAAAGTAAAGATAGAAAGAGCAGAATGTGTTGGAGATCCTGGTGTGTGTTTTTGGATCAGATATGGCGTGTCTAGCGGGAGGTATGAAATAAGAATGTAAGGAGAAGTATATCTATGGATGGATTTGACAAAAGTAAAGGCTTGTGCGAGAATCGAACTCGCATCTGCTGATTACGAATCAGCTGTTTTGCCACTAAACTAACAAGCCTTAGAAGCACACGCGGTTAGTCGGCATAGTTTTAGGCGTACTAGCATTCAATAAAGATTTGGATATATAACTTTCACTCTGTAGAAATAAATGAAGCAAGACATGTGGGGTTGGGATGGAGCACATAGATACACAGATTCTGTTTATTCGAAACTTACCGGGGGACATATCGAAGGACAAGATAATGGAACTATTTGAAGAGTATGGAACAATAATACAGATAAGAATAGGAGTGGAGAAGAACACAATGGGTACTGCTTTCGTAGTATATGATGGAGTGGAGAGTGCTAGGAGGGCCATAAGACACATGAACGGATATTATCTTGGAGACAGATATTTGAATGTAGGATACTGGCAGCCGTTTGATAAGTTTCGTTTTATGATGTGGCAAAGATGATTCTAGATGTCCTGTGCGGGGTGTAAGATTGGGCTCTGCGGTGAAGCTGGAGGAAGGCAGCGTGGCCGAGTGGTCTAAGGCAATCGATTCGAAATCGATGGACTCTGTCCCCACAGGTTCGAATCCTGTCGCTGTCGACGCTATTTTTTGCATATGACAGGGAAAATTTTTGATCCCCAATGGCTGCAGAAAGACTTAATCAGGTCAGAGCGTCGATATTTCAAGCGTCTCAGTCTCTTCTTCAGACGCTTTCGACATCTCTTGGGCCCAGGGGGCTAGACAAGATGATTGTGAAAGATAAAAAGACTGTGGTAACTAACGATGGAGCCACGATCCTGAAGTATCTGAACCAACATCCGATCCATGGGATTTTATCAAACATGTCTGCAGCGCAGGATGAGGAGTGCGGGGATGGGACGACCAGTGTTGTTGTTCTTGCAGGATGCTTGCTGGAGAGTGTCAGCAATCTTCTGGAAAGGAACGTCCACCCTTCTGTTATATGTGACAACCTAGAAATTGCTAAGAGAATCGGGCTCAAGTACATCGACAAGGTAAAGATCGAGTGTGACAGAAAGGATTTCATCAACAATGTGTCGACGGCACTATGTTCCAAAATAGCGTCTTCGACGGGGGAGATGGCAGTGGCAGCCATCAAGGGGATGGAGTATGTTAATGGAGACAAGAGCAAGATCAGGATTGTCAAGAAGGTTGGCGGAGGACTTGAAGATGCCAGAGCATACAAAAGTATTCTGTTGGGATGTGATCTCAAAGACATTCCAAAGAAAGCAAAGCTGGGAGTTGTCCAGTTCTGTTTAAGTGCTCCAAAGACAAACATGGACAGTAAGATCCTGATCAACGACTCTGCACTTATGGAAAAGCTGATTCAAGAAGAGAGAAGGTATATTCTGGAGATGTGCAAAAAGATAAAGAAAAGCGGATGCACTCTCCTGGTCATTCAGAAGAGCATACTGAGAGAATCATTAAGCGACCTTGCCAGCCACTTTCTAAAACAGTTAAACATCTTGGTGGTAAACTCGGTGGATAGGAAGGATATAGACTACATCTGTAATTCAGTGAATGTGGAGCCGGTTTCGGAGATAGACTTGCTGAGTCCTGGATCGCTGGTGGACGTTGAAATTGGAGAAGTGGAAGGAATGCTGGAGATCAAAGGGCACGGATGTACAATACTACTGAGGGGGTGCGATGACACGGTGGTTGAGGAGGCAGAAAGGTCTCTGAATGATGCGTTATGTGTTGTGAAATGCCTTGAGGAACAGCCTTTTTTAGTTCCTGGAGGAGGTTCTATCGAAATGGGAATCGCTCTGATGCTTTCAGAATGCACGGAGGGTAATGTCTATGTTCTGAGAGAGATAGCAAAGGCATTTGAAGGTGTTCCCTACTTCCTGGCAAGAAATGCAGGGCTTTATCCTGTAGAAATAGTTTCTGAGCTAAGGAAAGAGCTAAAGCAGAACGATTGTGTAGGGATCAGCGTCAGAAGCGGACATGCTGGAGACATGGTAAAGGAAGACTCTGTGGTTCAGCCTGCAAAGGTAAGTATTAGCGTCATCACCCTGGCAATAGAAGCAGTCTCTATGATTCTGAAGATCGATGACATTCTCCCTGCAAGGAGATAAAAATCTCTTGGTGATTAAAAACTTTATTATGAAACTTTCGAGCACTGCCTATAGAAAGACCCTGTGTCATGCCTAATGCCATCCATGTGCATCGCAAAGCTGCTCGGTTATCTTATCGATGTATGTAGAATCGGACTCGTCCTTTCCACTAATCTCAAGGACCTTTCCAACTAATTCCTTGAGGGATTCTATGCATATTTCTCCTGTGAGAAATCTGTGATTGAGAAGGCTATCTATGGTTGGCCTCTTCTTTGGGTCTCTGACCAAGCATTCCTTCATGACCATCACGGCAAGCTTGTTCTTGCTTGAATATGTAAACTCAGAATACTCCTGCAGCTTCTGAATCTTTTGGATCAGGTTAGGATACTCGTGCAGCGGAGGCTTTGAATGGGCCATTTCGTAGAGTATGCATCCCAGAGACCAAATATCTGAGCTACGGGCAACCTTGGACTTGTTCTGGGTAACAGCCTCAGGAGACATATAGTTCACTGTTCCGCATTGCTCCTCAGAAAGAATGCTTGTTGTGTCATTTCTTATAACCTTCGATATTCCAAAGTCTATGAGCTTCACACGCCCTTTAACAAACAGGAAGTTTGCTGGCTTGAGATCACAGTGGATTATTCTTTCCATGTGAACTCTCTTCACTATTAGAAGCATCTGCTCCCATACATCCTTGATGAAGTTCATACTTAGCCCTCCTTTCCTTATGATCTTCGACAGATCGGTTTCTCCGTATTCCAGCAAGATGTGCAAGTAGTCCTCACCTATCTCATGATCTATAATTTCAACTATCTCGGGCGCCCCTTTGAATTTATACAGCAGATTTATTTCATTGATGTATGAATTAAGCATCTTCTCGTCTCCAACTAGTTCAACTCTTTTTAAGGCATATATGTTATTTCCAAGAAGAACCTTATACACCTTGCTGCTTCCTCCTTTTCCTATTTGCTTGAGTATTTCGACCTCTCTTCCCTTTACAGCTATCTTCTCTCTAGCCCTCATCATCCCAGACCTTGGAGATGAGTTACTTTCCCCAGGGCTTGTTCTTCCCAAGGCTGTGTTTATTTCCGTGGTTATTCCCTCAGAATAGTCTTCCTTCTCGAATTTGACAGGTATTGTTCCGAAGGCCGTGCTGAAATAGCCCTTAGGCTTCGGGTCAAAGCTAGACAACAGAGTAGAACCGTTACCGTCGGCTTTGTTTCTATTGCACAGATTCTCCTTGGATTCTCCAAATGTCGGGTAGACTCCGTCACCTCGGGGCAGAAAACCTTTTCCGCTGCCAGATATATCCTCGGATTCCCTACCTTCTTTCTTCAGAATCTTGCTTCTGTAGTCTTCTATCTTGGATTCAAAATGGCTGGAAAGTTGAAAATCTGTTGTGTGGCTCCCCTTAAGGCACTTTGAAAACACAGACAGGTCTTGCCCGTTCAGGACGCAGGACATTACACACTCCAGGTACTCTAGTACCCTCTTCTTTTCACCAAACTCCTTCACCCTGACAAAGTCAACGCTATGCTGCAGGACTTTGGAAAGATTTTCGTTTCCAGCCTCAATCTCAAACCGAATGTATGCTTCCCAGTAATTGTAAAACTTACAGAACCTCATCTTTATCATCTTGAATGTTTCTCTGGCCTCTGTCATATCTTTTGTTCCATCCATAAGTAGCCAGATATAGTCTAGCCATATCCTTAGCGAGTACTCGTCATCCCCCACGCTTTTCGATGTTGCTTTGTAGTACAGAGATATTTTCCTGGTCTTCGATATTCCCGACTCTTTCTGCTCCTCAAGGTACTCGTAAAGATCCTTGCTGTTGAAGATTCCTTCCATCGGGGCCTTTAAGGGTCAGATGTAACACTGGTTTGTTCCGCCATAGCCTTTTCAATAGCCTTCCCTTGCAAAACAATGGAAACAAGCCAATTGCTAAAGAAAGTTCTGAAGAAGGATACCTTATCCACAGAGGACATTGTCTTTCTCCTGGGAAAAGTAGATGTTGCGATCAGCTGCTCTGACTGCAAAGTGCTGTTTTACAAGAGCGTGGAGAGGGCACTAGTGCATCATTACGAAGAGGCCTATGGTGTTTGCATACCGTCCAGGGTCTACAATATCAATGAGATCCATGGATTGATATTGTTCTTGCACATAAAGAAATACGGGTATCCAGAGGTTGATGTAGACCTCGAAAGGTTTTTTGAAAACTTGTTTTTCAGTGGCATCGGAGAAATGGAGGTAAAACAACTGAAGGAGGAGAACGAAAGACTCACAAAGGAGAATGAAGAGCTGAGAGAAAGGATAAACGAAATGAACAATGCGTGGATAGATAGAGGATTTGAAGAGGGAGAGTTCAGAAGCGTGGATGAGGATGTCCTGTCAAGGATGGAGAGGGATCTGGCTGCACTAAGAGAACAAGTCGACTTTGAGCATCCCTTGATACTGGAGGCATGGTACAGATTAGGAGAGGAATACATTAAAGGCAGGCATTAAATTGAATTACTCTCCTGGCCCCAAATGGAGGGCAAGGAAGAACTAAGGGAATTGCTGAGAAGCATCATAAAGAAGAGCACTGATCCAAGAGCAAGGGCACAGAACGAATATCTGACTGATGAAGACAAAGTGGTGCAGAAAAATGAGAGAGCATCTGTAAAAAAGAGGGCATGCAAAGATTGCACTTGTGGCTTGAAAGAAAAGCAGGAGGTCGTGGCAAGATCTGCCTGTGGAAACTGCCATAAGGGAGATGCATTCAGATGTAGCGGGTGTCCTTCCCTTGGGCTGCCTCCATACGAGCCGGGAGAGGTTGTTTCCTTCTCTACAAGTCTAAATGATGGATTTCAGGACAGCAGTGAATAGAATAAAAGCATACAAAATCAAGAGATGTCCGTTCGTTCTTCCAAAAACTATGTTTATTTCTTCTTCACAAAAAAAATCGCAGGCGAGTCAAGGCCACATTCTTCCCTTTGCTTGATTGTGCATCTGCTACCAGAAGTCAGCACAGAGGGAGACTCTGTGATGACCTCCTTGTCCTCTTTGGGCCTTTGTTTGAATCTTCTTGCCTTTTTGGTGTCTGGAAGGCGGATAAGAAGATTGTCATAGCGGCCGGATGTTGGTATTTCGATATTCTCCTCTTCGAGGTCTTCATTAAAGCAAAATATACTTGTTGGAAGAGCACACAAGGACACCATGCTTATGAGAGGGTACCAATACCAATAATGTAAAAATAATATTGCCCCAGCTATTCTATCTGCTGATGTAATTCCAGACATGTTTCTTACAGAAAAGATAATGTTCCTTCCGCCAGCTTCGCTTAGCCCTCTGCCAAACACGGCACCGAGCTCCACGGCCCCACTCTCCTTCTTGTCAACTATCAGCTTGTTCAATCTCTCGATGATACGCTTGTAATTTGGAATAAGCTCAGGATTGCATTGCATTGTAATAAATCCTGCACCGATGCAAGCAGACTGCCTCACAAGATTATTAGAGTCGTACATTAGTGCCTCCAGAATGTTTGTGCAAACCTTGTCCCCTGTTCCAGAGAGAAATAGCCCAAGGATTATCGCTACAGCCGCTCTTACAAAGAAGTTATGGTTTTCTGAGAGAGGCTCCAATGTTCCTACAAGAAGATCCCTGTCGTCACAGCACACAAGCCCTATGGCTATCACAGCTGCTCTCTTGACATCGTCATCTCCATCATTAATATATGGAAGAAGAGATGAAATCACGCTGAGTCTTCCAGTGCCAACAAATGCAGACCCGAGAGAAAGAACCCCGCCGGCCCTCATGATGGAATCCTTGTCAGAAAGAAGCTCGTTTATATAGTTCTTAAACTCCCCATTCGATGCAGTGTCTTCATCATAGAACATCTCCTCACTGAACATTAAAACCAGTGAAAGCGAGACACCAACGGCTCTTTTTACACGTTCAAACTCCGTATCACATCCTATTGCCTTCAGATCTTCTAAAATCTCAACATTCCACGAATTAAGCCCTAGTATCCCCATCCCGTATACAGAGGCCTCTACTAGTAGTGTACGATCAACTTTCGAGAGCTCCTTGAGCTTACTCAGGATCTCATTATTTGCAGATCCCATGTTAATAAGCCCCAACCCAAGACATACTCCATATGCTAGCTCAGGCGTGAGAGTGTCCTCTGTATCAAGAAAATATAGCAGATACTCAGTGTCTTCCTCGCTAAATGTCCCCGCCTTTATAAGCCCCAAAGCCATCAAAGCACCACCTTCCTTCTGACTAACTTCACTGGGAAGATAGTTTTTGAGTATCTCATATGGATTGGAGTTGAACAGATGGATCATTCCAATGCTAGACACTTCACAAAACTTTGCCCACTCACTAGACTGCCCAAAAATATCTGCATTGCTTCTGTAGAATGTGTCGTTAGAGGTCCCTAGGTTCATTAAGGAATTGGCTAGCCCCAGGTAATGGGTCCTAGTCCTTGCTATCGACTCAAGAAACTTGAAGCTGGTGAGGTTCTTCTCAAGAAGAAATGCCCCGAGAATCTTCTTCTTAAACTCTCCGTTAAGTATAAACATGACCTTTTCGTGCGAAACATCAATCTCAGGACTGTAGTTGTCCTCTATGTAAAACGCAACCTCGTAGCATAAAAGGATATCCTCCTTTATCAGCTTCTCAATAAGTTCTTTCACCTTCTCTATATCCTCGAGATAGAAATAGGCATCTACAACATAAAAGATGAAGGGCTTGTTCCTTGGCCCAATCTCAGCAAACATCCCGTATATCTCCTTCAGACATCCTTCCTCTTCTCCTAGAGATATAAGAAGGTCAAGCAACTTCCTGTAATCATTCTCCCCAGACATGTGTTGGACAAGTGCTTCCTTTAGCAGTTCGTATGCTTTTATAGAAAATAAATATCCAATTAGCGAGTCATCCACCTCCTCAGCCCTTATGACTCGGAGAACAAAGTCCCTGACCTTGCTGTCGCTATTCATGTCAACAGAATCCATCATGTGATAAACAATGGAGGTGTAGTAAAACGATCCATCATCAACTAGGAGATCCCCAGCACGGAGCGCATACTCTATAGCCTTGTCGTAGTCCCCAAGAACAAAATAAATCTTACTCAGGCACAAACTTGTCTTCGGATCGTCAGACTTGATATGCTTGAGATCATCCTTTATGTACGGCGCGATTACATCCACATGCATATTTATTACATCAACTGCCTCTGCCTCTTTCCCATCTCTAAGAAGAGCTTTTATGTTCGGCAAAATCCTTATTGTTTGCATTCGATGGGTTATTCCAAGGTAAAAATATTTTATTCTTAAGATCGTTTCTCCGCCACATAAGTACTAGAAAACAACCTGCATAGAAAGATCCAGGCCAGGCACCCCAAAAGAGTTACCATGTAGTCTCAGATAACATCTTCATATGTTTCAAACAACTTTTCTATTAAGCACCTCCCTTTGAAGCTTCAAAACCCTTGAATATCTCTCATATCTTTTGAATCTAATTCCATCAACAGCATCCTCTACCATTTTAGCCAGCTTCTTCATCCTACTTCCATCTATCTTGATCCTGGCAACAGCACTGCCCATCTTCTCGCTAAGACTTTGAAGGCGTGCCATCAATTCATTCTTTTTTTTGTCAAGAACTTCAACCTTTTTTAGTATTAGGTCATTCTCAGCGCTCAATCCCACCATCTTCTCACCAAAGCTTTCATTAAGCGTCAAAAGCTCAAAGTATATTTTTCTATACACATCAAGAACCTTGCTCTCAAAATCATTAGCCATCTTCTGTATCATGAGAAAACTCTTCTCAGAGACATCCTTTCCATTTTCTGAAAGCTCGATCTCAGGAATTTTAATTTCATTCTCCGTTATTCTGAACATCCTCTTTACCCTTTCGTCTGCATCTCCTTCCTTCAGCAGTCTTGTGCCCACTCTTTCATCTTCATCCGACTTTTTAATGAACAGAATCCTATCGCGGGAAATCCCCACATCTCCAAACATCTTATGAACACGAACACTTGCAATCACTCGAGGCATCTCATTCACAACCAGCAGATTTTTCTCTAAACAGTATACATCCGAAGAAGCGTGGAGCTCAAAGTCTCGTGTCCTGTATGTATAGTTCAGTACCAGGATATCCCTCCCAATATCATACACCTCAAACCCTTCGTTGTAGCACACATACATCTTTCCTTTCTTAGCCACGATCTTGTTGATGCTTCCGTCGAAATAAGTCGGCTCGGGAATCATTCGGATAGGCCTGCTCAAGAGAACAGTTCTCGACACCACAAAGGAGTGTGTGTGATAAATCCTTCCAGATTTGGACAAAAACCACGAAGACCCGTCATCAATAGTAAAGTCAACTATCTCGTCTTCCCTCGCAACATCCCCCTTGCACCTCACCACAACCCTTTCAATTTCATCATTGAAAATATCAATCCTTTTGTTCCTGTACAAAAAACATACAGCATATCCTTCCTTTTCCGATGGTGTTCCACTTACATATATCCTAATCGGAGGTTCGAGCAGTTGATGCGTCCCACTCAGTACCAACTCTTCCCCAAACAATTTGTGCTTGTATAGAACATTCCCGCACAAGACTAACAGCATTCCGTTGAAATAGCACATATAATCAACCTTATCCATAAATACCTTGTGCAGAACCTCAGTGTCATACATGTAGATGCTCTTGCTTAGCAACTCCATCCCTCTAACGAAAAATACTCTGTCCTCAATAAGTGTGCTTACTCCAAGCTCATCAACACTCTGCTTCTCTATGTAGCTTACTTGCATTTATAACACAGGGATAGCACAAAATACAGATTTCAATCAAATAATAAAAACATCCACCGCTCTTTAATTCAGAAATTGCCACATTCTTCAAAAGTGATTAACATCATAGACGTATGTTCCTCTCTCATACTCATAACCAACAAACTTCTTCACAGTATCGTTCTTCAGCCCATATACGAATCTCTCCTGAATCCCCTTTAATGGAAACTGCTTCTGCTCTCCTTTGACATAGTCTCCAAGGCTCCTACTGTAAGGGAAAACACCTTCTACATACACACGAGCTCTTCTGTTTAGTCCTACTCCGACAGGATCATTAACTACAACAGATTCCTTCGAAAAGTAGATCTTTGACTGGATGTTTGTCATAGTGATTTCAGATGCATTCACTGTGTCAAGATACTCTATCCTTCCCTTGTCTTCAAAGCCTATAATCAGGTTGTGAACTTCCTTCATATGCTTGATGTCCTCTATCGGGGGAATTGTATATATCTTCTCCTTAGCAGGAGGCTTTGGAGGGCGAAAGCTTAGAGATATTTTCCGAGGCTTCGATTCCTCTTTAAACATTGGCCTTGGGAGCACCTTGCTCAGAGGAAGATGCTCCTTCTCGGTCTTTTCGAACTTGATGTCCCTCAGGAGAAATGGATCCGTTGGATCTATTTTTGTTTGCTGTTGACTTGGCTGTCCACAACCCCCGAAGGATCCCCCTGCATTCCCAAAAGGTTGCTGCATAGATGCAGATGGTGTCTGTGCCTGCATCTGCATAAATGAAAGGTTACTCGAATCAGATGGCTGCGGCATCACAACAGATCCAAACCCCGGCTGAGGTTGCTGTGCACTTGTAAGGAACGGGTTCCCACCTGTAGTATTCGACGGTGTTTGAACAGATGATCCAAAAGGCTGGTTCGACGTACTTAAAGGTGTATTTTGTGGTGCAAACAGTGGTTGCTGTGGTGTGATACCTCCGAAGCTAGGTGCTGCAGTTTCTTGCTGAGACTTCGTATTCCCTGTTGAAACAAACGGCTGGAAGGTGTTGCTCGAGGGCGTGGCCCCAAATATACTACTTCCTTGAGGCTTGTTGATTGTGGAAGAAGACATGGCCCCTCCAAAAGAAGATCCAAAGCCAGACGTGCTCTTGGGCTCTGTCACGCTTCCACTTGTTATAGGCTTTCTTCCAAGTGTATAGTCCTCGGCCCTAAGCTCCTCAACAGGCTTTTGCATATAGCTTTCATTACCATTGATGTGCATCAAGGTCACCTCGCCCCCATTGTCCTCTCTTATCTTTCTCTGCATGTAAGGATGATCCCGAGTTCCACTATTACTTCCTACAAGCCCTGGAAAGGTTTTATTCAAAGTACTATTCCTGTCATTTGCAAAAGCAGAGCCCTGGTTACTGTTAAATGGATTGTAGGAGCCCGTCGACTGCCCCCATATACTGGGCTGTGCCGATGTTGAGGCACCAGAAGAGAATGGCTGCAATACATTCTGCCCTCCTGACCCGAAGGTACTACTTGGCTGCTGCACCCCAAAAGTAGGATTGCTACTGGGCCCTCCAAACTGTGTCTGGTTGCTTCCTAATGCATTCGAAGTGGATCCGAAAATGTTGCTTCCTGCCCCAAGAGTTCCGGTTGTTCCAAATCTTGCTAATGAGGTCGACGGCTGCTGCTGGCTTGAAAAGGGCTGACCAAACCCGCTGGTCCCTGAAGATCCTCCACTTCCAAACGAAGGCGCCCCGCCAAACCCCGTCGACGTTCCAAACGTGTTGCTCTTCATCCCTCCAGACCCTTGGAGAAAAGGATTCTGAGTGGTACCAAAGCCAGATTGAGGCTGCCCAAAAATAGAAGTCTGCTGCATTCCAGGAAATTGCCCCTGCTTGCTGTCCTTCTGTGGAGTCTGTGCAAAGAACGACGAGTTAAAGAACTTATTCATGTTATTCTGATCCATTTTCAGGGCTTTCTTTTACATTCAACTTATCATAGCCTCAAAAATTTCTGGATGTATCCATCTAAGGGAAAGCCGCAGGAACACCATAGGTAAATTTAACATTTATTTGGAAATAGCTACATTGAAATCTCATCCCCTTCTCCTTCTTCTTCTTCCTGCATCCATGTTGATGTCGGCATCGCATGCAACAATGTTGACATCCCCCGCCCTGAAGTACTCGTTGTTTAGAGACATCACAAAGTCTTTTGTCTGAAATCTCCATACCCCGTCCACATGGTTATAGAAGTCTACCTTCCCTTTGAAGCTCATGGAGTTAGTTACAGACCTGTTGAATACAACTGGGACACTCAGATCAAATGCCTCGAGGATATATTTTCCCTGATTAGGCGTTAGAACATTAGAGTTTACCTTCTCATCTATTATCTTCTCGAGAGCCTTTCCAACCATAAGCTGTCTGTAAAACTCATACATCAATGGGCACGGTAATTTTTTTTATTTATTCAACCTTGAGGCACCGCTTCCTTCCCATCTTCCTCAATACTGCTCAGAAGGCATTCGTCATCCTCTTCAACAACACTAGTGGGCCCAAACCTTTTGACAACACGTCCCCGGCGGTCGATGAGGAACTTTGTAAAATTCCACTTGATAAAATTCCCAAGCATCCCTCCGCCGTTCTTTGTGTTGATAAGGTGCTTAAACACAGGATGGGTTTTTCCTCCAAATACGCCGACCTTATCGAAAATCTCAAATTTGTCGGAATACTTGTTGGATACCTCCTCGTGTATCTCCTCGATAGGTTTCGACTCTTGGTTGAAGTATTGGTTGCAAGGAAACAAAAGAATCCTCAGTCCCTTCTTGTAGAATTTAGAAAGGAGATTTGCAAGGCTCTTGTAGTTGCTCTCTGCAAGCTTGCAAGACGATGCAACATTGGCAATTATCAATGCACATCCTCTAAAAGATTCAAAGTCGACCTCACTTCCATCCCATTTCCGTGCTTTAAGACTGTAGAAGGCCTCAGATTCCATATCCCACTCCATGTGGGATCTATAATTAAAATATATAACCTTTCAATTTTTTTCTGTACACTTTGATTTTAACTGTTCCACGTAAGATCTAGGTGTTACGATATTATCAGAACCCACTACGATCTCCACCCCAAGGCTTTCTCCAACTTCATAGGCAGTCCTTATCTCTTCAAATGTTATCCCCCCAGTTATATAAACACAGTATAGCTTTTGGTACGAAATTTCCTTCTTCACAGACAGGAGATGGCTTTTCCTCAAGGACTTTAGATGTGTCCTGGTGCTTGTCAATCTGCTTATCTGGAGGTGACCCTTCTGCTTCCCAATAAAACTTCTCAGAACATTGGCAAGCACAGGCTCATATCGGCTGACTTCATACTTGTAGCTTCCTGGTCCTCGAAGAGGCACAAAGTTCTCGTGATTATCAAAGGTAATCCCAATCTCCTCATCCTTGAGTCCCATGCTTTTAAGAAGGTCCACTTCGTTTTTTTGTAGTTGGTAGCCATTTGCCTTGAGCAACAGCAGAATTCTAATTTTGTCATCTCTCTCGATCCGGCTGCTTTTAAGACACTCAAACACCTCCTCCACCTTGACATTCCACTTATTCCCGGATTTATCATATCCAGTTGCAAGTAGCTGCTCAATCTCGTTGAACCTGGAAAGATAATCAAATCTGTCATAGCACTTCTGTGCCAAAGCAAGAATTTTGCTCAAGCTCTCTTTGGTTTTTGCTGCTGCGGGTGCCTCAAGAACCATCTTCATTAGATCCTTGTTGTCCACTTTTGTGTCCAACTTCTGTGCAACCTTCGATAGCATGTGTGCATGGTTTCTTAAGATCGAGTTCACCTCCCCAAGGTGCGCGTTCTTAACACTCTCCCATATCTTGTCTCCCATATACTTCTTTTCAAATTCCTCCATGTTCTCTATACCAAGATCCTCAAGTAATGTCCTAAACGTGAAGAAGTGAAGAAGCGGGGCAAAGAGATCAATGCTTCTATCCAATATTATAAGCTCTCCCTTCCTTTCTTCGTCCCCCATCATCTTTTCAACCATCTCCCCCAAGCTTCTGCACACAGACCCGGAGTAGCTTACATTGAAGGCCGTATTTAGGGTCCGAGCCACAGAATACAGCTGCTTTGGCAATGCCTTAAAGACCTTCTGCTCAAAGGGTGCAAAATCAACATCCACCCTCTTTGCCTTTATTAATGGCTGAAAACCTTGGCATTCCGACAGCATGCAAACAGCATAGGAGGGATATAGCCTGTCTTCAAAGTCCTTGTTTATCATTTCCACAACACCCCCATCTCCCTTCACAAAGTATATCACAGGAAAGTCCACTCGCTCCCGATGCTCCTCAATCCTCTGGGAAATCACTATGTTGTGGCTGATAAACTCAGACTTCACAAAAAAATTCTTCAAAATACTTGCTGCATAGCTGTCATATATAAGAACACTCCATTCAGCATCAGGATGAACCTCAAAGACATCCTTGATTATCTTCTTCTTCAGTAGATCCAAAATATCCATTTTAAGGACTAGACATCAAATGTGTTTAATCTTTACTCATATCACCTTGCTCACTCCAAGAACTAAAACACAGCCTCCTTATCTTTCGCCGGGTGTTCCATCTGCATGCCTAGGCTTGCTTTTAGGCATCTCTAAAAACGAGAGTCTTTTAAACGACATCATGTCAACAGCTATTGACAAGCACAAAAGAATGGCAACAAAAACACCGATATATCCAAACGTAGAGGCTGACGTTCTACTTTTCAATTCCATCAAAAATGCATTTGAAACTCTTAAAAAACCAAGTTAAAACACTTATGTTACAGGCAGCTAGTATAATAGCCTATGCACAGGGCTTTCTTTGCATCAATCTTCTCACACAATTTTTTGGTCGGGCCCTTTTCCCCTGTCGTTCTTAGGAGGCATTCTCTCTTTCTTGTTCATGAGAGTCTTCTTCTTCAAGTCCTTTCTATTCTTGCACTCAGATATCCTAGCATTGGCCATCTTCAGAATCTCATCGTCCTTTCCCTCACAGGGCTTCTCAAGCTCTCCATACTTGAAGACATCAATCTTTCCAAAAACAAGCTCGTTATATCTTTCATAGCATTGCTGCCCGCTTCTTCCCATTGCCTGCCCAATCAGACTCCATTGGGGATGGAATGTCTTTACCGTGAGAATAAGCTTCTCGTCCTCCTCAGCGTTCCATCCAGAATTGTTCGCCAAAGGATTGGTGTATTCTTGCCATCTGTGTCTACACTGCGACGGCGTCTTCGAGGGAAGAAGAGAAGACACCTTGGACCATTTGTTTATCCCATACTTCATCACCCCAGCCTTGAGAATCTCATCCTCAATCTTTGTCCAGCTTACGTCTACTTTCTCCAGCTTCATCACAAGGAGAGAAAACTTCCAATAAAAATCAGTTTATTTGCTGACAGCAAAGAAAGTCCCACAAAGAATTGAGTATTCTCCCTATAAAGGATCTGCTTTCCTTCTGGTGTATCTTTAAAGCATATTTCGAAATCTTCTCAAATATATCATCAATCCCAATGTTGTTTTTTGCAGAGCACTCAAAATATCCCATCGCCCCGATGCTTTGAGAAAGCTCTAGGCCTTCAGAGGTGGTTATCGGGGAGTCTCCACTTCTAGCAAGTTCCTCAAGCCTCTTACTATCCTCCCTTAAATCGGTTTTCGCACCAACAAGAAAATATTTGGCCTGGGGCGCCTTTTCCTTTACTTGTCCAACAAGACTGTTCTTGACCTCCGCATAGGAAGACCTGTCATCAATAGCATACACTATCATGATATAGTCTGCAGAGGGTAGTGCAAGGTGCCTGAACCTGGCATATTCATCTTGCCCTGCCGTATCCCAAAGTCTTAGCTCAACAACATGGTCTTTGTGTTTATATGTGTTGCTAACAGAGTTGAACACAGTGGGGCTTATTTCAGTTCCAAACGTTCTTTTCACATGCCTAGTAAGAATGCTTGTCTTTCCACATGTTGCAGAGCCTATGATAGTCAACTGCTTAGATATATCCGCAGTGGGTATTTCCACCATCAAGGGGTTTGTTTTCTTATTCACATAACATGCAACATGAGTGTTTATCTAGGAGTCTGCTTAATTTAGGCAATATGCATGGAATTACAATAGGAAACGCAGGCGGGCTTCTTTTATTTCTATCCCCTGTTTCTCTTCATAGGTATCAAGGCCTTGGTTTTACTAAGAAGGACTCTTGGATGAAAAAAACATCAAAAAGAATTCGAGCCCAGTGCCTGCGTGCTTCAAACATCTCGGCTGCCATACCCTTTGCAATTTAAACGCCCCATCGTTTTCTTGACATCTTGGACGGCACCTGTACTTCTATACCATCTCATTAAATTCTGTCTTTCTTTGTATCGAATGTTTCTTTGGTTTCTTCTTTTTGAATCATAGAAACCCCAAAGATGCCAATAAGAGGTTTGGAAGAGGTAAGAAAACATCCCGGACAGAACTTTTTTTTGAAGGTTCCGCAGAAAGCATTCAAGAAGATGAGGATATGCATCGACGGAAACTGGTTTCTTCGAAAGTATGTCGATGTGTCAAGCATCCACAGGGGATTTGTGTTTGGAATTGAAGAGGTCGTCAAAGCACCTTTGTCAAAGCTTTTAGAGTTCAGAGATGAAAATGAGGTGGACTTAATATGGGTTTGGGACGGAATAGATCTCAACAAGTTCCAGGGAACCCCGCATGTAGATTCGAGCACATTGTTGAGTGAGGGGCTGAAGGAGTACAAACAAAAAAACTATAGAAAAGCCGGAAAGCTCTGGAGAAATTTTATCATGCAGAAAAGTGAAATGGACGTGGTTAATAGAATACTTGAAGAAAATGGGGTTGCAGTTATCACGGCACCTTATTCTGCAACAGCTCAATGTGCATATCTCATGAGTGCGGAGGCGTGCTCATACGCATTTGGAAAGTCTGATGTTCTTCTGTTTGACGGGGTTGATAAGATCATACTCGACATGTCTGATGGATCTGGAAAACCTTATTTAGATGTGTTCCATAAAAGCCGATTCCTTGAATTCTTTAATTTAAATTCAAGGATGTTTAGTGCACTCGGGCTACTCCTAGGATGTGATTTCTGCCCCACGATGCCCAAATGTGCCACCGACTTCAGCTTCAACTCTGTTTTCAGCTTGATCAAGGGGTCTGAAGACCTCTTGAAAATGATCAAGAGCACTTGTGATGAGGGAAGCTGTAGGAAATACATGGACCAGTTTCTTAGAGGGCTTACACTAGTAACTTATATTCCTGTAATGAAGATCTCGGGAAATGTACAGCCTTACCTAGAAGAGCATGTCCCACGGAATCTGGAAAAGCTTCTGGGGGGAAAGCTTGCACCTGGGTTTTATGAATCTCTCTTTATGAATAAGATTTCTGGAGACGTGCTAGAGATTATGACAAAGATAAAGGGCATAGATAAGGACTCACAGCTGATCAGGATGGTTGAATCTGCGCTGTCAAGGGTGAGAAGCGATGTACGTAAGGAAAGAGAGCCGAAAAATGAGTGCAATAAGGAAAAGTTGTTTGCGGCCGTTATATACCCAGACATGGTTTTGACCGAAGACATCGATGCATCTGTTGGCATTTTATTGTTGATGTCTATTGGATTAGGAGATCTGGAAAGGCCCTATGTTCCAAAGATTCTATGTTTGAATAACCAGACCGCTGTTAATCTGAGTCTAGACATTAGCGAAAAGACGTTGAAGTATTATGTGAATACAACCAGGCTGTTCAACTATATTAAGGAGGTAAAGGAAGTATATGAGGTGATGACAGATGAGAGCTTGGACGGATTGTTTTGCCAAGCTCCAGCACTTTTCAGTTCGTCTTTCCACGAGGCATTTGGGTTTTCTGAGAGCAGTGGAAAGAGCAACCGTAAATTCCTTGCGAGCATCAGAGACTTTCTAAGGTCAAATGGGAAGCTTTTTCCTATTATTCATGAAATAACCGAAGAGATTGATGCTACACTTAATAAGAAATAAACTTAATATCTATATGTTCTGGCAGCGTAGTCTGTGGGCTAAAAGACCCTTTTTAGGATATGGATAACTTGTCCCTGATTTCATGGACATAAAGGAACTAATAGTGAGAGTACTCGAGAGCAGAGATTTAGAAATGGTTAATTGTGAGGCATCCATAGAGGGAGATAGAATGGACCTTCATGAGATATCAACAGCAGACTTACTAAACTATACTTTTCCATACATCAAAGGCGTTGTGAATGACCGGGCAGGAAACAGGAGCGAGGGATTGAAGTTTTTCAAGGAATACTGTGAAGACTGTGAGTACTTTGGTCTTGTTGGAAAAGAGACAATGGAGATGTGTAGAGAGAGCGGAAGGGATAGCAAAATAAAGCTTTGGCGAAAGAGTAGGGAGTTCAGGTATGATTTTATAGACTGGGAAGACAGGGAATGGGTTATGAAGCTGCTTGAATACTTTTATGTTATGTCGATGAAGAATATTGAGCATCTCAACAGAGAGATTATACTTCTGCAGAACAAGGGCGATGGAAGTCCCAGTAGAAACGAAGAAATGGAATGTATAAAGGTGGATCCGCAGGGAAGAATTGAGAATATTTTGATCAGAAGAAACAATCCTACCATGACACTTGATGAATTTGCCGAAAAGATAATGGCAGGGATGAACCAAACACCCTCCACTCCTCTCCAGGAAGAGTCGTCGGGTACTTCAGATGATGATGAGATGTCGAGGGAAGAGCTTCTGAAGAGAGACAGAGAAAGAGATGAAAGAGAAGTAAGTAGAGGAAATACCGCGGGAATGGGCTAGTTTAGTTGTGTTTGTGGTGGTGTCCTAAATGAAAGTGATACTATATTTCTTTTTCTGGATGTCTATCGATATGTGAGCTGTGAATATAAATCTACATCCACCCTCAGTTATCTTCTCAATCTTCTTAAGGTTAAATAGCTTTTTTAGGTAATTATTATGCTGAACTCCATTCAGGGAGATGCCGCCAGCAACTAATTGGTTGTGAAGGAGATTGGGTCTGTCTGATACCATTTTGTATGGAAATAGATAGTGGATTAGCTCTGGATACATTTTGATTGATGGAGAAAGCAAAAGGACGTCCTCCCTCTTTAGATAATTAATGACACTTTTTACATATGAATCACAGAAGGAGGATGTTTCCATTCCAAAGAAGACCGAGTCCATAAAGTCTATAAAATGAGCTTTCAAGCCTTCCAAGAATTCGTTTTCGTTCTTGAATACCGATTTGATGATGGATAATCCCTGTGCATGTTCTACGAAAAGCTCATCGGGGCTTCCTTTGCGTAACCTAACTATCATGTCCTCCATGGCAATTTCTGTGCTCCCGACTTTATTAAGAATCTTCAAGCATTCTTGGGAAATCTCTGACATTAAAGCAACCTCGTTCTTGGTGTTTTCTAAATTGAAGCTTTTTGTGTACATAAAAGATTTCAGATTGTGCTTCAAGAACATCCTGTGGATAAGAAGGTCTTTGATGTCTATGAAGAAGTATTTAGCTCGGGGATTAAGATAAGGAACTTTCTCTAGGGAGACGCGTCTATAGTTCCCCCAAGATCCAACTAGGTAAATTCCGGAAAATGTATCTGTTTCTCCAAGATGTCTGAAGAGCTTGCTATTCTTTCGAGTAACAAGATAGTTTCCATCTGCTATTCTAGAAAGCAGTCTCATATACAACTCCCTGTCTATCATGGACTTTTTGGCCTCTATTACGCTTTGTACATTGCTAAGAAAGGATCTTCTCTCATAAATCACCGAAAGCGCTGTAATCATGGCACACATTGTATATAGAAAAGTACTAACCTTCTTGCTTACCTGAAGACTCATTCCTGAGGGTAAAAGTATGTCTGGGGATCTTTATAAGGTACTATGCAACTGCAATGGTAATCAGATTACATGTATAGCAGAAAACCCCAAATGAGGAACAAATACAAGTCATCGCATATAGATTTCGACAGAGAAGAGCTGTATGAATCTGAGGAGGACAAAAGAGCATTGCTAGAGATGCCGGAAACAAAGCGGGAGGAGATACTGTATAAAAGGCATGTTGAGCTCCAGAAATTCAAGGAAAAAAAAGAGTTGGAGGAAAAGACGATGGGACTGAAGACGAATGCACCCCCAATTTCCAAGGAGGACACCCACGATGCAGACGACTTTCTAGAGTTTTCTCAGTGCATAGTAAGCAGAGACATGATTGCAAGAAATGTGTTCAAGCCGTTCTTTGACAATTTTATTGGACACTTCACAAGAGCTAGGATCAATGGGTTGTATATTGTTGTTAAGATAGTTGGTATAGGAAAGGGAGATGTATATAGCCTTAGGATTGATAGAAAGGAGATAAGAACAAACAGGTATTTGGAGGTATCTTCGGGAACTAGAACATACAAGAACTTCAGAATAGAAAACATTAGCAACTCACCTCTACTCAGAGAGGAGTATGAAGATGTATGGAGGTTCTTCAAGATAGGCTCAATATCCAAGATTAGAGAGGACTATGAGAAGCTTGCAAAGAATATGAACAGGAGGCTCAGTGACGAAGAAATAAGCAAGATGGTAGCATGCAAGGACGAGGTATATCCAAAGAGAAGAGGGATTACTCACCTCAAGATAGAGCTAATCCAAAAGAGAGATAGGGCGATAGAGCTTAAAGACAAAAAGGCAGCGATGGAGTACCAGAAGAAGATCGAGGAGATTGAGGACAATGAGAGAGAAGAGGGGTAGATGTGAAGGACTGGATGTGGATAAATAAATGCTTTTTTGGATATAAGAAACGCCTGTAATTTTGTGGCGGGCTTGAATTTTCTGGAAAGTTTGAAAAATTTACTTTAGAAAAAGAAGGATCCCCTAAAACATGTGTCCAGCAAGACAAAAAAAGCAAGCTGAAAAAACCAAGAAGGAGCTTGAAAGTGAAGAAGAAACCACTGAGACGAACTCTTCCGAATATTCTGATGAGGGCAGTGATGGGTCCAGTGATTCCTCGATTGGTACTGACGACACGTCTGAAGAGGACTCATACTCCAGTGTTGACGACGATGTGTCTGATGATGATGATGGAGATGACGATTCTGATGACTTGGATGAGGATAGTGATGATGTTGATGAAGAATCCGATTAGGAATAAAGTATTATTAAAGATGGCTATTCTACTTTTATTTTAGGGTTGAAGAAGGCCACTGGAGGCCTTTTCTTGGTTTTTCTCAGAATGGGGCTTCTGAGGCGTCAGTATCCTCCATCTCCTTTCGAGAATAAATAAGCATGTAAATGCTAGGTATGACCAGTTGAGAAAGTTGGGATTTCCTATGCCATGAATCCTGAATAGATATTGTATGTAATTTTCTAGAAGGAAGATAAGCAGGTAGAAGTGAAGGAGCGGAGAGTCTGCTATATACAAAAGATAGCTCTTGTAGTTAGATGGCTTGAATAGCAATATTATCTCCATCTTCTGTTCTTCGGGAACAATGCTAAAGATGTAGACCATCAGAGCATAGAATATGTCATAGAAGTATCTGCTGTATTGCGGGAAGATGTTCAAATGGAAGAACCAGGTGATACTCAACGAAGGCTTATGCGCATTTTCATGATCCTTTTTATATGCTGGATAGATATATGATAGAGCATAAGAGCTGGCGCTGGTAAGAAGAGGAGCATAGAAAACGCTTAGATGTGTGAGTAAAAAGCTCGTAATGTCCTTCTCGTACTTTTCAAGCACCACAAGAAGATTCTCTATTGATATAACATCAGCAGGAAGAAAGGAAGAGTATATAAAGTACTTTTCAGAATTCACCAGTCTTGACACTATAAAGTCACATATTGCTGAAATATATACAAAACACCTCCTTGGTATTATCTGGTAAATTGTTGGAATGGCAGACGGCTTCAGGAATTCTTGCTGATAACACGATTCCGGATTGTAGTAATTGTAGCAGAAGGATGGAATGTCATAGAACCTAAGAGCGAGAACCAGCACATACGTAAGGGCCTTTGTAATTCTAGGCATCTTGATTGGGGTAAAGTCTAGAAAGTCTAATATCGCTCCATAAGTAGAAAGAAGACCAATAACAAAACTAATCACATCTTCCTTTAATCGACCTCTTGGTGACATTTCCCTGGCTAATGATATAGCAATCTGCCCCCCATCCAGAGAGAGCATCTCTATCCACAGCATTAAGGAATGCTTGAGTGCATGTCACAAACAGGTTTTCCTCATCCATACCTGGCCTATAAAGGGCCTCGCAGATCCCTATAAGATTGTCACCTGCAGTTCCGGCAGCCACAAAGTCTTTAGGGGATGTTATAGACCCGATGGAATCCATTGAAGAAACATAAGGCTTGCCATCGCTCGTCAACCCTGCAACTATTGGCGAAGTGATGTATGGAGATGTTCTTTTTGAATATAAAAGAAACGAAATCATACTAGAGAGCTCTTCAGGCTCCATCTCTCTTTGTTCCTCCAGTCTGAACAGGTTGTAGTTCTTCCTTATCTTTTTAAGAAGAACCTGGGTGTCTGGAATGAACACAGGCAATCCTACATATAGTCTTGGCCCTATTTTGTGTATTCTGGTAAATTCCTTTGATACGGTTATCGGGCCCATTCCAAGACGCCTGTCACTCATGATGGCAACAGCATTTTCGCTTGCCATTGCCAAGACCGATCCTCCATAGAATGTTTCGATATCAGCAGACATGTCAGGGTCAATGTTTAAATCCATTTTGAGGCTTTGGTATATTTTTGCAAAGCGAACCCCTTGAAATGCATAGTATATACAAAGAAAAGCCACTTTATAGGCGGGCATACGCGGCTCCGTTGCTCATGCTTCCTGTTCTCCTGATGATGAGCAGCTATCCCCAGGTGGTGGTTGTGTTCACATTGCTACTGGCCGGAACGATGTTCCTATCAACGTTCTGGTCGACTAGAGTCCGTATTTTATTTTCGATGGATTCTGATCGTAAAGGTGATTATATATTGTACTCTGGATCCTTATGCAAACTCAGAAACGGGGCTTTTGAGTTTGAGAAATCTGGATATCTGCTAGACGACGAGGGGATTATAAGGCTGAGAGCAAATACCAAAAGACCGTTCAAATACTATGCAGGATGGCAGGAAAAGAGAGACAAGTTTGTTGAGACAAGGCTTATAAAGCACTTTAAGAAGAACAGGTTCGATATTGTACCTCCATCATTCTTCCAATTGTTTTTGGAGCATGCAGTGTCTCCGCTATTTGTATTTCAAGTTTTCTCTGGGCTTCTGTGGTGCCTTGATGAATATGTTTACCAGGCCATATTCAGTCTTGTGATGCTGGTTGTTCTTGAGTCTGGACTTGTTTTCCAAAGGATGATGACAGCAAGACATTTCAGAAAGATGAGCCATTCTAATGTTAATGTCGAAGTTCTGTATGATGAGAGAGAAGGCACAAACAAGAATGAAAGGAAGGTAGTGTCTTCAGAGGATTTGTTTCCTGGGGATGTTATCAAAATCACTTCCTCTGTGATTGTTCCTTGTGATCTTCTACTGGTCAAGGGATCCTGTGCTGTAAATGAGGCAATGCTTTCTGGAGAGTCTATTCCTCTTGCAAAAGAAGATATTTCAGAAAGAAATCCTAAGGATATATTTGATAGATGTAAAGACAAGAGACATGTATTGTATGCAGGCACAGAAATAGTAATGATAAGAGACTCTCCATTGGTATGCTTTGTGCTGCACACGGGGTTTGAAACCGAGAAGGGAGGCCTTGTTAGGAAGATGATGTGTACTGAGGAAGTGACTGTAAATGATAGGGAGGCCTTTGTTTTTATATTTGCTCTTCTAGTGTTTGCAGTTATTGCTTCTATTTATGCCTACAAAGAGGGAAAGAAAATGGGAAAATCTAACTATAAGCTACTTTTGGAAGTGATCCTAATTTTGACGAATGTAGTTCCGACGGAGCTCCCTATGGAGTTGAGCATGGCTGTCAACAGTTGTGTCAGAGCACTTATTCAAAAGGGCGTGTATTGTCTAGAGCCTTTCAGAATTCCATATGCAGGAAAGGTGGATGTGTGTTGCTTTGATAAGACCGGAACACTAACAGAGACAGTCATGGAAGTTGCAGCCCTTAAGCATGAAACGGAGAATTCAACAAACGTGCTTTCAAGCTGTCATTCCTTACTGTTACTCAACGGAAAAGTGACTGGGGATCCTTTGGAAACCAGTGCTTATGAATATCTGAAAGGTACTGGGATGCCAGAAAGCAAATGCTTTGGATATAAGGTTCACAAAACCTACGCTTTCTGTTCCGAGCTAAAAAGAATGACCGTGGTTGCTGAGGCAGAAGGGATGAGCTTCGTCGGGATGAAAGGAGCTCCAGAAGTCGTCAAGCTGTATCTAGATTCTGTGCCCGAGTTCTATGATGACTACGAAAAATATGCGGCTGATGGATATCGAGTGTTGGCGCTTGGATTCAAATCCATCAAGAAACAAGAGAGGTATGATAGAGAGGAGGTGGAATCAAATCTGTCTTTTGCAGGGTTTGTGCTATTTGACTGCAAGTTGAAAAAAGATGTAAGAGAGACCATTGAAGCCCTCCATGCTTCGGGACACAAAGTGGTGATGATAACTGGAGATAACGCACTTACAGCCAGAAACGTCTCGAAGAAAATTGGGATATCAGATAGAGCTGTCGAAGGGTCGGAAATAGATAAGGTATTAGAGAGTGATGAGTTTTTTTCTGTATCGATCTTTGCTAGGGCAGATCCTACTCACAAGGAGAGAATAATCGAGAAATATAATAAGGCAGGGAGGTATACATTAATGTGTGGAGATGGAACAAATGATGTTGGGGCACTGAAAAGTGCTCATGTGGGGATAGCTCTTATGGAAGCACCAGTGGTTGTTAAGAAGAAAGAGAGGGGGAAAAGCAGTGAAGAAAAGATGATGGAAGCCATATCAAAGGATCTAGGCGAGGAGAAGATAAATCTTGGAGATGCAAGCGTTGCAGCACCTTTTACAGCCAAGACTGGGTCTCTAGACTCTGTCCTGGATGTTGTGAGACAAGGAAGAAGTGCCTTGGTGACAACGATTCAAATGTATAAGATTCTTGCATTGAACTCTTTAGTTAGTGCATTTTCATTGAGCGTCTTGGATTGCATGGGTGTTAGATATGGAGACATTCAGCTTACAGCTTCTGGGCTTCTCATCGGATTTGCATTTATGTTTTTGACTCAGAGCCAGCCTCTCAAGGAAATAAGCAAAAAGAAGCCCTTGACGAATATCATCAACCCGTACATAGTCTCTTCTGTTGTCTTTCAGGTTGCTGTTCATATAGCCTCCTTTCTCATTATGATAAGAAGAATAAGAGAAATAGAGGTGCCTGTGTACAACGAGAAGTTTTCTCCTTCATTGATGAACTCTGCTTTGTTTTTCCTGTCGACAACACAGCAGATATCGACGTTTCTTGTGAACTACATAGGAAGGCCCTTCAGAGAAAGCCTTCTCGAAAACAAGAAGCTCCTTGGATGCCTTGGGGTTCTGTTATTCTTTATACACCAACTTGTACTAGGGGATAATGATGAGCTTCGTATGAAGATGGAGGTTGTTGACATGGGGGAAGTCAAGGTGTTTGTTTACACTGTACTGGTGATGGACATAATTATGTGTTACTTTGTGGAAAAGATATGCTTCTATATGTTCATGCTCTAATAAAGCATTCTTATTCTTTTTAAATCTGGTCCATATTGATTTTGTAAGTCGCAAGGGTTGAATGGTAGAAGATGAAGCCAGGGGAGTGCTATTTATTCTTAACGAATCTCTGGTGACTGGAGGATGTCTGTCTCCTGAGTATAAGGAATCTCTGCAAAAGATGATCTCGCTTACCTTCGAAGACCCATTTCTCTTGAGATTTCTTGACAATTGGAAATTTATCGAAAAACAGTTTCCTTATCTTATGAGAGACTCAGAAGTTAGGCATGAGGCATTTGGGTTGGCAATAAGAATCCTACAAGATCCAACTTCGAGCCTTCCAGTGTTGTTCACGACAAGAAAGGGTGGATTCTTGCTTTCGGAAGCATTATATGATTCTATGGACGATCCTCAGGACGTCATCAGTTTTTGTGAGGAGGCAGCGAAGAAGAGCTCTTTGCTTCCGGGAGTATTACATGATTGTGGATTTTTTATTCTCCTAAACTCCCTTGTTTGTGAAGAGACTGTAAGATTCTATTCTTCAATATTTGCATGTAAAATATATGAGGCAAAAGGGAGCTACAGGCAAGTTAGAAGTGAAGGCATAATGCATGAGATAAAGAGAAAATACTTTGATCCTGAAATAGCTTTCAAGGATGGGGCATACATCTCTTTCAAGGAGCCACCTTCTTTTCACAAGGTGGGGCATCGGGTTCTTAAGAGCATATTCGATGATGTCTACAACACCACATTTTTCAATCTATTAGACTTGGGACTAGACAAAAGCCTGAACCTTATGAATTACTGTGAATGGGATTATTCTTTCTTGTATGGATCAAGCGAGCTCAGGGATCTAGTATCTAGTGGTAACTACCTGGCGATCAGGGTATATAGAAAAATGCTCGAGAGTCTTCACGGGTGTGCAAGAGCTATATTTTACTTGCAAAAAGTTGAGGACGAGGACTTGATGATACATATAGCAAGACTTCTGGAGTGTAAAGATGCTCATGTGGTTATGGAGTGTGTGCTAGTGCTTTATAATTACTATCACCTCTTCGAGTGGAACCTAGATAAGAAGCAGTTCAATGAAAATAGGATAAGAAAAATATTTGGCTTACTTGAATATAGCTATAGCGATTGCCCATGCCTTCAAGAATGCATCTGTAGCCAGTCTGACTCCTCTGCCGGAATACCAGAAGAAGAGAGAGCAACAGACTGTCTTAAAGGCTGCAACACCGTAAAGATATTGTGTCTCCTCTCACATATATATGCGATTGTTGATAAGCGGTATTTCTATAAGCCTTCATTCTTAGTTTTAGTAAAAGCATGGGACGATATACTTGGAAGGCATAGATGCTGGAATAGGGCCTTTACCTCAATCTTCTTCACAGACATAATTTCGTTTTTAAGAACAAATCCATATAACGTTGCAAGAATTATATTTCCATTTAAGAAGCCAAGAAAAAAAGCCAGAAATGCCTTTAGTGATAAAAAGGATGATAAGGAGAATAGCAATTGTTTTTCTATGCTGGCAAGCGAGATAGATTTGTCAGAAATCGAAGGCCTAGATGAATTAAATAATGTTTAATGCGCTTAGTATTGTGGATGAAGCACTTGCAGAGTTAAGCCAACCCGACAGCCCATTCAGCATCTCTTTGGGAATGGGCCTCCTCTCTTACCTCCTTAACCCTCTTTCTGTGCAAGCTGGACTTCCTATGCCCAACTAGGACGTCTTCTGAAATAAAGTGTCTATCACATTCATAGCAGTAGAACTGGCCACAACCTGGTAGCTCTGGATCATATTCTACTGCCTTGGGATTGCTGGCCTGAGCCTTCACCTGGTCAACATCTTTTGATCCAAAGACCCTGGCTCTCTTTATTCTTAGTCTATTTCTATTCTTTCTCCTTTTTTTTTGTTTTGTATCATTTCTGGGCATGGAGGAAGATTTTTTCGAGGTTATAAGTATCAATGGGGACATCTTTCTTTAATCCTTCTTCCATATCCCCTGAAATGAGTCTGTATGATGTGCTTAAAATCCCAAAGGATGCAACAAAGGAAAGCATCGAGAAATCTTACAGATTTCTTGTAAGGTCATACTGTCAAAGCAAAAACGAAATGAGTCCTGACAGGTTTGCAGAGATCAACAAGGCATACACAATATTGAAAGACAGATACAAGAGAGATTTTTATGATATATTTGGAGAGGTTTCTGTGCAACTTCTTCTGCACAACAAGGACTCGTACATTATAACAAGGATGTTTGACAGACCCAACATGTGCTTCTATATTAGTACGCTTATAACATATATAGGGGCTTTGTTGGCATTACCACCGGTAGTTGCATATGGAAAATGCAGCAACATAGTCATGTCCCTCCCATTTGTTATTTCGGCTGTAACCCTGACCATCCCAATGATTAGATCTCTGTCTGCACTGTATTGGGTTTATGGAGTTGGGAATGAGCTAAAGAGCATGATATTTAGGTCGACGGAAATCAACGTGGCAACGCTTCATCTTCTGAACTATGCTCTGTATGGCGATGGGCTCATAAGCATCCTTTTCTCGGGGGTCATGTTCTTAATAGTTGAGATCCTGTCTACAATCAACACCATGTATTATCACAGCTGCAAGCAGAAGCTTTTTCTTAAATCAAAGGGAAGTATACTGATGGCTAAAGTGATTAGGACAATATTATTTGGCATGCTTTTGGCACCGGGAATTCCTCCATTTTTGAAACCTTTTCTATTTTTTGTTCAAATTTTTTGGGGAATATATAATAAGAAGTATTCTTTGAAGATCAATCTGTGCATAGTGCTTCTGCCGTTGCTGTACATAGCCACATTCTCTCTTGTTTTGGCAGGATTTCGTAGTGCTTTGGTGTATTTGCCTCTATGGATATTTGGGTCTATAGTTGTGACTGTATTGGCATTAGTAATTTCAAATATCGTAAATAACATTCCTACAAGCAAGTACGACATAAGAGAAATTGAAGCACTTCCTTACTACGATTTGGTGTAAGACATTGATTGGGCTTAGGCCTAGCATTTTTAATAAAGTTATTATTTCATAAAGAATCGTCTCTATTCAATATAAACACAGAGATAATTGCATCCAATTGAAGCTTTTCGTTGCACCCTATACTCATCCTGCGCTCAATATCGCCCATCTCTTTCAGCATCTTCATTTTATTTCTCATTCTGCTTTTCCGAACAATCCCGCTGAGGTTCTCGATTAAAGCGTTACAGTCCATTCCATATTCATACTTCAGGTCTTCAAGCCTGGTTCTAAGCTCGGACATGCTCATGCTCTTGAGATCCATAAACAGCTCCTCATAGACTTGTACTGGAGCAATCCCATTGAACTTATGAACATTTTCCTCGTCAACTACACCTAGAGACAAGGATATCCCCTGGACATCATTTACAGCCTTTCGCATGTCTCCTTCTGATATCTTTGCCAAGGCAGTAATTCCTTTGCTAGTATACCTTATGCCCTCTCTCTTGCATATTTCCTCAATTCTACCCTCAGTGCCTTCAATGGGCCCAAATCTGAACTTGGTGCATCTGGAAAGAATAGGAGGAATTATCTTCTTCGAGTGGTTGGCTATTAGGCAAAACCTTGTGTTTGCACTGAAGTCCTCAATTATTCTTCTAAGAGCATTTTGAGCATCTCTGCTCATCATGTCTGCTTCGTCCAATATCACCAGCTTCGTTACTTTAGAATATGTAGATGCAAAATCCTTTATGGTTTCTCTTACTGTTGCTATTCCCCTTTCATCACTAGCATTCAGCTCAAGAACACATGATCTTGGAAGGCTGTTTGCAATGGCCCTTATTGACGTTGTCTTTCCAGTACCTGGAGGCCCGTAAAATAGCATGTTGGGAATTTTTCCTGCATCCGCAATAGATTGAAGAGCCGCAACCACCTCCCTGTTTCCAACAACCTCCAGAAGAGATCTCGGACGGTACTTTTCTGTCCATGGCTGGTGCATGGGTTTTTTAAGCCGAGCCCATAAGCACAAACCATGTTACACCCATCCAGATAAGGTATGTTTTGATTTGTATCAAACAGGCTGTTTCCTAGTGTTTCGAAGGAAATGAAACACTCTAAACTATAAAATGAAAATGCAGTTGATTTGAGACATGATACATATCTTCCTCTTCCTAGTGGGAACATTCTGCAGTGGCAGTATTTTGATAAGCGAGGTTAATAGCAAGACAGACACCTTCAAGTTCAACAACATGATCTTGAACATCGAGAAATCGGGAGCGTTTGAAAAAAACATAAGTCGTGAGCCCAATAGACCGGAGTACGTAGTGAGGGGAGAAAAAAACAAATTTCAGATAGAGTTTTTCACAAGCATGACTAATTTGAAGGTGACAAGGATGAGTCCCAACAAGATTAAGGTGGTTTATGACTCTAAGGATAGATCTACAAGCGATACTTACCTAGAAATATCGATTAGGAACCATGCGATCAAGAGTTTTAAGATATTTGATTTCTACACGGTTAAGAAAGCACAGCTTAGTTCAAAGTTAGACATAAAAACTTGAGCCTTCAATAAATGTAAGTCAATACTTTATTTTCCATTAAATATCTCATCGTCCATTTTCCTACCTGACCGACCAATGACGATTACGAACTTCCTTGACTTCTGGGAACGTCTGTCAGCACTCTCTTCACGGCTTCTATCGTTGAAAACATAGCTGGAAGCGGCTCTTCGCCACTACTTCTATTGTGTATTTGCTCTAAAGCAGCTATCTTTGTTTTCAACTGGTCCAGATAGGCTTTGCTTTCCAGCTCCATGTTTTCAACAAGCTCGAGGATATCTCCACTGGAACTAGCCACATCTTCGAGGTACTCGTAAGCATCTATCTCTTTTCCTTCTTCAGCGTCACTTTTAATCTTACATAGAACATCTACAAGGCTATTGACCTTACATTCAAGCTGCTTTTCTCTTGCTCCCTTTAGGTTAGTGCTTTCCGTCACAAAAATGGAATATATTTGCAGCACCTCGTCTCTTATCAGTCTTTTCTTCACCTCTATTCCTAGGTCCATGGCTTTCAGCCTTTGGATATTGTTTCTATGATACTTGTATTCAGGAAGGTTGCTATGCTTCAATCTATCACACTTTTTCAGCAGAACATCCACGTTAATTGTCAAGTCAGGCCCATCAATTGTCTGAGCCTCAAAGTATTCCTTAACTTCTTTCATCATGTGTTCATGGACCTTGATATCCTCTCGTTCATGGACCTTGATATACTCGCCATTCCGGTCAAAGACATTACGGCTGTACTCGATGAACATCATAAACTTGTCTGAAATGTCACGAGAAGAGCATATGTCTTCTGCCATCTTTTCCTCATTCATCATGTCTTCCTTAAGCGAGGATATCAGCTTGTCAAGGTTGTTGATTAATCCATGAACATTTTCTGAAGAACGCTTATCCTCTGGAGACCTTTGATTCATCACCAGTAGAAGATCTAAAACAAGGCTTTTGAATCCGTCCTCATGGATTCTGGAAAGCTTCCATTGCATCGGCGTCTCGGGAGAAATAGACGGAACATTACTTCTCCTCCTCATCTCATTCACAATATCCGAGACCAGGTCCTCAAAGTTTTTTTCTGGTAATGATGCCATTTTTTCGATGGCATCCATCTGCCTTGTGCTTGGAGATACGCTTTTCATTTCTTCCGCAACATAGCTCTCAAGTTCGCATCGGATCATTTCCTTGTTCTTTTCATTTCCCATTTTCAATTGTTTTGTTTTTCAAATGTGTTTTATTTTGCTTGTGTTTCTTTCTAAATAATATATCTAGGATTATTATAGTAATATCCGCCCACACACGGCCTTATAAGGATTTTAGATACTTCCCAGAAGAGTTACTACATATGGGATGTAGTCCTAGATAATTGTCAAATATATCAAAGATTAAATCGGCAATATATTAATTGTGCAATAATAAAGCAGATTATGAAAATTCCACTATAAAATAGCACTGTAAAAACAAAACAATGACATCGGTAAACAAAGGAAATGGGGGTGAGAGGCTTATAGAAGATGTATGGGGTAAGGGTCTCTACGAAGCCGAAGAGAAGAAGGTTTTACATAAGGATGATATGAATATAGAAATGGAGGATATAAAAGGATGTGAGAAAAAGAGTTTTGATGGAAAGGAGATAGAATGTGGTAATAAAAGATGCCATCCGAAATCTTTTCTACAGAGTGAGGGCGAAGCAAACAACTATAGAAGGACTTTAAAGGTATATCCGGGTCAGGATAAATTCAGCGATAGAAAAGACGATGAAGACCAGGGATTGATCTCAGGATACAATGTTGTCGAGATGCCAAAGATCGCAAGAGAACTCAAAAGAAAAGCAAAGCAAAGGATATGCTCCAATTGTTCCACTACAAGTACGCCATCATGGAGGAGGGGAGATCAGGGAAAGACGCTCTTATGTAATGCCTGTGGGCTCTACCAGAAACTCCACGGTAGGACAAGGCCCTATATGATCACGCCTGGGGGTAGGACGAAAGCGCTGAAGGGAAGCCACGAGAGAATTATCTGTGTATCATGTAATGTCTCTTTTTTTACCTCAGATTCCAAAAATGCCTCCAGCCATCTTTGTGAAAGCTGCTTAGCCTATACAAGAAGTAGAAGAAGACAGGATAATGGCGAAAGGGAGGACGGCCGAAATAGATTTAATAGCAAAATTCTTGATAGCAGATATAGTGGAATTTATGATATAGAGGCTCCAGAGAAATATGGCCCCTCATATAACTACATACACGAGGATGTCATTATCAATGGATTCAGGAGCTATCCCTCATCATCTATGCTTTATTCCCAGTCCTATGGATATTATTACTTGAATGATAAGTATCACGATGTACCTGGGTTTGGAGAATACAGGCCTCCTTTTCCCGGTAGAGATTTAGACCCACAATTCAAAGGTATTTACCCCGGAGAAATGGTCAGCGAAGGAGATAGCGGTGTAGATTCCTGTGATGCCAATGTAAATGCCCCAACTAGCATATGAAAGAGTAATTAAACAGAAAATTTAAGGATGAAAGGATTCAGGAGTTGTTGGACAAACTTTAGGGCTTGCTTATTATCCTGCCTAAGAAGGCCTTTTAGACAAGCCTCTCTTCATAGATTTAAGGACTATCCTAATCTTCTTTCCTCCTACGTTTTTTCCATCCATATGCCTGATTGCCTTTAGGGCCGGCAATTCCTTTTCGTAGTTAACAAATGCTTTTCCCCCGTTTAATATCCCTAGAGATTGAATCTCTCCAAACTTTGCAAACAGTTCATTAAGATCCGTTTTGGTTATTTTGGATGGGAGGTTGTATATAAAAACACTTTTTTCTGGGCTGGAGGTTTGATCTTTTCGCTCTCTTTTAGTAAAAGGCTTTATGGAGAGCTTGGATTCCTCCTTTCCAAAGCTTATCTTCTGATTGAGCTCAAGAAGCATTTCAGAATCTCTCTGGGACGAGAAGTCAATAAAAACTGTTTGGGGATCATCCGAGGGTGTGATGTTTTCGACGGATCCATAGTACTGGAAGAACCTCAGAAGCTCTTCTTTCGATGAGTCCAAGGGGATGCCGGAGACGACCACCCTTCTTTTTCTGTCAAAAGCCATTTCGATGTGCAATGGTGAGCTCTCTCCATGCAGCTTTCTGCCATTCAAAGAATCCATTGCTGCTTTTGCATTCTGGGGATCCCGGAACTCGACAATTGAGAACAATCTAGGCTCTCTCAGAATCTTGATGGACTTTATTTCCCCAAAGGGACTAAAAATTAGGCTCATGCTCTCCTCTGAATAGCTTTCTGGAAAGTTATTTACAAACAATTTGCACGCCATCTATGGGATAACTTGGAGTATGAATTTCTCTGCCGGGCCCAGCCCTAGGATGAAAATTAACACCATATACCATAAGCCAGAAGAAATTTGTAAGGAGAGGAAAAAGGATGTTGAGTATGTGAGCTTTGCCAAGGATGAAGTCTACCATCCGTTTATGAGGGAAAGGGAGTTTGTGAGGGCACTTAATGCAACTAAGATTGAAAGGATGCTAAGTAAGCCATTCGTCACTGCACTGTCCTACCACAAGGAAGGGATACATGTGCTTGCAAGGCATTTTCAGCAGGCCTTATTTGCATCTGGAAGTTTCGACAACCAGGTGGTTTTATGGGATATGGACCAGAAAAGTGCCCTTAAGAGATTTGAGTGCAACAGTTCGATAAAAGGGCTTGGAATGGACATTGAAGGAAATTTATATGCTGGGCAGGAAAAAACGGTTAAGAAGCTGGGAGACGAGCAAACGTATCGCTGTGATTCTGAGGTGGTAGGGCTAGACATAATGGGAACGCTGAATGTAGGGACCACCAAGGGTGTAGAGATATTTGACATTGAAAGAGACTTTTCAAAACAGCAGATAGGCACAAGGTATCCCTTATGCATAAGCACTAGTCCTGTGCTAACAAACATAATAGGAGTTGGAGAGCAAGGAGGCCTTTCATTATTTGACATCAGGATTGGAAAGGTGATCCATTCTGTAACTGTGGGGAGTAGGACTAATGATATATCATTTAGTCCGATGGATGGACATATATTTGTATCAGGAAATGAAGACTTCTGTGCCTATCTCCATGATATAAGATATCTCGACGAGCCCAGTGGAATATATAGAGGACATGGAAATGCAGTTGTCTCTGTGGAATTCAATCCTTCAGGGACTGAGATAGCAACTGGGAGCTTCGATAAAACAATCAGAATCTTCGATGTCAATGAAAGGAAGAGTAGAGACACATACTATAACAAGAGAATGCACAATGTATTTGGCGTGAAGTATTCCCACGACTCCCAATTTATTGTTTCAGGAAGTGACGACGGGTCGATAAGAGTGTGGAAGAGCTATGCTTCAAAAAAGTTGGGAGCATTGAGCAAGAGAGAAAAAGAAGCCCTTAGGTATTCTGAGGCACTGAGGGAAAAATACAAGGAGGTTGGGGAAATAAGCAGAATATCTAAGCATAGATTCTTACCCAAGCCGCTGAAGAATACGCTCAAGAGAATTCATGAGTCCTATAAAGCTACAGAGAGGAAGAGGAAGGCCAGGGAATCTGAAATAAAGGATTTATAGGATAGTTGTCCATAATAGCACAGAACATAAAGAAGCAAGTCCCATTTATGGATCTTGTCTACTTGGCTTATAGATAAAAAACTATCTAATATTGGCATTCTTCTTCTTTTCATACATAGACTTGTACTTTTCGATTATTCCCTTGTTTATCTCCTTTGTTATCAAGTCATTTTCGTTCTTCACTTTCTTGAGTGTTTTCCTATACTTTGTGGGTTTCCTATGGAGCTTGACGTTCTTTAGAGGACGCTGAACCATTTTTGGGACAGGGATTTGCCTAGAATTATTCTAGGAGTTGGATGAAAAATACAATTCTTTGATATCAAATATGTCCATATGCTTCGATATCTCATCCAACCAAGGAGACACAAGATTTTCTGCAACTAACTTCTGAAGCTCTTTCTTGCAAACATACCTTGTTTCTGAAACTTCGTTAGGATTGGGACGGGGAGGAACGTCAGACACTGCAAAGATAATGTAATCGACCTCCCATTCACAGAAATCATCTGAGAAATAAGGGCCGCTAAGGTTCTGAGGGTCTGCAAGAGTGGCAACTTTCTGCGCTATCGGAACACCAGGCAAGATTCTACTATACTTTTCAATAGGACTGGCTTTGTATATAATGCGGCAGACAAATTTTAAATCGTCTACAGTTATGCCTCCTATCCCCAATTCGTAGTCAATTCGTCTGGCCGCATGGATCTTTACGTCAAGCAAAGGGTCACAGAAAGAAAGTTCGTTGGCAAATGGGTGGGAGCAAACGCTGTTTGTCCATCTATTCGGAAAGAGAAGCTTTCCTGGCGCTCTCTTTTGAACCAGAAGCTTGTTTTTTGAGTTGAATAAAAACACACTGAAGGCCCTGTGAAGCGCCAAATATTTCCTGAAATGGGTTCTAAGTGCCTTTCCAATGCCAATTATCTCGTCTCTATCATTTACAAGGAGTACATTCCTATTATAATTGTCCATAAAGACTTGGGCCTGTCAAATTCCGTCGAATATTAACCCCACACGATGAGAAACAAACCGGGATTATTACCTAAATGGCTATTTATCTACACGATGGCAAAAACTGCATACATCCTAGTCGCCCACAAGGACTATCTCAATATCATTAGTCCCTGGAATCCGGGCTCAGCCTATACTTATCTTGCATTTCTACTAGGAATATCAAGGCTCCTGGCATCTAGAAATGCAACCAAGATAGGGTTCTATTCTGCAATAGCCGGATCGTTCCTGGCAGAAGGTGTGTTCTTTATCTATTCAGGCTTCCAAGGTGTGTATCCCATTCAGAGGGTGATTGTAGAAACGTTTCTTGCTCTGTTTACTGTTGGATGGATGATATTTCTGTATCCATACTATCTTTTGGAGGATAGTGAATCTCGGGAAAAGCTGAAAGACAAATCTGCAAAGCACCAATAGTTTCTTCTAATTGCCTTTCTGTATCGGTTTTATGTTGAAACCTAAAAGCCATGTATGAAATGATCGAGCAAGGATTAAAGAAATCACCTCAAAGACGTGATGGATGGAGGAGACGGAAGAACTGCATATGTAGACTTTTCAACCAAAGTATCCGGTTTTGACACCGATATAAAGATCCTCGAAACAAATACACACATATTTATATATGTGAGCCAATGTGAAGAAACAATTCATTTGTACGATGAAGCTTTAAGAAAGGAAATAGTCAAGAATAAAGTAAGACCTAAGAAAAAACTGGTGGTGTTTTGTAATATGAAGGTTCATGAAAATTTTAATGATATCAAAAATGTAGTGCTAGATATATTAAGAAAATAACTCTTTGCCTGGAAATTCATACTATGAAATATGGAAGGTCCTAGTAGAGAGATGAATAGTCTTCAACTAAATTTATTGTCATGAGCCTTTTGAGAGACCTACTCATTGATTATTCTTATTTTTTACAGCCTCCGAGAAGCTATTTATTAGGCTGTTGTAGGCATTGTTGCAGAGAGAATTTTCTTTTCTCAGAAGCCCCATTTCCTCAGTGGCCCTTTCAAGTTCATTTTTTAGCACCCTTATTCTCTCCAGAGCCTCTCTCTTGGTTTCCTCAACATAGTCTATGTAATCGACTTTGGCTCCAACAAGGTGTGATTCAAAAATCTCTCTAATGTACTCCTTGGAAGTAACGTCCCTAAGACTTGTTCTGCCTTCAAGGACGTCTCTGTCTAGCTGATTGAGTTTGTTTGGAATGTCATTCGCCTCTAACTTCTTCCTGAAAACATCAGATAGCCTTGACCTAAGACTCTGGAAAATGCCCTCAATGGTATTTGAGATCGCCTCCGGATCTCCCCGGTGTGTCTCCCTAGCCTTGGAGCTGTCCATAAAAAAGGAGTCCTCGCTCTGAGCACTTGGATCAGTAAGGATTTCCTTTATTTTCTCTTGTTCCTTAAGGATTTCTTGTATAGCACGCTTGTAGGCTTGCCTCATTTTAGCTAGTCTTGGCCCATCCTCCTCCATTCAATGGGTTGTGAAATAAAAGCAAAGACATATGAATTGGTCATAGCAAAAATAAAGGCTTCGTTGTACATTAGAGAAGATGAGAAGTGCTGTTCCCAGGAAGAAATACCATCATCTTATTAGAAGATAAATTGATGGAAAAGAAAACCCTGGAATATGGGGATAGTTCACAAACTCATAACTTCTGTCTCTGGGCTTTACAATAACATCAACCCGATAACACTAAGTGGGGTCAACGATGTTATTGTTGTTGAGGGCAAAGATGGGAAGCTGAGGTGCACAGAGTTCCAGCTTCGATTTGGAAGGCTCTACTTCTACGGTGTCAATAACCAAACAGTGCATCTGTTCATCAATGGGAAAATGTGTGACATAACAATGTCTATCACAAGCCAAGGAGAGCTGTTCTTTGAGAAAGATACCGAGGACGACCTTGGTATGGACTACGATATCATACTCGAGTATAATAAGAAACTTTCCACAATGTTTGACTCAGACGATGAGATGATTCTCAACAAGAGGCTTGAGCAGCTTTCACTAGGAAACAGCCCCGACCTCAGCACGCTGAACTTCGATGTCACAACGAAGTACAAGGAAAAGAACCTGAATATTGAGGATATTGAATTTAAGAAGTACCTAAGAAAAGAAAGAACAGAAAACCTCAAAAAGAGGATGTACGGTCAGGTTCTCCATCAAAGAGCTCACAAGGATTCGTACCATGATTTCGAAAGGAAGTTCGTCAAGTTTGGAAATCTGATCAACTCCAGTGAGCACTTTGATTTCCTAATAGGAAAATATCGGTCCGTCCTTCACATTATTATCGGATTGCATCTCTATCCACCATTCAATGATAAAACCTGTGATGGGAACACCAAGGGATGCACAGGTGCAAGTATATCATTTTCTCTCTGCTATAACAAAAAAATACAGGAGTCTCTGGATCATACATTCAACTCCTTCCTGGTTCAGGAGATAAGAAATACGGAAAGCCTCGTCGTAAGGGTCCAGGGATGCAAGAAATGCAACTTCCGTTTCTACCTGCCATACGACACATTCTGTAAGATATTCTTTGAAATCCAGGGATCAAGAATCAACAAGGCAAAGAGAATCATGAAGATCCTTGAAAATGAGCACAATAGGCTCCTTGGGTGGAACATATTCGGAACAAAAAAGGTGATCAAAAGAGATGTATCCTTTTCCTTAAAGCTGAACTCCGAAGAACTAAAGATGCTCAACCTAAAGGAGGGGAAAAACCAAGCGATCTTTAAGATTAGCGGCCTGAACAAGCATCTGGAGGGGAACATCTACCTGTGGAAGGACGACGCAAAGATAATCGTTTCAGATATCGACGGCACAATAACCAAAAGTGATGTCTGGGGCCATCTCTATGGAATGATAGGAAGAGACTGGACTCATCACGGCGTTGCCTCATTATACACAAAAATAGTCAGAAACGGATACAAAATAGTTTATCTGACTGCAAGGGCTCTTGGGCAGTCGTTCTCTACAAAGTCATATCTCAAAAGTGTGTGTCAAGATGGATATAAACTCCCTGATGGCCCTGTAATTCTGTCGCCCGACGGCGTGTTTGCAGCATTATACAGAGAGCTGATAATAAGAAGGCCAGAAGACTTCAAGATAGCATGCTTGAAGACAATTCAAGGCCTTTTTGGTGATACGAATCCATTTGTCGCAGGATTTGGAAACAAGATCACAGACGTGATAACTTATAAAGCGCTGGAAATCCCTCTTTCAAGGATTTTCACAATCAATCACAAAGGAGAGTTGTATGTAGAGTTGGTAAAGACGCTATCAGGAACATATAGGACAATGAACGACTTTGTGGACAGCATGTTTCCATATCTGTCCACTAAGACCATTCCATTCATAGATCATTCATTTAGTGACTTTTCTTGGTGGAGTATCCAAGATACATCCCATACATAGCTATTCAATTAAAAATACAGACACCCGAAAACATCCTTTAGAATCTTTAAAAGTTTAATTGTCACCTTCAACTCTTCTATGTATTTGTTTTCTTCAAAAAGAGAAATGTCTGAGCCAATGCATTAGGGTTCCATGATATCAATCAAGCAGTCCACCTATTTCTCTTCATCAATCATGGTTTTCAATGCTTTCTTTTTTTGTGCTTCTTTTTATGCTTTTTCTTTTTCTTCGAATCTGACTCATCTTCCTCTTCATCATCTCTTTCTTTTTTTTTCTTTTTCTTGTGCTTTTTCTTTTTGCCTCCAGACGAGGAATCATCACCTTGTTCTCTCTTTTTCTTCCTCTCTTTTTCTTCCTCTTCATCATCATCATCGTCATCATCATCATCATCATCTCTCTTACGCTTACCTTTAACATTAGATATCGGCAGCAAGAAACTTTCATTGTTCGTTCTTTTAGAGACTAGATTTGAGGCTCCAAGTCCAGCAATAGCATCGCGTAACCCGCTCCTCTGTTTCTCATCACGTAAATGAAGGCTTTTTGCATCGCAAACTGCAAATGCACAGAGAGTTATAAGACCTTTCTTCATTTGATTATCGTCAAATTCTCCATTTTATTCTTGCCTTGTTTTAGGTTTCTGATAAAGTTGAAACATGTGTCAATCCTAGTGTGATTATGGAAGTGTATACGTCCAGTCTAAGGCCGAAGTCAAGGCAATGGTTTATTTTTATCGGAATTGAAATAAGGATCAACACTAATCATCTCTTCCAAGATTACCCAAACAGGCCTCCAAATGCATTTTTCATTGCGCTTGCTGCCTGTACTGCTGGTAAATTTTTGGCGATATTAGCTGCTTTTTCTGAAGCATCTGCAGCGATATCCTTGGCAGCAGTTTTGATATCCTCTTTTCCACTATCACTGCTTTCATCTTCTCCGGAAGAGCCACTACTTCCTTGAGAACCATCGCTTTCTGAGGAGCTTTCACTTTCCTGAGAACCACTACTATTATTGGTGCTCTCGCTTTCCTCATCTTCTTTAGCGAAAGAGAGGAATTTCTTGTGGCTCCCAAGAAGATTACTTCTCTTGTTACTTACCATGGCACTGAGTTTCGAAATCGCATTTTCCACTCCTTCCTTTAGTAAAAGATTTCGACGCGAAAAGCTCATGGCATGTATTTTGGAAAATATAAAGAGAAGCACATAAGATAGACATCTCATTTATTTATTTGCTTGGGAGCAATTCATTTATTTCTGGTGTTTCAAATATTCATTGAGATAATATTTATAGGTAAAACAGTAATATATTTCCATGACCACTCTTCATATAATTTATGCCTTCTCTTCCTGATAATGAACCTGTTACATATCCTTTACCATCTTTCCTATTTCAATCATCTTTATTGCTCTTTTTAGATTTCCAAGGAACCCAAGAACGTTTTCTTTTTTTAGGTTTGGCGGAGGTTTTTCCACCTCCCTTAGGCTTCCAGAATTTCCAAGAACGTTCTCTTTTTTTGGGTTTTTTAGAGGGTTTCTTCTTTCCTTTTCTCTTTCCAATTCCCAATGCTTGTTTCAATCCTTTACCCTTTTTTTCTTCTTCTTCTTCTTCTTCATCATCATCATCATCATTATCATCATCTTCGTCATCTTCGTCGTTATCACTAGGCTTTTTCTTTCTTGAATTAGAAGTCTTTTTTCCTTCACTTGCAGGATTAACTCTATCATTCTTTTCTTCTTTACTTTCATCCTCATCATCATCATCATCACCACCACTACCATAGCCTTCATCATCGCCATTATCGTGTTTATGGCTGTTTTCAGGTCCACCACTATTACCGCCTAGGAATTTTTCAACATCGTCAGACGCAGGTTTTAAATGATAATTAATCTTATTCTGAAGAGCTTTTATGTTTTTACTCTCTTTTTTTCGTTCTTCTTCTTCTTCTTTAAGACGTTGGGCTTCTTTTTGAACTCTAGCAAGGGCTTCAGCAGCTTCTTCCATTTTTTTCTTCTCTTCTTCTTCAAGTTTTTTGAGTTCCTCTTCAGACGAGCTATTCAATTTTAGGGTTTTTTGTGAAACACTAGTAAGATCTTTCTTTATATCTAACAAAATCTGCTTTTTGCTATTACCTTCACCACCGGAGCCTTTATTATTATCTTCACTCGCTAAGACGGCTTCTTTGTTGCCATCATCTTTTTTGCCTCCACCAAACCAATCCCAAAATCCTGCATTAATGCTAATTAGAAGGCATGCAAATGCTAATGGTCTATTTTTCATTTATTTAATTTCAAGTTGTTTCCTCTATTTATCATAGATCTTTTGTTTCAGACACTGTGTATGAAAATATCTCAAACATGTTATATAAGAGACTGTAATGATATGTCGAATCACATCTATTTTTAATAACGGTAATTGGGTCATAAAACATCTAATCACGGGTATCCTCTTCTATATGGAATTTTCCCGTATGATAGGCCTCTATTGGTTTTCAATGCATTTTTTGCCGATGTTGCTCTACTTGAAAATAGGATTTTTGGCTGTGTTCCTCTTGCTTCTCCATCATTGTAGGGAGAAATTCTAGTGAATGCTGGAGATCCATCAAGTTTTCTTCTTAAGTTATAGGGCTCGCGGGAGATGATCCTTTTCAGCTCTTCTCTAATCTTTTCTTCCATCAACGCCTCTTCCTTCTGCCTTTGCTCATTCCGGGGGATATTGGCCTTGCCTATGTATTCTACCGAGTCGCTGCTCTTACTTATCTCGTGTTCTTCGCTCATTTCTCTCTTTTCAGATTCTTCTGTATCTGTAAGATTATTTGAATTAATCTTTTTTGATGAGATTTTCTTTACTTTTTTGGAAGATGTTTCTTTGGGTTTATGGGTCCTTGAATGTTTCCTGTTGGTGTTTTTTTCTTTTTTTTCAGAGGAACTTTCGTCGTTTGAGGATGACTCGGAATGATCCTTCTTCTCTTTGGTTTCTTTCGGAGATTGAGATTCCGAATTAGTATCCTCAGGTTTCTTTTCTGATTTGGACAAGACCCATTTCAGAGGGCTTGATATCTCTACACAATCACTTTTCCCAGAATCTAATTTCCCAGACATCATTCCCAGGCTGAACATCTTTTCCTCATCCCAATTCAGCACTCTAATGAACTTTTCAAATCTATCTCTTGTTTCTTTTGTGCATTGTTTCAAGCTTTCTATAAATTCTGGTGTTGTGACATCTTTTGCAAACTTATCAAAGACCTCTGGACTTCTCTCTTTGACAGGACTTGGAACTTCTATTTTGAAGAGGCCAGCCATCCAATCTAGAACAGCATATATTATTTTTGTTAGCAGCTCATCATCAACAATATCACTAGAGACCATATTGCTGATGAATCGGCTCATGCATGGGGTGTTGGGTATAAACTTTTCCCTCTCCTCTTCGGGACTGGCAGAAGCCACTAGAATGACGTTGGCTGGAATTCCGCTCAATGCCTCTATCCTTGCATCAAGGCTTTCCTCACCACCCATTATTGATATATCCTGGTATCCTGGCTTTACTAGGTAGTCATCGTATGCCAAAAAATCTAGAAGGCTAATTCTTATACCCCGTCGCTGAAGATGCTCGTTGAACTTATCTAATAGCCTTTCAACCACATAATGATACATTTCCTTGACCTCTTTCAATCCTGTCTTCTCGTAAAGGATAACGAGATTGATCACATGTGCAAATACAAAGGGAGATAAAAGAAGGATCTTCATTGTTTATTCTGTCAGTGCCCAATTTTAGTCTTGTTTTCTTCTAGTTTCAGAATGTACACCTGATGGGCGGGTGTTGGGATAAGGAATCCTGTAAATATTAGATCAAAGAAGGACAGAACTTTCGGTATTTATCAATGGAAGGAAATATCCATTCGACTTCCTACATTCAGGTTTAAGGTGGGCGTGAAACACCGGTGCCTCAAATAAGTTTCAGATTTGAAAATAAATAGTTCTCTTTCTAAGGAATGCATGTTTGGCAATAAGCACTTCCTGATTCTTCTGATGGGCCTGGAAATTTCCTCGCAGGCAATAGGCATCAGGAGAGTTCCAGTAGAAGTATACATTTCTGAGGCAGGGAGAAAGAAGTTTCTTGATAAAGGTAGAAGCATTGAGGACATTGTGGGAAGTGTTGCAGAAGAGTTGGAGTTAAAGATGAATGAACATGTATATGCAGATAGGGCAAGCACAGACAAACGTAAGTTCCATTTTGACTGGAGCGTTAGTGGGATGACATCTCCGGATATTGATCTGGATAAATGTGGAAAGGACACAAGCCGATTCCAATATGACCTGGTTCAAGCAGCTAGAGATAAGCCAGGGGCATCTGTAATTCTTCTCTATACCTGCGAGTCTGAAGGATATAGTGAGGACTTTATTCTAGCAGGGCAGAAGACGCCTCTTGTCATCCAAAGGAAGTATCCAGAGTGCTCAAATGATGTAGCAACGTTCACTGAGACTGAGCCGATGAAGATTGAGTCCATCATTGCTAATGCCTTATTTATTGCGGCGGGGTCTCCCTTAAATGATATGGTAGAATTCGAAGAGGTGGATAATGGGAGAGATGGGTTCAAAAGAGATATACGCCTAAAGACGACAGACTTCTCGCTTTTTTCTGGCGGAATCTGCCACTAACATATTAAATCATTTCTAGTTTAAGATTAGTGTATTTTTTTGCTCAAAATTCCTCCCTCAACAAAGTCTAATGGAAGAAGTAGAAAAGAAAGAAGAGCATGGAAAGATAGAGGCCAATACTGACAAGCGAAAGGAGGATGGCTTGGATAGTGTGAGGAAAGAGGAACCATCCGATAGTGGCAAGAAGGAGGCTGAAACAAAGAAGACGCATCAAAGCCCATTTCTGACCAATGGTGTGCCTCGAAAAGATGAGGCCAAGGGAGGGGAGGAAAAGGAGCAGATTGACGTGACAGAAGTTGTTGAGAAACAGAGGAAGCATCTTGAGGAGAACCAGAACGACGAGGTTCTATTTAAGGCCAGGTGTAAGCTTTATTACTTTTCTGAGGAGACTAAAGCCCTTGAGGAACGGGCTGAGGGAACCATGATTATCGGAATGCATTCAAAGAGTAATCTTGTGAAGATAACAGTATTTAGGGACCAAATTGGCAGGCTTGGATGCAACCACTTCATCAATCCAAGGTTCAAAGCACAGCCTCATGGAAAGGTTAGCAATGGATGGATGTGGATGTCTACTGAGGATACCGTTGAAGTGGATGCGCAGAGGAAGAAGATACAATTGTTTGTGGTGAAGTTTTATTCAGAAGAAGACTATCGAAAGTTTGGGGAAGAATATGATTTAGGAAGAATTCATAATGAAAAATCTCTCAAGACAAAGGTGAATAAAGAATGATTTTTTACTTTGTGTCAAACAGCGCTCTTATGTTCTCGAGGGTTCAGGTCTCTTAGATCCTATTTGTGGATTCTGAAACCGATCGAAATAAGTTAGATGGTGGGGAGTCTAAACTATGAATCTTGCCATATATCTTGGAAATGCGCTCGAGAACACTGAGAAGACACTTAAGGTTGCTAGGCTTGAGAAAGAAGTGGAGGATGTTTGTAAGGCTCACAGGGATCTGGTTTTTTCTCAGCGGCATATTGATTTTCAGATGAAGAACAGGGAAAAGAAAGCCCAGATGGAACTAGAGATATGTAAGGTACTTCGGAAGCTTCATGAGCAGATATTGAAACAGAATCTTGGGTACACAAAGTGTATCTCCTCAAAGATACAGGGCACTAAGGGTGTTGGAGAGAACGAAAGAAAAGATTCCAGTGGGAATATGGAGATGATGCGCTATAGAGATCAGATTTACACATTGCTTTCTTACCTTCACAATAATGAAAGAATGGGTGCTAGAATATTGAGTTTTCAAAGGGCTTTAGAAAATAACGATCGTATCAGAAGTGCAGGGAACGGTGTAGTATGTTTGATCAACAGAATTGGGCTGAGTATTCTGAAGGAGACTGGGAAAGTGATTAAAGCATATGGAGGTAGTATAGATGAGAGGAAAGACATGATGCTAAGATATGAAGATTTGAGGGTTAAAAGCCTACTGGAGCAGTTGAAGCAAAAGACAAGCAATTGTGAGGAGATTATGAGGGAAGAGGCTATAAGTAGGGTGCTGGTTGTACTGAGCCAAGGGTCTGTTGAAAACGACATTAGGTTTGCAGAGCTTATTGATGAGACCTTGGAGAGAACTGAAAGCTACGAGTTCCCAGAAATAACAAGAATGAGTGTTCAATTCATTATAGCCAAGAAGTATGTAGAAGACATGGTGAGCTTGAAAAAGCAGCCTTTCTTGCGGAAATACTTGGAAAGAAACACAGGATCGAAGAAGTAGAGGCTTTAAGATAGCCTGAAGATGAAACTATGATTTTGAGCAGAAACTTGAAAATTTTATGGCCCTTATGATACTGAATGGGGATAACAGAAAGATATTTATCGGTAATGAAGTGTTTTATAAGATAGGAGAGAATGTTATTGAGGAATATCGAAAAGAAGATTTTACGATTGTAAGGAGAAAAGATTTTTTTCGAGTCAAAGCTGCCAAGGAGTTTGATGGAAAGTATTACTTCCTGACCAAGAAGATGATGCTGGTTTACGAAGATTTATTTGGAGATCCAATTCAGGAAACCGAGGTTCCAAACGAGGGAGTTTTTGACTTTCATATGCACGATGGACGGCTATTTTATCTAGTAAAGAAAATGAATAGATGCTTGGGAATTGATGAGAAGCAGGATGTACTTTTTGACTTCCAAGCAGGGGTTTATTTTTGGGATGCAGCTGATTTCTATATATGCAGCAACAGAAGCCTGATCAGGTTTGATATTGTAAGGAAAAAGAGTGAGGAAGTTCTTTGCAATGTTCACATTAGATGTCTTTCTGTGAGGAATGGAATGATTGCATATGCAGATGACGCAAACATTCTCCATTTCTTGAAAGGGAAGACAAGCCTGTCATATCATTACCACTCTCGAACAGTTGTTAGAATTATAATAACTGCACTAGAAGGCCTTTTGGTTTTATGCAAAGATAGAAAGCTTGTTAGGATAGAAACCAGGAGAGATGAAAAGGTATTCCTGACATCATTTGAGGGGTACCCTGTAGATTTCATACAGGATAGGACCAATATCTATGTGGTGACAACATTCTGTGTTCTAGTGTATGACTCCAAAGCAGGTCATGTTAAAAAGCAGATTTTTTCTCTTCCTAGTTTTGATTACTGTAAGCCTTTAGGCAACTTTGAGCATGTTGAAGAAGAGATACCCGGCAAAGAAATTTTTGAACACAACGTGAAAAGAACCAAAGTCAATATACCATATGTATTCAAGAAGGAATGCACCGGGAAATCCCTAGAAAGTCTTATAGTTGCAGTCAGGAGAAACTATGTTTTCATATATGATCTTGAAGAAGAGGATGTGAAAAGGATAGCTTATCTTGAAGGGTCTGACTGTTTTTATTCTTCGGGATGTGTTGTCAGGCTATCGTATGGAGGAAAAAGCAGAAGGGCAACTGCAAGTATCTATCGGATAGAGAACGAAGGCCTAGGATTTATTCGAAAGTATGACAGCATCGGTATATCAGCCACTCCAGAGGATGTTGTTCTAGATAGAGGGAGACTTTTTCTTTACCTTGACGGGGGTCTTACTGAAGTAATTGGGCCTGGGATTACAAAGCGCCTTGGAAATGAGAACATCCGACAGATTGAAGAAACAAAGGCGGGAGTCTTCTTACTTGATGGATGTGGAATATTCAAGATAAAGTCTGGAGAATGGATACTAGAGGATAGGGATATTACATCTTTCCGGATTTCTGAAGGAACATTATTTGTATCGCTGTTCGGGAGTGGGATATATGGATTTGAGATGAAAGATGGGGCAATTGAAGAAAAACTGATCAATGACACAAACGTTATGGAAGTTTTTTCAAAAGGAGGAGAAACTATAGTGGCGCTTAGTCTTTGCGAAGGAGTCCCAGTCCTGAGAAGATACAGAAAGAGGGATGGAAGCTGGAAAAAAGACGGAGAGGTTTTTGTAGACAAGAAAATAGGGAAAATACTCCATAAAGACATTTATCTTTCAATAACAAATAGACTGCACAAGGTAGAAGTTGAGTAGAAAGAAGGTCTCCCCTGAGGTCTTGAAGGCAATCCCAATAAATATATCTATTTCCAATTATGGCTTGATCTTAGTTCCTTGAGTGTAATGTCAAGTCTTTGTATATATTGAAAGAATGAAATTGTTTTTATGGATCTTTCAACAATCCAAAAGGCAAGAATATCAAACACTCTTAGAACAACATGCAAGCTTATGGAAAGGCTCTTTCAGATGTATAGAAACAGAAAGATAAGCAAAGAGGAATATATGCAGAAGTTAGAAAAGCTCAAAGAAGTGGTGGGATCAAACATTGATGAAATGGAAAGAGATGCAAAAGTGATAGCATCTAGGAGAGAGCCCACGAATGTTCTCAGCGTATTTATTATGGAGCATTTTGAGCACATTGGGTGCTTTGACACTGCTTTGCTGCTGGCCAACAAATTTTCGATCAAGAATTATTCTGACTCTGATTTCTACAAGCTTGTTTATGGGATCAAGAGCCAGATAGAAAGCGGGATGTTTGAAGAAGCCTTGTCTTTTTGCAGGGAACATAGAGTTGAGCTCAAAAGCATGAAGTGTGAAGAAGCAGTTTCACTTGAAAATGACCTGAAAATTGAAAAATTCATAGAAATGTGCCATGCGCAAGAATTCGATAAGGCATTGGAATTTGTCAACAAAGAATTCAAGAGGGTTCCCGAGCAGATAAAGTCATACTTACCTATTCTTGTATCGAACTCAAACTTTAGGAAGTATCCTTTTTCAAGACATAATAAGACAGCAGAGCAATTCCTGGGGTGTGCACTGAAGCTGTTTAGAAGAGGATTTAAGTCAAGGCTGATGCAGCGAATTGAATATGGAATGATGGCATACAAAACGTACAGGTGCATTGACACAGAGAATAACAGGTGTCCAGCATGCTGCAGGGCATTTAGGTTAAGAGAAGACGTTCCATTTAACAAGCATGAGATAAGTATTCTTCTATGCCGAGGAAGCTCAGAGGAGATGGATGATACCAATCAACCATATGTTTTTGAAGATGGACTCATTTATGGATCCAGGTACATTGAGTCATCAGATCATATTTGTATTAGCTCAAAATCCACAGATAGTGCTCTGAGATATCCAAGGCTTTGTTTCATCCTGTAAAGGTGCTGTATATATTTGTTTGTGGCCCACTTCCTAATATGGAATCTTTGCCTGTTTCTGATGGTTCAACATGTAAAAATTGGAAAGAATTTAGTATAAATTTTTTCTTTGTGAACAAGGGTATGCTAGTTAGGAATTTGTTGTTTACACTGGCTGCTATTTTATGTAATGTGTCTGCAAGCGCCGACTTGAGGGAATCTGTTGCTGTTGGAATTGATCTGGGAACAACCTATAGCTGTATATCTGTATATAGTCCATCTCTGAAAGACACAAAATTTGTCCTCTCTGCCAGTGGAGAGGAGACATACCCGTCTGTTGTGTACTTCAAGAAGCTGGAAGAGGGAGATGGAAAGAAATCGAAATATGAAGCCATATCTGGGTGGCCAGGATTACAAATGTATAATGCTGAGGGGAATGCAAATTCCTACTTCTATGCTTTCAAGAGAGGGATGGGAATTGAAGATCTTGCAAATATCGACAAAAAGGTTGAAGATATCAAGCGAAATGCATCTGTGCCTATATTTGTAGAGAATGTTGGAGGAAAGAGAAGAGTGGCATACAAGATCCAAGAGAATGGGCAAGAAGGCTATGAGTCTGTAACACCTGAGGAGCTCTCGAGCCATGTTCTGCGCATGCTGAAGGATCAAATTCTAAAGGAATATAAGATTCAGGGAATAACAATCACGGTTCCTGCTTACTTTGATCTGAACCAGGTTGCAGCAACTGTAAAGGCAGCAGAGATGGCAGGGCTTCCGACACCCATGATTTGGAAGGAGCCGTCTGCAGCAGCATTTGCTCATACATACGACCTTATTAGGAAAGGAATTACAACTAAAGAAGAGGTTGATGACATGAACATCTGCGTATTCGATCTCGGTGGTGGTACATTTGACGTTTCTATTGTGGAGTCATCTGGAGGATTCATGATGGTCCCAAGTTACGGGGGAAACAACTTCCTTGGTGGTGAGAATGTCAACGACAACCTCACAAAGCACTTTGCCAACTATATTAAGAGCAGTACAGGGTTTGATGTGATGGAAAACCAAAATGTCAAGCTCAGGCTAAGAAATCTCGTCGAAGAAATGAAAAGAGATATTTGTGACGAAGTTCGCAATTCACCAGGGAGGAAAGCAAACCCTTCGATCAGTAAGAGCTTTATTTATGACGGAGAAAAGTCCATAACTTTGGAGCTCACAAATGAGAAATTCAATGAACTAAACAAAGACTTCTATTCTAAGATCAGAAGTACCATGGATTTGCTACTATCCGGAGACGGAAAAGAGAATAAGGGATACGACAAGAGTCTCATCAACCGAGTATTGCTTGTTGGTGGGTCTACAAGAATTCCCAAGGTAATTGACATTGTCGAAGAGATTTTTGGAGCAGACAAGATACACTATGAAGGTGTTAATGCTGACACAATAGTTGCTAGGGGTGCAGCCTTGTACACTGCCAACGAGCTTAGCATGCTAAGCGAGTCTGAGCAAATTGTGACTGCCGATAGTGTTCCCCTCTCATTAGGAATTTGTACAGAAGAGGATCATTTCGAGGCTATTATTTCAAAGGGGGCTCTTCTTCCGGCAACAGGAACAAAAGAATTCACCACTGCACAGGACAATCAGGTGAAGGTCAGGATTCGTGTTGCTCAGGGTGGATTGGAAAGCTTTAAGGATAACATTTATATTGGAGATATTGAATTGGATCTTCCTGGAAATCAGCCTCGTGGTGTTCCAAGAATTGCTGTCACATTAGAAATCGACACCCACGGAAAGATCTATGTGAAGGCTGTGGATTTGCAAAATGATAAAACAGCAGATGCATATTTCAGTTCAGTCGTTGCTAACATGACCTCTGAGGAGATTGAGAGATTTGAAGAAAGGGTCCATAGTGAAGAAAACCAAGAACTTGTGAAGAAAAGAGAAGTGGTCAGGAAGCTTGAACATGCTCTATCACAGGCCGAAAATCCAAAATTCACTGAAGTAATTCCTGACAATATCAAGAAGGATGCTCTCGAATATGTCCAGAAGACAAGGCTCTGGCTTGAAAAGCACAAAGAAATAGCACCTCGAATTCATATTGAAGAAAAGCTTCAGGAGTTTGATAATGGAATTAAGGAATTCCTTAGCTCTGCAAAGTCCGGTGAAGAGAAGGAGGTAGGAAGAGAAGAGCTCTAAGCTTTTTGATTAAAACAGTTTCTTCTATCTTTACTTATAAGCATAAAACCCCATTACTTCTATGTTTCATCAGGCTATTTTTTAATCTTCTTTATTTAATATATATACTATATTATTAGAAATTATTTATTGCTAAGGTTATCACTTCATATAAAAGTCTTAGATCCATAAAGAATTTAGCAAGGGATAAAACATATACAAATGCATATGGTTTCCTTCTGTACCACTTTGCACAATAGGGAAGAAACATCTACTTTTGAATGAATCACCATCTGTATATTTAGAAATATTAGAAGAGCTCATAGGTGGAGTAAAGGAGTATATGTATGATCAATAAGATTTTACAATAATGATCACAAGAAAAAAAGGAGATATTAGAACAGCTATAGAAGAAAGACCCATGAAACTTAATGTGCTTCAAATAATCATTCTATTTGACAGAATGTTTTGCACCCTACCCATAAAGAATATTGGGGGTATCGAATTAAAAAAATCGGAAAAGGTTATACTGTTTCCAACAATTTTCTTTGGAACTAATCTCACTGTATTACCAACTACGAAGTTCAAGGATTTGAGGAAAGGTACACAAGAAGAATCATATGTTAAAGAATTTATCAGTCATATATCAGATATGATATTATCGTTTACAGCTTATAACATGTACTGTAAAGGAAATAGTTGGCTTGAGACAGTATTTGAAAGAGAGATGAGGGGACGTTGTGTTGTGTTGTGTGTTGTTCGTGTTGTTGTTTAGTTTGTGGATGTGAGTTCTGTGTGTTGTTTGTTGGTGTGTGATGTTGTGTTGTGTGTGTTGTGTTGAGTGTGTTGAGTGTGATTGATGAGTGGATGCTAGTGTGTGATGATGTGGGCGATGTTAGTTTATTGTGGTATGTGTTGATGAGTGATTTTTTGGGGGGATGTGTTATTTGATGAGTTGTGTGTTGTTGTTTTAGTTTGTGATTTTGGGGGGTGCTGGGGGAGAGGTGTGTGTGATGAGAGAAAGGAGGGGAGTCCTATGAGAGAGAAGGAGAGTTGATGATGAGGATGAATGATTTTTGATGTGTTGTGTTGTGACTGGTTAGTATTTGTGTGTGGTGTGTTGTGTTTGTGATGATGTGCGTGAGTTTTTAGCATCAGGTTGATTCTGCCTGACGTGGATGCTATTCTCTGGGGCTAAGCCATGCATGTTTATGAAGCCTTTATGGGGGATTGACGGACGGCTCAGTGATAGTACGATGATTTGATTGGGAGCCTGGATGTAACTGTGGGAAACTGCAGGTAAGTTCTGGGGGTGGTAGTTTGTAGCTACTGCGTACCGAGTAAGTTGTAGGCCTATCAGCTGGTAGTTAGGGTAATGGCCTAACTAGGCGGAGACGGGAGACGGGGGATCAGGGTTTGATTCCGGAGAGGGAGCCTGAGAGATGGCTACTACGTCCAAGGATGGCAGCAGGCGCGAAACTTGCCTAATCCTTATTGGGGAGGCGGTTATGAGAAGTAAGATGTTTAGCAAGTATAAATTTGTTGTGATTTACTGGAGGGCAAGTCGGGTGCCAGCAGCCGCGGTAATACCTGCTCCAGTAGTGTCTATGGTGAATGCTGCAGTTAAAATGTCCGTAGTTGTTTGTATGTCTTTTGAGTGATGTTTATGGTTTTTAGTGGATGTAGTTTTATTGTAGCAGAGGACGAGGGGCACTGGATAGTTGGGCGAGGGGTGAAATACGAAGACCCTGACTGGACGAAGAGAAGCGAAGGCTGTGTTCTTGGACTTTTGTGGTGATGAAGGACGAAGGCTAGAGGATCGAAATCGATTAGATACCGTTTTAGTTCTAGCAGTAAACGATGCCGACTGGACGGGACTGTTTTAGTGTTGTCCGAGAGAAATCTTAAGTATGTGGGTTCTGGGGATAGTATGCTCGCAAGAGTGAAACTTGAAGAGATTGACGGAAGGACACCACAAGGAGTGGAGTGTGCGGCTTAATTTGACTCAACGCGGGGCAACTTACCGGTTCTGAAGTGAGTGTGAGAGTGTTTTTACATGATGCTTACGGCGGTGGTGCATGGCCGTTTTAAATGGATGGCGTGAGCTTTGGATTAAGTTACGTAAGATGTGAGACCCTTTTTGACTGTGCTCTATGGGGCAAGGGAGGAATGGAACAGAACAGGTCCGTTATGCCCTGAGATGAAGCGGGCGGCACGCGCACTACGATAGATGCCTATGTGGGCTACTGTGAGGGATGAAGCTGTGTAATGGGCTTCTGAACGTGGAATTCCTAGTAAGAATGATTGAACAAGTTATTTTGAATGTGTCCCTGTCCTTTGTACACACCGCCCGTCGCTATCTAAGATGACGCAGTGGACGAAGATTGAGAGGTCTGAGTCTTTCGTGTTAGATAAGATATAAGTCGTAACATGGCTGCTGTTGGAGAACCAGCAGCAGGATCAGTATGTTGATTTGATTATTTTGTGGGGATTTTTAGTTTTTTAGTTTTTCTTTCTCTATCCATGGGATTGATTGGCATTATCTGCGATGAAGGACGTGCTGGAGGACGATATGCCGTTTTTTTTAGCGGATGTCTGAATTAGGTGTTTGTGCGCCTGTGGACCCCTTTGACTTAAGCATATTACTAAAGGGAGGAGAAGAAACTAAATAGGATTATCTGAGTAGCGGCGAGTGAAAGGATATGAGCCTGTGTGGTAATCACGTGTGTGAGTTGTGAATTAGGATGACGATGCTGAGGACGGATTGGAATCTGTTTTCTTAGGGGGTGATAGGCCTGTAAGTGTTGTCTTTTTTTGTGATGAGTAGGGTTGTTTGGTAGTGCAGCCTGAATGTGGGTGGTATGTGCATCCAAGGCTAAATATGTGATGATGACCGATAGCGAATAAGTAGAGTGATTGAAGTGTGAAAAGATTAATGATGAGAAATGAAAATGGATTGAGTGAATGGGGGTTTTTTTCCCACCCGTCTTGAAACACGGACCAAGGAGAGGATGATTACATTGTTGAGCGAGAGCGATTGGATGTGATGATCCGACCCGAAAGATGGTGAACTATGTTTGTATTGATTGAAGGGATGCGAAAGTGTTCTGGAGGATCTAAGCCATTCTGACGTGCAACTCGATGGCATGATATGGACATAGGGGCGAAAGACCAAACGAACCATCTGGTAGCTGGTTCCCTCTGAAATGTCTCTCAGGACGGCGGCGACTGATTATTTATGTAAGATGTTGTAAAGCACTAATGACTTTTGTCGTTAAACTTTGAAGATGTCTTTTAATGATGTTGCTAGTGGGCATATTGTGGTAAGCATGATGTGCGAGGAGGGATGAACCTTTTTTGCGGCTAAGGAGTCTTATGCAAGGGAAGTGAATCTGGCGGTTTGATTTTGACAGTTGGACGGTGGCCATGGAGGTTGGCATCCGCTAAGAAACGTGTTGCAACGTACCTACCGAATTGGGCGCTGGAGAAAATGGAAGGGATTGAATTGCTATCTGATGCCGCTGTGGTTTTGCTGAGTAAGAGGGCGATATTATTCTGATGAAGGTCCTCGCGTGAGCGGGGGTGGAGGGGTGATATGAGCAGATCTTGGTAGTAGTAACAAGAAAATGATTTAGGATGTGGACGAGGGTTCCCTATTTTTAGGGGTGAATCGACTGTTTATACGGAGACGCATTGACGATTGTGTGTATGTATGCTTTGAGGCGACTTGATGATGACGGATGGGGGTAACCTTTACTCTAGGATAGCAGAACTAGGGTGATTTTTGTTGTGGATTGTTAAGAGACGAAGCAACTGATGTGGGGAGTGCCTGTTCCGATGAAAAAGAAGTGTATGTGTCGTACCTATACCGCATCTGGTGTCCACTGTTTGCCACGGAAGCGTTTTATTTAAAGGTTGTAAGGGAAGTCGGCAAAATGGATGTGTAACTTTGGGAGAAGGATTGGCTCTAGCGTGCTAGAACTGTTTATTGTGGGGAATCTGACTGTTTACTAAAAACATAGCTTTGCGAAAGGACGCAAAGTGAATTCTGCCCAGTGCACTTTTAGTTATGACTTTTTAAGTTTAAGCGAGTGTAAACGGCGGGAGTAACTATGACTCTCTTAAGGTAGCCAAATGCCTCGTCATGTAATTAGTGACGCGCATGAATGGAGCAACGAGATTCCCACTGTCCCTACGACTTGTATTGTGAACCTACAGCCAAGGGAACGGGCTTGGGCTGATCAGCGGGGAAAGAAGACCCTGTTGAGCTTGACTCTAGCATGTGAGAAGTGCTGGGGGTGGTTATGAAGAGAGGTGGGGAGTTTGTGCGAGACCACTATGACTGCGCCTCAGCGGTTTATTTATGGATGTGGGGAGTTTGGCTGGGGCGGCACGACTGCTAAAGATTAACGCAGACGTCCTAAGGCGGGCTCAGCGGGGAAGGAAACCACGCGTGGAGCACAAGGGCATAAGCCTGCTTGAGACTATTCCTATTGCGGGATTGTTTTGGGGGAAACCCTGGCCTAGAGATCCCATGTCCTATTAGTGTTTGGGACATGGGTGACAGAAAAGTTACCACAGGGATAACTGGCTTGTAGCAGCCGAGCGATCATAGCGACGCTGCTTTTTGATTCTTCGATGTCGGCTCTTCCTATCATCGTGAAGCAGAAATTGCGAAGTGTTGGATTGTTCACCCACCAACAGGGAACGTGAGCTGGGTTTAGACCGTCGTGAGACAGGTTAGTTTTACCCTACTGTGATTGACTGTGCAGTAAATCTTGATAGTACGAGAAGGAACTCTTGATTGCGACCTCTGGTGGAGCGGCGTGCCTGCTGGCTGTTGCGGAGCTACGTCGGGAGTATAATGGCTGAAGGCCTCTAAGCCTGAAGACTGACTGCGCTGTATTATGATTAGCGGAAGACGACCGTTGTGGATGCAAGCTGTACGAATGGAGGAGTATTCCGACATTTTGAGGCTGTGCATTTTGTGTTTTTGTGTGTGAGAGGGTGTGTTGTGTGTGATGCGTGGTGCTGTGTGGTGTTTTTTTTGTTTTGTGTGTGTTTGTTGTGTGTTTAGGTTATGGGTGAGTGATGATGTGTGTTGTGTGAGATAGTTGTTTGTGTTTATGCTGTTGTGTTTGTGTGTGATGATGTGCGTGATGTTAGTTTTAGTTTTTTTGTTGTGTGATTCTGGCTTTTTTTTTTATTTTGTGAATTGTGTATGTTGATGATTTTGATTATTGTTTGTGTTTGTGAGAGGGGTTTATGGAGTAGTTTTGTTGTGTGTTTAGGTTATGGGTGAGTGATGATGTGTGTTGTGTGAGATAGTTGTTTGTGTTTATGCTGTTGTGTTTGTGTGTGATGAT